TCATACAGCCTATAGAGCTTTCTTTTTGTTTTCGAATGTCTGGCGGCTAGAGAAAGTGTACAAGTGCCAGAGGTGCGAGACGAGCCTGTTTGCGTTTGAAATTTTGTCACGCCCAGTTAAGAGTTAGCCATTGATTATGAGTACTCGCGTGCACGCTCAATTTACTTAATGCACTGGTACAATTTACGACTCGATCGTTTTTTTTTTCTTCGCCAAGCGAGCGGCGTGCGAGATTGCCGTGCGCTCTAATGGTGTTTTCGTATTATTTAAGACGCCAGCGGCTGTGTGTGTTTCGATCTAGCCGGTGCGAGTGGACGCAGCGAGCCCGTGTTTGCGCACCGATCGATCTGACACTCGTCTCGGCTGGTCGGCTTGCCCCCCTCTCGGTGCATAAATCCGATGGATAAGGAGTTGGAGCCTCTCCGATGCGAATAGTTGAAACGCTCGCGCGAAGGCCGATTTTGGCGAATCACTCATTGCTCGGCGACGGAGTCAACGAACGCAAAGCGTACTTTTAATCGGATGCAGAGCGCAGAATGTACTGATCCCTTCGTATGCAGGTCGCGGCTTGCCTTATCGTTTATTATACGCCTTCGTCCTTCGTCTCTTTCTTTACTTTCTCGATTATTAATTCGCGCGAATGTCATTGTGCGGCGGCGATGGAATGCGCAGACGGCCCATTAAAACGATACAGCGCCATTCATCCTTGCTAATTTTGCGTCGCCGCACCGGCGAGCGATATGCCAGGACATCCGTTCTCGAGACTTTCCGTTTGTTGTCGCTTGTTTGTATGGAGGCTCGGCCTGAATTTTTTATCGTTCGTCTCTGTATATTTATGGAGATCGCGGAGTTGCCGAACTGTATGGTTTTTTTTTTCTCAGAAATTGAAGGACTATTTGTCCGTGAATAATTTGTTGTAGGAAACGTTTTTGTAAACGATTCTAGTACGCGAAAGTGTTAGATAAGTTTGCATCGTAATTTGTATATAAGTACGGATAAAAAATAAGTCAAGTTGATAACGTGAAATGCGAATACCGATTTTTTTGTTGATCATTCAAAAAATATTGGATTCTGGAGAGATATTTTCAAATAATGATTGCCATAATATCTATGTATATGCGTATGATCATAAAATTCAGATATTACCATCACCCATATCTATGCGAGATGTACAGATTTGGCTAACATGCTTGAGAATATAAGAAATAAAAATTATGCTTCACGTTTGGACTATGGTGAATTTTGAAATTTCCAAAATAAGCGAATTCCCTACTTCTCTACTTGTTCTTATGCCGTTACGATATGATAATTCAATCGATGCGTATTTTGCGCATAAACGAGTTAGAGAACGTCATATTGTGTCTAGATTACTCTGTACAAGATAGAAAAGCTATCGATATGAAAGAATACTATTTAGGATGCGTGTGGATTGGTAGTGAATGAGACGAGCTCGACAGAACACCGTCGTCAACGAAAATACCGATAATCGCAGCTCGTGGAGCCCAGACGTGTGCAACGATCATCGGGAAAAAAGAAAGCAATCAATCAGGCAAGAAACGATCGCGCAGAAGGGAAATTGAGAAAGAGATAAAAATAAAAAAAGAAAAATGAGAATCGAAGCCGTCGGCAACAATGAGGCAGCGTCGGCTTTGGCATCGGCGGCGGCCCCGAGGTCGCGCAAATAATATCGAAGAGCCGCATCGCTCGGGCGCTCGGGCGCTCGCGCACAGCATTTACCGCTGCGTTTCGGCCTCCGGGCCATATTTTCCCATTCCCTCTCCGCCTCCTCTCTAGCCGCGCTCGCATAATGTGCGTTGCATACGGCGGCACGGTCGTGGAAAAAGGCCAACCCACCATGGCAGGGGCTCGGGCTTTTATTTGATTTCAATGTAGATCCAGCGATATCGCCGTGGATGGCGAAATTTTTCAGCCCGGCTCGTGATTGGGAGTTTCCAGTCGCGACTATTCGCCGCCCGAGTTTCTTTTCTTTTTCCTGTTCGATGATCGGCCGCCGCTTGCCGCCTCTCGCCGCGCGCTTTCGTCTTGGGACGGCGGACGAGGTGCAGCGTGTTCCGCCGCGCGCGATAAAAGAACCATTCGCGCAGGCGAAATATTGACGACGTTTCGCTGCGCGCGCGAGTGACGCACAATGAGAAATTGCCGATGATAATTATAATGATGATGATGATGATGTAACCCGAGTAGATTTATTAATTATAGAGGTGCGGGCTTTAAAGTTAAAATAAGATGTTACAGCACCTGATCCGCACATCCGATTAGGCCCGAGTGAAGTGATTATACGGTACATCCGTAATTAAGATTATCCCCCTGACAGCTTCGAAATTATTAACTGCGAGTACAAGCCAGCGGTTTTCTTTTTCTTTCCTCGCGAGCGAGTTCGCCGCGTCTCCCCTCGTGAGCGCACGCGCGCACGTCCAATTAATTGTACGCGTCTCATTGTCACTCGATCAAACTCGCACAGATGGAAATCTCGGCCGCTCGGTCGCTCGGCAGAGCGCTTATCCCGGCCCGATATCTCGCGATCTATCGTGTTCCGCCGTCCCGCGAAGCTTCAAAGAAAGCTCGGTAAAGTCGGCTTGCGCCAAAGCGAAATCCATCTCGCGGCGGTAACGCGGCGGCAGCCACGGAGGTGAGCCTCGTCAGTTGCGCCGCGTTCGCGGAATCGTTAATTAAATTAATTCAGAGGAATGGCGGGGCGAGCCCCCGAGTCGATCGATCTGTCTTTTATCCTTTCTCGGGGACGCGCTCGACTCGCGGCGAGCTTCGCCAATTCGACTGCGGCTAAATGCTTCGCGGTTTTCCCCCTTTCGGTTTGCGGATCGCGCGGCAATTGCGAAAATTCGTTCTTAGCAAATTTAACGCGACTCGCGTACGGCGCACAAAGGAAACAGTACAGTAACTTTTTGAAACAATAATAAAAGAAAAGCAGCTTCTTTGTATAGTGGTGAAAGAGCGAGGAAAAATAAGAGGATTTGGAGATCGGACTGGAAACGAGAGAAAGAGAAATGGAGATTTTTTTGTCGGGCTTAAGTGGATTTAATTTAACATTCGAGAGGAAGAGAGAGAGAGAGAAAGAGGGACGAACGCGTGCGAGCGCCTAGTGATTCATCATCACACCCGCGCACTCAGTGTCCTCGTTAAGTATTCTAATGGCCGAGCGTGTCCCTTTTCATTTGGCTGCTGCTGCTCTCAGTCTGCCTTGTATATCCTCGACGTCTTCATTAATTTAACCTTGATTTTAAAGTAGCTCCGTAAGTGGATTGCGATGATTATGACTTTGCTTTTCTCTTTTTCTTTTCGTACAGTGCGCTCTCTGCACGTACATTGGTTGTTTCGAGGTTCGCCGGTACGTCGATTGAAATTGTATTACACGAAGCAATTTAGCCGTATATTTTGATCGAGAGAAGCTTTTCGTTAATTGCCGATGTTTTTGCATTTGGATAATTGGACGTTACGTATCGCACTGCATACTTGGATACATCCCATCGCAGCGAAGCTAATAAAAAGATCGCGAAAAATCAACTAACAAAGCTCCAAAGCCTACAAAATCGCACATCTATCAAGCTCTCTCTCTCTCTCTCTCTCTCTCTCTCGTTCTCTCTCTATGCGTAAAAGGCGGTGATGCGCTTAAGAGCGACTTCCTTTCTCTGGCGCGATAGCCCATTCCGCGAGCAGGCAGGCAGCCCGGGGTCGATTTCTCGATGTTCTCTTCCGCAATGCTTCGTTCCTCTTTTCTCTCTCTCTTTCTCTCTGCGCGCGTCTTCGTTGAAACACAAAATGAAATATGAAATAATGGTGCGGGCGCACCCATATCTACGCCCCCGTATAGCTTTTTCGTTTTACAACTCTCAAGAGAGAGATGCGTGGCCAATTTCGCGCTCTCTCTCTCTCACACACACACTAGGTGTGTGTGTGTGTGCGTGCATGCACGCGCGCGCATACAGGTACACGCGTTTCGTATTTATTTACGTGCGAAGCTCGAGCGCGCACTTTCTCCGAACACTGGATGCGACGTCGGAGGCCAAGCTCGTCCAGTCTACGAACTGTTTTACGTAATATATACACACACATCGGTGCGTGAAAACTGCTACGCGCTATCTTGGGATTGGCTTAGAAGGCGCATTTCGATTTTCGCAACGAGCTCGAGTGCGCGGGGGAGCGATAATTTATTGCGCGTCGGCTTAAATTACCGGCGATTGTAAACAAATTGGCGGGAGAGCCGAGCAGCGCCGCCGATAATCAGGCGTATACGTGTATTTTTTGTTGGCTGGCGCGCGTGCAGCTCCCCCACGGCGCACGAAACGCGCGCGATGACCTGTCGCGAGATCTCGCGCTCGTTCGATCTCGATCGGGGCGCGCGTTTCCGAGGCGCCTTATTCGCGCGATTTCCGCGTGTACACCCTCGAGGCTTGCAGCAATCTGTCTCTCCCCCTTAATGCGGCGCTCACCGCTTCGCCCGAAAGAACGCTCGCGCGCGCACTCGAGAGGTACGGGGAGATTAGGCTCGCAAATGGCTGCGTTCCGACGGCATATTGCTCTTTCTACGCTTGCGCGCGCGCTTAACGGCCGACGCGTTGTTGCGGCTCTGCGCACGGATCTGTCGGATAGGTGCTACTATTAAATCAGCCTCCTTGGCTGCCTGCCGGCACCTCTCGGCATCGTTCGCGCGCGTTTGACGCTCGATTGGTCAGGCTCGTTTGCCGGCATTACGTTCCCCCTTTCTTTTTCATGTTATCATTTATCACGAAAATCAACGAATGATCAATCTGCTTTGTAATTTTCATGCTTGCTCCGCACAAGAAAGTAAAGACTACGAAGGACCAGGCCGCTCGGTAAGACGAAACTAACTGTTGGGTGTGCGTGTGTGTGTGTGTGCATGCATGCGCAATGTATCGCGAGCAAGGAGAAAGCGCGTTTTGTCAAGCGGCAGATGGGGAGAGAGGCAGGTCCGGAGTGACGTGTTTGCGATTGATTTGCAGGCAAGAAGTGGCGAGGACTGACGCCGCAGGACAGGCGGCCGTACGTGGAGGAGGCCGAGAGGCTGAGGGTCATACACATGCAGGAGCATCCGAACTACAAGTACCGGCCTCGCAGACGGAAACACGCCAAGCGGGCGCCGGGCGCGCCGGCCTCGCCGCCCTCGGCGGTCGCCGCCGCGGCTCAGGGCAATCGCTCCAATGCTCAAGCCAGTGCTATTCATCATAACATGTGAGTCCCTTGGCTTTACGCTCGCGCTCGGGAAACGACGAGCCAATTGCGAACGTCGACTCGGCCATGTGGGGCTGCACGTGCGTCGTCGAGATCGGCAAGGGGCAAGGGACATCTCTTGGCGATCGCTCGCGGCGCGCAAGCTCGAGCGCAGCCGAAGACCGACGAAAATCTTATCGACGATGGCGGAAGCCACGCAGCGCGCAACCGCGTAATGAACACACTGGTAATTGGGGCGTGCGAACGTAAGTCGCGCGGCGCATGAATATTCAAAAAGCCACGCGCGCGTGCGCGCGCAAGAGAGAGTTCATGAGAACGGTAGATTTGTGCCGAGCGAGGACTGATTAGTGCATGGCGCGGAGAAAGCAAATGAAATTTCACCTCCTCGCTCGTCCAAATTTATGTCCGCGTGTGCGTTGCAGGTCGAAGATGGATAACTTCGGCGGCATGGGAGCGATGGGATGGGGCGGCCACTCGCCGATCTCGTCGCTTTATCATCAGCAAACGGCCCAGCCGCAGAGCATTGCCGACTACAAATCGGAGAACAATTCGCTCTACGGGAGCCCATACACGCCGATCATTCACACGCCCGACATCTCGCCCGTCGCCAGTCCTGAGCCCGATGGTATAAATCTCTCTCTCTCTCTCTCCCTCCCTCCCTCCCTCTTTCTCTGCGCAATACCACACCGCCACCGAGTTTTATGAGCCTTGTTCGCGGCTATTGCTTCAATAACTTCTCGATTATGAAATTGATAAATTATTCTCGCGTGATTTTCTGATTGACTATCCGGCTACGATCGATAATTGCGCAGAGCCAAGCTATTCGTATTTGTGAATGCTGTAAAACCAATTTATACAACTTTCATAGAATATCGTATTCCGTTAGTCGATGCTCTTCTCTACAGAGCTCGCAACGGAAACATCCGTCAAAGCTATTTAAAAGGAAAAGAAAAGGATAATGCAAACAATGGACGATTAATTGGCAGGTGACGCGACGCATTTACCAGTGTCGCAGAATCCAGATCCGGAGAGGGAGTTGATGGAGGGTACGTCGAAGGCGCAGCAGCAGCAGCAGCAGCAGCAGCAGCAACAACACGCCGAGATATCCGAGCAGAGCAAACGTTACTCGTACATGAACAATGACAATCAGCTGCAGCACGTCGGCGTATCGTCGTGCGCGAATACCGCAGCTCCCGGCTACACGGACACGCTTACCTATAAAAAGGTATTGGCTTACCGCGCCTCCACATCTTTATGTCTATTGTTCTCTATCGTCCATTGAGCTTTCGCGCACTGTCAAATAACTTTGACGTCGATCGGTTGTCAATTTTCAACAACTTGCTTCTTCAATTCCGCTTCGCGCGCTCGTTTCTTCTTTACGTAATTGCTATGCTGGGATAATTTTCATCGTCGGGTTAATTGAAAAAATTTCTTGGAATGAATCTTATCGCGGAAATATTAAATAAATTTACACGTCCAGAGAATAAACGCAATTGACTTTGAGATTAGGCCGTCGACGATTCGGGCTATTATTTAGGGCTAAATTGCTGAAGAGGCCGGCTGTCGTGCTAAATGATACTGTGTACTCGATACACGTACGTACCCATATCGCGTGCTGTCATAACACAATAGCTCACGTGACTACATTCAGCCAATTAGATCACCAATCAAATGATTTCACTCGGTAGGCCACCCCTTTTTGCAGTAGGCAAAGTCCGAGGCTTCTACCTGTCCATTCTAATGTATCTTTATCAAGACCAACAGCAAAAGTTATGCAGATGCTCGTAGCTGCATATATAATATTCCGAGATAATTAGCAGCATCCGTCTTTGAACGGTCTCGAATGTTATTGCGCACAAGACCTCACACGTAGTTGGTCAATTGTCGTGTTATTATAGGTGAGCTATCTGAACTTCGAGCGGCAGCAGCAGTCGACGAGCATCGCGGTGGGCATAGCGAACGGCATGATGGTGTCGTGTAACAAGCTGCGATCCGGTTTCGACAACGTTGGCAGCGTCACTGGCACCTTTTATCCACCCGTCGCCTCGCCGCACGATCAATCCATCCATTACGCCAATCAGCAAGCGCAGCAACAGCCGGCCAAATCGTCCTACGCCCAACAGCAACAGGATGTCAGTTATGCCAGGCAGCAGCAGCAGCAACAGCAGCAGCAGCAGACGCAGCAGCAGCAGCAGCAGCAGCAACAGCAGCAGCAGCAGCAGCAGCAGCAGCAGCAGCAGAATCTTGCTGGCTTGCGCCCCGCAGAGGGCTGCTCCGGTTAGTATGTCGCGCTGCTGCTTCTGGCTTATTAATTCAGTACTACCCAGACGATTTGTACTCTGGCTCTGCATCCGGACTCCACCCGACTTTGTAATAACGCTCGCGTGCTTCGTGCCATTTGGCCTCGTACTCTTAAGGAGAATTGGCTTGATCGATTGCTCGGGCTTTTCGTTAGATTACCGCTATTAATTCTGCTACTTGTTAGCGTGGTAATTTGTTATCAAGTGATCGTTATGCCTCTTCCAAGGAAAGTGCCATTTTTTTGGATCTTCGATATGCCTCTAACTTGGGAGACTCGTTCCAAGCTGGGATCATCCTTTCAGAAAAAAAATTAGGAAGACGAGGTACAACCGTTTGAAAGCAATGCCATTTTGAAATTTCCTAATAGAATCTTTAGTTAAAGATTCTTTTAAGAGACTTTATTAACTTGTAGTACTTTGATGATCTATAGAAAGAATGTGATCCTTTTCTTTCATTTAGTATTATTATTAAAGTTCATCTTGCTCAGGTCACAAATTATATCTGTCACAACAGAATCATAAATTTGCACATATAGACGACATTCGATTATAGAAATATAAAGAGAAGAGAGGCGAGCAAAACAAGTGGCACTCTCCTCGTTAAAGTCGATGGAAACTTTGATTTCACGCCAAAACAGCGAGTTGACGTGTAATTTGCGTTTATTTGTAACAGGCGTGTCACATCGTTATCAGCTATCGCATCACCAGGACTACTCACCCGACACCTCGGTCAGTCAGCAATCGCAACAGTCGCAGCAACAGTCGCAACAGTCACTAGCCCTAAGCCACCACCTGGATGCCACGGCTGGACTGCACCACGACGACGAGCAAGAGCACGTGATGCAATTGGAAAAGTACTTCAACAAGTACGCGCACCCGTCGAGCTTGAGCACCGGTGGCACGGCCCACACGAGTCTCACCCAACAGAACCTACTCGACAGCAATCACAATTACGCGGGTGATTTGCGCTATTACGCGCCGCAGCAGCAACAGCCGACGCAACCCCAACCGACTCAGCACCAGCAGCAGCAGCAGCAACAGCAGCAGCAGCAGCATCAACTGGAATTGGCCAGTGCTCATTGTATTCTGGACGAACAAGGGAAAGATGTCGCGCAATTGGCGATGAGTCATCAGGCAATGGAGCATTACCATCAGAGTCTCGAGGCGTCTAAGTATCAGGAACAAGTGCAGCACCAACAGCAACAACAACAGCAGCAACAGCAGCCTGGACAAAATTTGCAAGAGCAACACGTGCCTAAAACTGCCGACGACGATTTCAGCGTTATATTGGCTGACGTTCGGAAAACCTGTTACAGTAGCTAGTGTTATTACTGCCCGCGTCGGTAAGTTAAGTTCTACGTAAGTTCTAGGTATTTTTCTCTTGCTCAACAGTCGCAAACTGTTGAGGCGGAGAAGGAAACAAAAATTGTATATAAAAAGTAAAACAATTTTTACACGAAAGGACGGTGAATGTTCAGAACTGTTGAAGACGATTTAATAGCTTTGGCGAACAAACTGCGTACTTGTGAGAGTTTTTCTTTTCTTTATATGTATGATACGTTTCTGATCAAACGTTCGATGAGACTTCCCATAATTGTGATGATTTTTAATTGCGAGTTCTGATTTGTTCCACGGATCTCTTTTGGTGCTTAGGTAATTTGTGAATTTCTTATTACTTTTTATATAGCTATCTCTCTCTCTCTCTACCCTCAACTTTAATCCTTTTCGAGCCCTCAGCAAGGGTACACGACAATCTCGTTGGCACGACGTTAAAGCAATTTGTACATGTATTTACAAAGATTTTATTATATATCCACGTGTACTTAGTGTGTAGGCAAAACTCCTTAGTTCGTTTGTCAAACTCTGGATAAAGCGGCAAAAAGACGCTCATTGCAAATATATACATAGTTTGATATGTCAGTCGATTGTAGATCAATTACGAGAAATCTGCACAAAGCGAGTGTTGATGGCCAGAGTGACAGAGTGTTGTACTTATTAAGTATATAAAAAAATCTAAGACATCGCTAGATTCTAAGGAAAATTTTATCACGAATACGTAAGATTATCTGTAAATAATGTTGCGCGAAACCTCGTTCCAAAACGATGTTTTTACAAAGTGTCAATTCGATGTAAACGTATGCAGTATAGAAACATGAAAAATGAATAAAATAAAACAAACTCGTTATCCTGCCCTTGGCGCATTTCTTTGTATCACGTTGTAGTACTTTGTAGGCAATACGACACGCAAAAGAAATTTTATAAGCGAGAATTATAGATAATTATTTTGCAGGATTGCGAGTCGTGCATATAGAATTTCCTGTATCTTATAAATAAATGATATTTGTAAGAAATCCATGTGGTTTTTTTTAATTATGGATGAACGCTCCAATTGAATGTGGTGCTTTGAATATATTTATTAAATACTTATAAAAAAATATGTGTATAAATTACAGCGTCGTTTGTAAAGAATACATAATCGTCATGTTATACAAAGTTTTTACTCTATATTTAAGAAGAGAAATCTCATTTGTCTTCTTTTTATTTCGCTTATATATATATATATATATATATATATATATATATATATATAAAAGCGATATATATATATATATATTAAATATGTCCACTGGTTTTGAATCGCATCAAGTAATAATTTACAATAGTTTTTCTTTTTTTTAATCCTATTCCCTAAGTTGACATTTTTCTCATTGTAAAAAGGGATGACAATGGCACATTACTAGCTTATTTCGCTTCAAAACATTGTACATGGTTTGAAAATTTGACTTACATTTTGACTATCTAGGAATCTAATTTTTTATTCATGTATATACAAACGTATGTACATATTGCTAACCTTCGATCTACAATGTTATGATAAAATTCATACAGCCTGAATAATTGTAGAACTCTTAATATTAATACAATATAAGTTCACATTTTTTTAATTTACAATTTTAAGTAGAAATATTCATAGCTTTTGCACAGCTAGATCCTGATGCGCTTGACTAAATATTATTTTATCCCCAATCATTTATTAGTTTATTTTATCATAACATTGTAATTGATCTAATTGATAATTTCGATTTTATAAACCGTGACAATCGGCGACAATATTCAATTGTTATATGAATGTTTCATTGAAATTGACTTTCATACTCGAACAAAAAATACAGTTTATTATTAGATAACAAAAACAAAATAATCCAAAAACTGGAATGCAAATAAAATCCAAGCTCACTTTTTATCAAAGCTTATAAAATTATTTTTGGACAGATTTAACAGTCTTTCTAAAATACTTCATTATGTGTCATGAACATGTTCAAGTCTTTTTTTATTTCGAGAACAATAGCTGAGTTATTTTGTTGCTAGGTTAAAAATATTCATTAAAAAAAATTGGAAATATGATTTTAAGAGCAAAATATTTTACACTGGAATGTGTAATATACGCAATACTCATTTCTTAATGAGTATAAATAAACAATGGAATTATTAAGTGATTTGTGTGTACAAGTATTACAACGTTGTTATTATATAACGTTGTTATACATCAATTATTTGTAGTTCATTAAAACTTTGAGTCAATATACTGTAACTTTAAAGAAGAAATTATGTAAGTTTCTCTTTGACACTGGTTCTTGTTCCATTTGAATTAATCTGTCAAATTTGTTATTAAGATGTCCTTAAATGTCATTCATCCCATAGACAATTTTGTTTCATTTTAGAGTAATAAGAAAACATAAAGCATTTCTTACAAGTTTTTATACCACAACGATATGAACTAGCTGCTTTTTTTCCATCAGGTTTAGTTTTACAAAATTTCAGTCCACATGGATACCAACCAATACATAATTCTAATGAGCATGTGCATGGTGCCCATAGATTTGCTACATCCACACATTTTGATATCAGTGAAGATTTTCCATGATCACTTTGTGCTTGAAGAGTTGATGTAGTAGTAAAATTATGTACAGCTACTAAAAGTGATGATTCTATTGAACCTAATAAGAAGAAAAATTGTTATTTATGTACATCAGATATATTATTTTTAAATTACATAGGGCCATTTTCCATTAAAAAATGATTTATTAATTAATTCAGTCTAAAAATACAAAATAGTTCATAATAATTACGCAATTTCTATTTTTAAATCACTTTTGTTTAACTTTTGGAAAATGACCTACCAGGTCTCTGACCCCATTGTTTAAGATCTTCGTTTCTTGTGTATGTAGTTTCTGCTGCATCGGCACACAAATCACTTATATGTTTTGAGACTATGCTAGATTGAGATACATCTAAAAACAAGTCCATTGTATAATTGGCATGACCTTTGTCTTCCTCAGCTACTCTGACTGTACCAGGATTTTTCTGCCTTAGTTTTGCCATGGCATCGGATGATATAAAATCCATTTTAAAAAAGTGATTCACAAAGCACATAATTTGAAATTGATTCTGACCTCGTTCTTCTTCGCCTAAGACTAAGGCTTTGATAACTTGAGCTTCCTGAAATGTAAACAATTGATTTGATCTTATTAATTAATATTTCTAGAAATAATTATCAGTTTTAGATTGACAATAGTATTCAATGTAATATCAGCAAAAATCTGTTCCTATCTATTACTATTTTTATATTAGATGAAATATATAAGTCAAAAGGATAAGGCTAGATATTTCATTCATGAAAAATAGTTATTTAATTACTGACATTTTTGAAGTCAACAAGCCAAGTGACTAGAGTTCCATCGGATCGCTGAAACTCCAAAGTTATCACATCTTCTGTAATATTGGACGTTATGATTTCTTGTAAGATATCTCCACCCTGTAAACATGAAATCCAATCTTAATGATATAGTTTATATAGAATAATTTGCATATGTGAAACGTGAAATCTCGATGATTCCACATAACTTACGTAGAAACTTACGAGATTAACACTCACAAATGTATTGTTTATCTGAATCTGTAAACTTAAAATTTGATGATAGCAAACTCACCTGATTTCTAACATTTATAAGCAGCTGCGTATTACAAATTTCACAGAAATATTGCACTACAATATAGATTACAAGTATCCAAACTTGATAAAAATTCATGGTTCCAAATCCAAAGATTCACTCCAACATTCTTTGATATTTCTTAGTGAAAAGTTCTTCCTTCCATTATCGAAATAATCACTATCAACAAAACAGCCGAATTTTCCAACAATTTCGCTATAAAATCAAAGCCATATTCCGCACCTACGTCGCCCTCCATATACACATAAGTGACTGCACTATACGGAATGAACATAGCCGATATAAGCAAGACTGTCAAACTTGAGCGCGGGATTTTCGAATATTGATTTCGGCAGCGCCAAATTTTAGAAAAGGTCGCAAAAGAGATGGAAGCCCAAAATAAAAAGCGCGCGCGTCACGGCCGAAGGTCAGTCTTCGACCGGCCGACAAAGTGGCACTGGATGTAAAACTGCTTAAAACTGAAATTCCTGAAATGATGTTTCACTGACTGTCACATAGTGGAGGTGTTATTGCGTGTTGTATGCTGTTTTGTTGTTTTTGTTTCCGGGCGACGAGGTCGCTGTCGAAGAGGTAGTGTAGCTAGTTTGCGACGTTTGCGTCAGTGCGACGATGATTCTTATTTGACTGACGATGCTGATTCACGCGAGGTGTGCTTCTTGACTTCTGTTCTGGTTTTATTTTCGTTGTTTTTATCAGCTGCAACTCCTCCCTGCCGAACGTAAGCTTTTATCAATTTTTGGCAAATCTTACAATTAAAAGACATTTCTACTATAACACAAGTCTGCTTACAATTCGGCCCTCAGTGCATTTAGAATGGGCGGTGTTTTCGGTCTGAAAATAGGTTCGATTTCGGGAACTTTTAAGTGACAATAAACGGGAACCTAAAATCAACCACATTGTGTTATTTCATCAATTATTCTGAGTGATTGCCGCGCGTGAAACTTTGCCGATTTCGTTACAGTTGATTGATTTCAACAGTTACGCTGTAAACTATTTAGTTTCCAATCTAGCCGAACTCAATAATTAGAAGGAAGATGAAACTTGATCCGGAAACGTAATGTACGATAGTTTAGTATAATTTCGACAACGTTTTCGGCGCGATAACGAATTCGTGGATTATCGAAGTAAAAAGAGAGCTATAAATGTCATTAAAAAGGAAAGGCTGCAAAAGTATCCCGGAGGTCTGCGCGCGCTACAGCGTAGATAAGTCGGAACTCACGTAGGGCAAAGTATCGTCCAACTGGATGTCTTGCAACTCGCTGTACACGTCCGGAATGCGAAAGTTGTTTCCCAAAACGGGCGATTTGAAACCGAGTGGACTGACTTTACTATGAGTACAGCTGCTTGCGCCGCTAGCCGCACTACTTTTGCTGCTATTGCTGCCGGATTTGCTTCGAGTTTGCGATACTGCAAGCTTGGACGTCATCGTCGCGCGACGAACAAAAACGCACTCGGCCGAAAGTTTAGTTTCAGAGCCGTTCGTTGGTAGCTGGAAACCCGATATTTGATCGATAACCATCGTAAAGCGTAATTTAGCTGGGACTAGGGAGAAACTGGAAATTTCGGTCGATCGTTTAAGAAATGCAAGAGACAGGCTTATCTTAATTGCGCTGCCGCAGGGTTCTGCCAAGTACGATTATGATGACGTTACTTCCAAGGGGGGCAATTGATACTGTTAGTAACGAGTATGATAAAGTCGAATCGTGCAAACTCGAGGGTACGGTTGTAATTTCGTTTCGACCGGAAAAAAGCGAGACATCGTTATGGCCTATCGTCGTTCATTCTCTCGTTTTTCGCAAAAGCTTTCAAAAACAATCGCATCGTAGGCAACTTCTCGGTCCAAAGTAGCCTGCGAGACATTTTAATCCTCTCGGTAAAGCTTATAGACGATCAAAAATATATTGCTTTCAAGTTGAACAATGCCGATTTTCATTCCTCTGGAAAGTCCTCCCAATCCTCGCAGTCTAAAAGAGAATACGTGTGTGTGCATTTCTATACAGGCTACTTCGGAAAGCAAAGTTAGCTCGTTTCTTCGCTACGCCCATCCTACTCGCAGCTTTCTTTCTTGACGGCTCTGAAGACGCTAAAATTCCACCCTCGTGCTCTTTCGATCGATCGATTTTTCCGGCTGGCTTTCTCTTGCACCCTTTGGGGTGTCGCCTTTCGTTCCTTTTTTTCAGGCTGGTGGCCCATGGTCAGACGACGATACAGCCAACTCCCTCCCCCGTAAGTGCGTTGAACGATGCCCGAGGGAGTATCATTATCGTTGGAGACCTCAAGAATTTTTCTTTTCGTATCATCGTCACGAAAGATGGAGTGTTGATTTTTTTGTCAGATTTGATTTTGCTTACAATAGCGGATAAATGACATTGTTTTATAATAAATTTTTTTTGTATAAATGCTTTAACATTGTTCACGGTGATGGAGATATTATTCAATTTTTTTCTACAAAGCAATTTCCTTTTCAATTTACTATTTTCAACTTCGCGTTGTACGTAGGAAAATAAGTAAGAATATTGCGTTAACGCTCGTACTTTATTTCTCTAAAGATCAATCGCTCAATTAATATAGTTCTGGAGTGCTACTTTCAAAGAACCTTGACAGGATATAAAAAAATAGATCTGTCGAGAACAACCAAGATGGCATTACATAGTTATTTCAAACTAATCTATTTGAAGTTGCTTTGTAGTGTTCGCGTATTAAATAGCTAAAGCTGTAGACGTTAAAAAAATGAGAAATTCTATGGCCATTAATATAAACTTACAATACCATACGATTTCTCGAGAATGTAATATAAATCACACATTTTCATTTATAAATATAAACTTTGATGTGTCAAGCAACAAAAACAGCATTATCCTGAAAAAATAAACTAATAAATAATTTATGATATCTCTTGTGCCTAGAAAGTCACCGTAGGTTGAAAATTAGATATCCGAAGGTTTCTTCAAAGATACAGAAGCTATTAAAAAGATCAGAAAAAATAAATCAGAATTTATTCTTCTATAACGCCAGTAACTTATTGATTTCAAAGAAAAAAAGGGTAAAAAAGCTTCATTTGCCAGAGGGTAACGCAGAAAAACTTGAGTATAACGCCACATTTACCGGCACTCAGCAGAGGCCAGTACGGGTAAGCTCCTTCTATTCCTTTCTTTTAAGGTCAGTCCCATACATGAACTAGCTAAAATAAAAAAAAAATATCATCGCGAGATAAAACCACTTCAATATCCGGTTCATATGTCCATATCGACTTACAATTAACATGCAATTACGCGATTGTGAATTCCGATCATGCGTAGTCGATTGTTTGTCCTGTCCTTTGTAATAACCGTGAAATTTTTCTCTCTATTGTCATCTGGCAATGATTTTTTTTAATTGTCCCTGGAGATCTTGAACGATGACTATAGAACGCCTTAAAAATATATTGAGAACTTTGCCACTGCAATGGAAAGTCGAAATTTTTGATAAAATGTACTGAGTCTGCCTCACTTAATACCAGCTCTACACTTCAATTACTCGTCCGGCAGTCATTCTCGGTAGTGATATCAAATTCACATATCTGGTCGTCAAGCTACCGAACATTCGAAAGTACCTTCCGTGAGCGTAAAAGTCATGAAAATGGCGCTATTTGCGTAAGAAAAAATCTCCCGATTCGCTAAGCAATCACACAGTGAGAAGTAGCGCAATAGCGTTACGAATGAACGAGGGTGCGTGAGCAGCAGTGGTCGCAAGCTCGCTGGTGCAAAGTCAGATTCGAGGGAGAGCTAGTGGGCGATGAATAAGCAAAGCAGAGTAAGCAGCAATCAATCAATGACTAGCTGGCTAGTAGATGTAGAATAGGCAGGGTGGGTGGGTGGGTGGGGGCAAGGTTTGAGCGGTTGGAGCGGCGGTGGCGCTACAAGCTCCTCGGCGCCGTCGAACGATGTGTTTTATCGATCGCCGCCGTCGTGTCGCTGTTCGGCCGGCGGCCATGTTGTTCCTCGCACGGAATTCGGTCAGGCGCAGTGGAGGCCCTCCGTCAGCAGCAGCGAGGGTGTGTGAGCGAGCGAGACGGACGAGCAAGTTAGCAGCAGCAGCAGCAGCGCAGTGCCAGCAGCAGCAGCAGCCACGGACAGGCAGCCACATAGCACACAGAGAGAAAGACGATAGATTTTTTTTCTCTTCCGGACGCGATCGTCCCTCTCTTTTTCTCTCTCTCTCTCTCTCTCTCTCTCTCTCTGTCAACCCCCATTCCTCTGTGTCTGTGCAAAGTGTCCGGGCTCGAGGCGAGTCGGCAGCCAGTGTCGAAGCACAGGGCCGCGCAGCAGCATTCGCTGTTACGACCTTGTAGTGAGAATGTGTTGCTGCTGAGAGTGCGTCGATACTCAGCTCGAGAGTATACGCACGGGCACCGACCAACAGGCAATTCCAAGTGACAAGTGCTCCAAGTCAACCTCACACTGCCGCTCGCTCGCTCAAGCTTTTGACAAGGGAACAAGGATCGCAAGCTCTAATCGTAAGTAGTCGCCAGCGCACTCGACTCGCGTTCCGACTGCCTCGCTCGCCGCGCGAACCACGAGCCGAGAACGCTGCCTCTCTCCTTCGTCCGGGCGCGCATTGATTTTGACGACGACGGTGGCGGTGGCGGCGGCGGTCGCCGTCGAGAAGAAGACGACGATGAGACAGAGGAACGCGCGCGTGTGTCGGGCGTTGTCCTTGACTTTAATTCCTAATCGATATGGCTAATCGCTCGATGCACCAGGCCAATCGATATTATACGCGTACCAGCCCTCTTACCTCTCGTTTCGGCGGACGCTGTGCGCGACGCCTGCCTAACTTCCACGTATCTTCGAGCGTTCGGATTTTCTCTCCGCGGCTGCACAATCACGGCTGTGGCCGGAGAGGGAGCCTCGCGCTGAATCTCACGCTTTCATTCTTACTTCCACGGAAGCGCTTGGATCGTTGTGTCTCCCACTCTCGCGAGCAAACGTCGGCGCGAGTGCGACAAAGCTGGATGCCAACGAACGTCGTTCGATTAATCCTGGCGTGCATCGATACAACTTCTGCAGCTAAAAATCTACTTTGCGCTTCAAATCGCCCCTACGATCGATCAAGGCGAACAGAAACGAATAAGCTTGCGCTTCGCGCGATGAAAGTAAAGAAAAGAACTTTCTTAAGCGTATCGGCGCCGAAAGTTTTTACGAGCCCACGCGAAGTAGCCCCTTCAACCGAGGCACGAAGGGGGAGCTGAGCCTATAACAAACTATGCTAGAGAGTCGTACAAAATCCCTCGGTGCGCTCGCGCGGGTCAATATACCAACTCGCGGCGGCGGCGGCGGCGGCGGCGGCGGCGGCTGCGGCTACCTGCCTGCCTCTCCTGCCTCTATATAGCAGATACACCTGCACACCTACTGCCGCCGCGCGACCCGTGATTACAGCGTTCGCCTCAAATCAACCGGCTAAAGCTCTCTCTTGTCGTTGTCGTTGCGTACTTTCGCATAGCGAAGCATTATCGTTCGCTTCTTGGATTTGTCGCTTGCAGTGCTGCTCTTTAATCCAGTCTCGATCTTTCTTTGTTGATTGCAAAATTTTTCGCGCGATTAGCAACGTAAACGATCTAGGTTTCAGATTTGATTATTGATTTTTTGATAGACGTGTTTGTGAAAATTTGGCTTTTTCGTGATTTCGAAACCTATAAAGTCGCTGAAAATTTTAAATTATCGATCGGACGACAGAATTATAGTCAGAAAAACTTTTAGTTAATTTTTCAAATGAATCTCTTCTTATTCACTTTGTTACGTTTCTTAACTTGAATATACTGTTAAAACATTTTTCGGAGGAAAGAAAAGAAAGTTGTTCGTTACTATTTTCTACTCTACTTCATCGACCTATATATTGTTCCTATAAATACATGGCACTCTATAAACAAGTAAGAGAAACGTCGATTATCGTTGAAAAGAAAAAAAGACGCGACTGACACGTTGAGGTTTGAAGTAGCAATATACAGACGCACTCAATGTTTATTGCGATAAAGTTGACGAGTGTATGTGTGTACGTGTGCCGAGTGCCGGTCGTGAATTTGTAATCAAATTATTAAAACATTGAATCTGAAAAGTAGGTCGGAGCCGATAATTTTCCCTAAAATACTTGTCCTATCGACCATAAAAATGCATAAGTCTATATTGAGACGAGACTATGCTAAGCCAAATAAATACTCTCTTGCTAGTAGTAATCAAATGTCCATATAACATGATCACACATAATTCACTCAGGCTTTAACGTAGTTTCGAAACATCCTGTAGAAATTTATCATTAACAGAGCCGGCACGCTTATAGATCGTCGGTGTAAGATTCATTTCTCCGAATTCGGTACATACCTCGATATTGTGTATCTATTTTACGTTTGTCTTGCGCCGCGAGATGCATTATGCATCAGAATCGTTGGCGATTTTAACTTTACCAGAAAGTTTTCATTAAAAAGTTATCGATAATCAATCGCAGCTGCACTGCTACTGGTTAAAATGAGTATTGTATTACACGACGGCAATTGTTGACTATAAGAAGCAAATGGATTTATGATGTCTGAAACGCGTGCCAACATATGTATTTTGTACGTAATGACGATTCGAAACTCGTTTGAAACATAGTTTCGTTCGCTATATATAACGTCAACGTCGATATTGAGTTGTCAAAAAAAGTTTCGAAATTAAGTTACTTTTTTTTTTATGATAGGATGCGAATTCACGTAAGTGCAATAAATTTATCAAGCTCGAAGCAGGAACCTAAGATTTTAAGCTTAAATAAATCATTCTGATTAATTCTTCGTCCACATTGTTATCGTCAAGTAGCCATGCATTTCCTCTTCGTATCTTATTGTAACTGAAAGGATAAAAAAATATAAATCTCATACTAAAGGGTAAAGAAAAGTGAAAAAAATCGCCAGAGAAGGAGAGAGCTTTGAAAACAAAACTTGCAATAAAGTTTCAAAGCCGCACCGGTCACATAACGTACCTTCGTCTTCTTTCTTCTTTCGGAAACTTTGCTACCTCGCTTTACGCTGTCCGTAATTATACGCGACAAGAAAGAAAGGCTCGTGCACTCTACTTTGCCTACTGAAAGGGAAAAATATTATTAGACGACTTTGCGTAGCGACGAGCTTCCGAAGAACGGAGGCGCTTATTGAATCAGGCATGTTTACGTCCACTTTCTAGCAAGTCGCTACGTATAGATGAAACTAGAACGTTGGTAAATTGTTGCTCAAGTATGACAGAACAGATCGAACCGGCGTTTCTCGATGAGGACGAAGAAATATCGCTGCTCCGTTCTCCTAATTGCTGTGCTCAAGACCGTCATCCTCTCATTGTCGCAGTCTTCGCCCACGTGGCTGCGCGATCAAATGAATCACCAGCAAAATAGCGCACTTGAGAATCTACGTCCGCTCGTATTACGACCTCGGCCGTGGATTAATATTGCCCTTCACGCACTACCACCACACGCATATCGCGTGCAACGCACGTAAACAGATATCGGACAATTTGCGCAAGTTTGCGTGGGTTGATGTTCGCGGTAGTCGATGCCCGTCTCGGTCGCGCCGTCGAGGCAATTTCCACTTGAAAAGCCACCTCGCAGCGTGCGCGGATTTTCCGGAACGATAAATTTTTCGTTATTGCGGTTGTGCAAAATTTTTATATTCATTCGCAAGCGGATGAATATAAGTGTATAGATGAATAGTACACTGGAAGGTGTCAATTTTTGTCGAGCGATTTTTTAGGCGCGTCTGATCATATTCGTTCTATTCTACTTAGAGAGGCAGAAGTGCAACTCTTGAGTCATGAAATTTGAGAGGATCTTGTTTTTGCATTGAGTTGTGGGTTATTTTAGACGTTCGTTAAATTATGCCGATGGATTTTTGTATTGATACATATTTACGTAACTGGTGTCTTTAGTTAATCGATAGCTTGTTTTGCTTTTTAACGCCCTTGAATGATCAATAAGCCTCTCGTTAACGTTTCAAACGTTGCAATATCAATATATTCTAATTTCAAGAAATGCTCTTTCTTTTGTAGTTCCTCATTGGATGTTACTATTCTATTATATTTCTCAATATTCTATTGCTGAGCATTTTTAAACAACGTATTATACAAGCGAATTACGTTACTATCTGTGTAAACCCAAAAATTCAGTTGTAACTGTGTAGTTACTGTAAATATAGATTAGTAATAATGCATTCAGTATACGAATATAAACTATCATAGATGTGTGTATAGACAAACGAAAACTTTATGAAAACTATGACTATCTATCTCTTCCACAAATACGCCATGAGAAGCCTTCGAAATTTTAGTTAAGGTATTGTTAAAAAAACAAACGAAAGTGAAGATCTTACGGAAAAAATAGCAGTCGCTTGTCAAAAGACAAAGGGACCGGTATTACCATTACAATGTGTTACCCGAAGCCAGGATGTGCAAAATAAAGAGGAAACGTGAACTTTATTAAAAAAAGTCGATACGTAGGCGTCGCCGTTGTCTAACACACACCCACGGAGATTAGTTGCATCTATGTCCACCTCTTGCAAGTTTTTTTTCTTTGATGGCGTCGAGATGCCGCGTCGCCAGCGGTCTACTGTTAACAAAGAGTATTGTAGCTATTGAGCTGTACAACGAACATTGTATGTTGCGGGCTCTTGTCCACGGGAGTCGCTTCGCCAGGAATAATGTACTTTTGCATTTTTTTTTCAATTTATCGATGGCGTGTACTTTTTATCCTGTTTGGGGCAATGAAAAAACGTTTTCAGTAACATTAATGAGATTATACTTGGCGACGACGATAGGGGAAAAGTGAAAATCCAATGATTAATACGACCCAGATATCTTCTCGCGCAACTCGTCTTCGAGCCAATCAAAAACGAATCGAAGTGCCCTGCCGCGAGAGTGCAAGTGGTAGCACGGCTATCTATCGCGGACAAAAGGCCGAGCCGCGATGTATGTAGCCAGTATCAGCGCGCAGCAAGGCAGACTTTGTTGTCCATTAGCTGTGTACTCGCAAGATGGACCACGTAGTTCCTCTCCTTTATACGCATCTACTTATAGATGCCTATTGTTTCTGCGCTCTACTAGCAACTCACTGTACATCGGCGATCAGTAATCCAACTATACGATCGATCGATTATAAACCACTAATGCATTTACTGGCTCTTCAGGGAAACTCATAAGCTGCGTTATCCGCGAGCGAATTTCTCGATGAACTATTAATCAAAGCAGTCGATGAAGTACGCGCGGCGAATGAGTTTATTTAGTTCATTCTCGACCATCCGGCTGATCATAATTCACGGATAACATTGAAATTCTGACTGTCGTACGTAGGCGCACACGGGGCACGTGAAAAATGGTGAAATCCATTGGAAAATTAATTTTATCATTTGTTCTCGCCGGATGCACAATATACTCTTCCTCTCGTACATTCCAATTTGCCGACTTTAAATCGTGTTTAATGCGCGAGTTCATCGTTGTTGTTTACGGCACGCAATCACTTCAAGATCAAGTTTAGAATCAAGCAATATTCCATTCATTAAATGTTACCTTCTCGCCTCTGATTAATCAGTAAAACTTGCTTATTTAGATTAACCGTCGTACCAGAACAACACCGAGATTACACGTTAGATAAACATTTTGTATGCTTAATCCAACAACAATGGGGTGGTGCTTTTGTTGCACAATTCATTGCACTCGAAGCACATCGCTGTTTGTGCAAATTTGAAGCAAGTTGCATATCAGCAGACTCTATTAAAATGGATATGAGCAACGCATATACAATAACAGAATATGTAAGTTGGAAGAACGCGTACCAGTAATACATCGTGTATTTGTTTCGTGAAATAATTATCTTGTCTGGTGCATATAACAAAACTCGACTGATCTACGAACAATAAAGTTCGTAAATCACCAAAGAAAAGAAACGCAGTTGATTCCGTCGAAAACGGGTGTTGGTAGCATCAACTGATGCATAACCGATTCGCCACGGTATCTCAGTTTTCATTATCATATGTATAGATCCCCCCTCCCCGTGGTATACGCGAACGTATATTGTCTCTGACGTCATTCGGCTCTTCAACGGCACGCGCACGCAACTTTTTGTTCTTCACTTCCGTGAACATTTCGAGTTCAATGGTTTGCGATCAAGCTTTCGGGAAAAGAAACAATGCTTTATTTTTCTGCAGTACTAGTGCTTACGTAGCAGGAAATAACGTATTTTCCGCGTGACTAGATCCGACGATCTTTCATACTAATTAAAATCAAGACAATGAGACGAACATTAATACTTTTGATGAAGTTACATTTTCACCGCTAACTAAGGCTCTCGCTTCCGTTTCGGGCTCACACGGCAACTGCGTGAATTTCAAGAAGAAGAAAAAAATTCATTGGATGGAGTAACAATGTGCGGAGCGTAGAGAAGCATTCGACGAACACAGAATAATGTACTCAAAAGACGAGGTCTGACAGGCTGTTGGTGGCAAATAAATTGTACGCCGTTGCTTTTTCCAATTGCCGGCTTCCTACTAGACCGCAAAATGGAAATGAAATTATACCTTCGCAGAGTAGTCACGTGGATCGTCGTCCACTTTTTTATTACGGCTGAGAAGCGAGAGAACGTGGAATGACGGTTGCACGTATACAACTTCACGAAAATTTTAGAATGCTGATCAAGACGGTGAACTGAAGTAAAATGTGAAATGGACGTGTGTATTTCACAAGTATACGATAGTATAGTCAGCAATTATGAACGAGATTGTTATAGAAAAGTTTACCTATAATGTTTCTGAACAATATATATTACAAAAATTCACTAAATATAGCGTTAAAATGTTTTATTTTCTTCTTACTTCATTCACGATTGATTTAAAAATTACATTTCCTCTTCTGCATGTATTCGATATATTATTCAGATAAAATTAGATATATTTAAAATTTGCCTGGAAAATTCTATTGTAAGTCTATAATGCTTATGTAGAAATCGAAAAGAAATGCTTATTTTCCATAAATATTCGCCCTACCGTCCGTCATTCAATTGGCATTTAGTCAAACCATTTCTCGCAGGCGTAATAAAAGATGAAGAAGTCAAGGAGTTAGGTATATAATGAAAGGGTCTCCACTTACACACGATGATAAAGGTTGTCCGTCGCATAAAACGCGTAATAGGCAGCCTTCAGCCGATTAGAGTTCGCATGAACGCGACGTGAAGCTCTCGTAGCCTTGACTCGTTATACAGTTAATATCGCGGAAACTTTATAAATAAAAATAAAACTCGAGAACTGCCCGGCAAATGTAGAAAAGTGGAGAGTCAATGCACGGGAGTAGTAAGCCATCGGCTTCATTCTCTTTTTTTTTATTTTGCTGATTCGCGTGTACTACTCGAAATATGCGCACTTATTGTTTTTACATGATCGATCGAGGTACATTTTTGAAAAGGGGTGTCTCGATTAAGATTGTAATCGAGTATGCTACGATCATTAATCAATTGCACGCGCGACAATCGAATTTATTTAAAAATTACGTTTGTTTACACATTGGGTGTCAGAAATTCTACTAAAAATTTTTATTCATTATTTCAATCTGAAAAATTGCTCCGTTATATATACCATTCCCTTAAAATAAAATGAAAAAAGGAACAGTGCCATGAATAATGCAGTTACTTTATCACGGATGACCATACGTCGAGTTATATTCCTCGCTAAATGAGCAACGCAGATCGCTCGGAGGAAAATTGAAATACGCACTAACGTCACGCGAAGGTTCACGAGGGTTCCTCTCAAGTACTGAGACTTCAAGGGACAATTCTCTTTTCCCATGCTGTTTTGATTGCTACGCGAGAATAACTTTGCTTGGTGCCGCTTTTAATTAAGAGACAACTGTCTCGTTGTTGCTTTGTGCAAACTCGCTCAAGTAACGATTGCCTTTTCGTTTTGTCCGCTGTTTATCACACTCGAATGGCACGATCTTTCGTTCGTTTGATTGTGCGAATGATTATTTGTCGTAAGGGGTGCTTATGATTATGGTAGAGTTTTTCCAAATTGATTGGAATTAGTTCATCTTTTTTCATCTCTTCGTCGTACATTGTTCTATTGTCTGAGAAATCTTTCTTTTCGATCTCGAACTTTTTTCTTCTAAAGTCCCATTGTGACGAATCTGATAATTTCACGTCTACGTGGAAAAAAGTTCGATGTCCTGTCACTTATCTTTTTCTACCCACTTGGTAACTTAGATAAACAGAAAAAAGAAAGAGAGCAGGAGCTTATCTTTCCTTCTATCTGTTGATGAGCACCTGCTTCGATTTTTTCCTCATTTTTTTAATTGTATTTACCAACTACTTTACCCAAGTATATGTGAAATTATAGTTTTTTCATTCATTATATTCGATCTTTTAAAATTTTGTTTACAATTTTATTTTTCATTCACATTTTTGTAGTTGAATAATTTTTCGAACAAGAACTACTTTCGATAAAGAGGGCGAAATACTGCACAGAATGATCGTCATATATTCTTTTATTTGCGTTAGCAATCATTGTACAGATATTTTTAGCTACATGGAAAAATCTTTTTCCCCTCTTTTGCTTTTTTTAGGATCGCAAAGCACTGGCGAAACGCATTTTCACGCTAAAAGCTCGCGCTGATGAGATTATTATTCCGCCTTGTCGTCGTCTTGATCGCGCTATATAAACGTTTAACTACTTGAAAGTTGTTGGCACTTACAAGAACTCTCTTTGTATCGAACTCATTTGGTTACTTAAATTTTACAGAGCTTTTTATATTATAAATTTTCATAAAATCGAGTGTGCAGGGTAAGTATTTGAAAAAACTTTGTGGAGTGGCAATCGAAATAACGAATGTAATGACACAATGAATAGGAAATCGAAAAGAAAGAGAGAGAGAGAGAGAGAGAGAGAGAGAGAGAGAGAGAGTCACGTGGTGAATTCAAATTATCGAAGTTTGAATTATTAAGTTTTCCATCGGATTTGCATTGAAAACACACAGCAAAAGAATTTATTTGACTTCAATATCCTTTGCAGGAAAAATTGAAAAAATTTCAGGTTCAGGTAAAATTGAAGTGAGGATGCTCAAAAGGTTTAATAAAATAAAGAAGAGGCACGCGCAGATTGAGTAAGTGTGATTAAAGTAAGATCAGACACAAGTTTCCTTCCATTTCCTTGACCATTAATCTCATTTGGCTCAAGTGCAATACGAGCGTACTACAAATTCCCTTACTAGCGCCATCGTCATGACTGCCGTCGCCGCCTCATTTAGCAAACTTGCTTGAGCTTGCGGCTAATGTTGGAGAGGTGGGAAAATAAAGACTGCGCAACATATGCACATAAAAGAGAGAGAGAACCCGCGGCTGCGCGTGCTTCGACTGCTAATTGTACATAGGCGCTTTGGATTGATATAGAAGCGCACACAGGGGCGTCTCGCAGCACCATGTTCCATCCAGTCACAAGTGAATATTTCAATGTCGAGCTTATTTTCTATCGTGAGAATTTCACCAGCCGTGCACGATTATTGGCCTATTATCTCTGCTCGGCGAATAATAATTCTGCGTGCATATTAAATGGAAACTTTGATTGCCGCTTGAATTGACAAGCTGCATTTCAAACAAACTTGTTAATTATTTCTTCGTTTGCATGCATAAGTATTTCACCATTTTTTTTTTATGCATGTGCATGTTTTTATTATTGCTCTTTTGATTACGATTAGGAATATATACATACTGTGGCTTTGAAAAGACACAAAAGTGTTATATGCACTTTTGGCTATATGCGCGCATCGAGAAAAAGTAGGTGTCGTTTACGTCCGTCGTCGGGATGATCAGGTTCGATAATTTAGCATCACAAGCCATATCGATTATTTTTGTTGTATCGGTAGCGTCTCTATTTCACAATCGCGATATCAGCCGGTCGCAATTTGTTGACGACAGCGAACGATCCAGGGAAACCCCTCGGACGACGGAAGGATGAGATTTTCCATGGTGCCTTCTAATTGCAAAGTTTCTTACGAAGGACAACGATGGCAACGCAAATTGCCTCATCAATCTTCGTTTTTCAAAGTGAAGATTCAATTATTTTTTAATCGCTACATGCCGTTAGTGTTGTTTTATTTTATTCTCGTTTTTAGCTTCTAAAAAAAAGCAATTGTAACACGAATTTCACAATGGGAATAAAAAGAATTCGCACTAAAATCGTCGCCGGCGGACGGAAGGGCGTATAGTCCAATACAGTAGAAAACAAAACGGCTCGTCACGAAATTGTGGAGTGAGATAGAGTCCAACATTTTTGCGATAAAAGTTATCGCGGCCTCGTCGAATCGAGCGCGAATTCTCTCTTTCTCTCTCTCTCTCTTTTATTTCGTTCCACGCCATTGGACTTCCATCTCCTTCCTGCTTTATATTTATCGCTCCTTACCTATGGCACTTGCGCGGAAAAACCGTGTAAAAACAGTCAGATCATTTTCTCGTATAGTTCCTTCACCCAGACAAACCTTTTTCTTTTGATGTCCTCCGAAATTATTTGGACAAAGTTAAAGTTCTGGTGCAGCTGTTCTCACTATGGCAATAATAGTAATAATAGAGTATGATAAGACGGGAAATCCAAATTCTTGCATATGGAGCAATATGTATTTGGAAGGGTGTTATCAAAATATTTTATCAATACCTCAGTCCATATAAATGGAAATCTATTATAATTGACTTTTATAAACGTTTCTTACAGAAAAAAAAAATTAATCAATAATAGCTATTATCGGAAATCAATCAAACGTCATAAACAGCAAAGAAAAAATGTACTGAAAGTCCAATAATTAGTCAAGTCGATAGAAATTTCTGGAATATTATAGGTTCGTGTACACCAGTAAAATAAACTGACGTCTTGTACGCAAAGCACGTGTCAGCCATGATTCTTGGAATCTTTTTTGCTGGTCCAATTTATGTGATGCCGGAGACGGGGCCATGGAAAAGATGTATATAACGTCACTTAAACCAATTTGAAAAAACCAAAAGAGAAAAAAAAATTGAGAAGATACGTGCGTAAGTTCGAGTATCGATCGTACGCTTTCTCGTCGCATGCCATTTTTCTTTCCTTTTCGAATGAAGATGCGAATCAGTATGATGCGCTCATGCATTCTGCATCGTGACACCTCTCTTTCTCTCTCTCTCTCTCTCTCTCTCTCTTTCTCTTCCACACGTTTTTGCGGTGATTGACCAAAAAAATAGAATTGTTGTTTTTTTCGATTATAAGCATGAGTTCAATCTATCCTTTGATAAAGAAGTTCCTTAAACGTCTGTACGACGTCTAACAAAGAAACATAAGATACACGCGCATTCTTTTAAAAAATTCGTGAGAAAGAAGCAAACTATCGCGGTACGGCGAAGAATGGCTTTACTTGCGACCAATAAAACTTTCCAAGCGAACAAACGATGTATTTTAATGGCAAAACAAATCCACTTGGTCAAAGTATACATTCATCATAAAGCGTTGACTGTTGAACTTTGAAAAAGCCGCAACTTGACCTGGCGAACGAAGCGCGAGGTCGACTGTAAAACTTGAACTCCTCGACGGAGAAATGCCAGACAATCAAAGTGGCCTTGCAACGTGGGTCAGCGCTTACGGCGTCAGGCCCACTTATGCATGCTTGTGCATTATACTTGTGGTCGCTATGAGCGTCGCGTGCGTCACGTGCCGTCGCTACGCGGGACGCTAAACTCGAAGCGCCGACAGTGCAGTCCAGGCGATCATTTCGCGGCGTTCAGGCGCGTTTTTAATTTTGCATGCTCGCTCGACTGACGATCAGCTTGTGTCCGGCGATTCCGCGGAGATGTGCAACTGGTCGAGCGTTAAGGTGCAGTCTACTGGTCGAAGGTGCGATTTTCGATGCGTTCACGCAACCAGTTTCTTCGTGAAATGCATTCAAGCCGCAATGGCGTCGGCTAAGTTTGAATCACTTCGATGTCGGAGCGATTGTCTCCAACTTATTTGTCAATGCATCGAACGACAAATGAATGGCGCCCGAAGCATCGAAGGTTAACTTGCACAGCGAATACGATTAGCTAATTTTCGAATCGAACGCCCGCTATCGCTGTAAGCTGGCACGCGCTATGTACGAATAAGTGGAAATTTCATGGAGACGCATTGGCACGTGTTGCAGAAAAATGCCCTCGATAGTGAAGAGGCAGGTGCCGGGCGGGCAAGCGCCGTCGCTGCAGCCTTCGCCAGCGCTACCGCAGCCGGCGGAACAGCAGCCCGCGCCCGCGCCCGCGGCGAGCCCGCAAGGAGGATCGCCACAGCAACCGGCACAGAATGTCGAATCCCCGGGAGTAGCGGCACCAGTGGCACCAGCGGCAGGGGCAGGCGCGGCCGCCGCCCCCGGGGCAGGAGCAGTGGCAGGGCTGGGCGCTGCCGTAGCTAGCACACTTCCCACCATCGGCAAAAACACAAACGAAGAAGGTGAGTTTGCTGCCCGCCGTGGCTCTCGACGACCGAATCTCGAGGGACTCGAGCGTGTCATGCAAAGCAACGATACGTTTTTAGCGGGTAATACAACACCGTCGGACGAAATAAGCACGACGACTGTGGCCAGCACAGTCGACAAGATCGAGAGCGTGGTCAAGGATATCAGTGAATCTACAAATATGTCTACTGCCACTGTTGTCGCCATAATCATAGGTAACTATATCGACGCCCATTCTATTCATATACATCCCCGCCCGCCAAGATTAGCTTGAAAGTGATTGTCAACGTATAATTCGATAGCGTCTCAATTATATCTGCAGAATTGCATTTATTCGCGACTGGCCGGTGCTATCGAGTTCATTGAACGTTTTTAAAGGCTTCGTTGTTTTACATCGTGGTCGCGCGACAATCGTGCAGTATTTTGCCGCGCCTCGACGATTCTTTTCCTTGAAATCGTTTCGTTGTACAATTTCCGATCGATTGACGCCTGTCTCCCGCGCTATGACTGTCGCCAATGAATATTTCTGTCGTTGTTGTGCTTCCAGAAAAAGTAAATCGTATTACCGTTCGCGACACGTATCGATGATTTTATCTTTCTTAAACGACAAGAATATATATCAAATGGAACGTTTGCGTAAGGACGGCTACTACCTATCACGAGATGTCGCATACGAAATTACTCTCCCGTTGAGCTTTTCAAGCGACATAATGTCGTCGTCGTCGTCGCCGTGACAAGAACCTGCCAAATCTTTCACGCTCTGCAGCATAGAACATGCGAAGATTGACGCACCGATTTTGTGAAACGTCAGTCAATTTTCGCAATCTCCGCGCTTTTCATTCGCGAGCGCAAGCTTCCAAACAAATTTTCTGCTGCTTATTCTATTTTCGATTTATTGTAGATTAGAACGATAACAAAAGTACACATAGTATTTTCATCAATTTTCTTGGCGAATGGCGAATTGTATTTATCAAATATATGCTTTTATGTTACATGCAATTTAGTACACACGTATATAACTCTAGTCACACACATACAGGTTTTGAAAATTTTTAACAATTTTGTATTCTTTATCTTGCTTTATACTACACACGCACAAAACACTGACGTACGAACAATTTCAAACCATAGTTTCGCAAACTTCAAAGGTTTATTCGTAATTTTTCGTCGTTATATCTATATATTTCTTTCCTTAGATAGTATTTTTTTATACAAAGAATCGCTTACCGCCGTATAACGTATTAAATTCGAAATCGCATTATCAAAATTATACTTTTGTCCAAAGCATTAGCTATTATTTGCCTCTTTTGCAGTGCATGAGCGCAGCTAAGTTTTTACATTTATTCTCTGCACGCATAAATCTTGATAAAAAAATACTTATTTGAGGCAACGGATGACATAAGCTTTTAACTAAGAGATCGCTTCGTTTTACGCAGCTTCAATTGAAACACATTATCGAAGCTTTTTTTCAACTTGAATTTTTTGCAATTAATCGCCGCTTTTTTCTCAAATTTTGCCTTTTGTTTTTAATTAATCGAAAGAAAACAGATAATTCAATAAAAAAAGAACAAAGTGTAATCGCGAGAGAGAACCTTTGGAAAAGCAGCATTATCACCCACACAAGACAGGTACACTAACACGCAAACCTAATAAGATCATTGATGTTAACCACTTTAGTAGTGATCCTGTTGATACTCGGTGGCTGTGGATTCTGCATAAGAAGATTCTTCCGTAAGCGACGCTCAAAGGATGGCAAGAAAGGCCTCAAGGGTGCGGTCGATCTCAAGTCCGTGCAACTGTTGGGTAGCACGTACAAGGACAAGGTAAAGTCTTTCAAATCTGGTTTCCTCGACCATTTTTCTTCTCTCTACGCTGTAACGCTTTGTTAGTTGATGTTAGAGCGCGCCGCTTGGCTCACCTATGCGGGAATTTCTTTTTTCTAACCGCAGGTTCAGCCGGACATGGAGGAGCTTACCGACAATATTGAGGAGCCTGACGAAGCAGAGAGCAAGCAGAGCGAAGTCAAACTTGGTAGACTACAGTATAAGGTGATTATTATACGGATCTCGCAAAGCGTATATTATCGGGTATTATTGGGTTATTTAATATTGAGCCTCAAAGATGCTCTTCAAAATTTTCGGAAGATACTATATTCGAATGACGAACAATTCTCTTATTATGCTATCCCGTTAAAGCAGATATTTAAACTGAATTAAAAGAATTTCGCTATTTCACCTTATTTTTTACAATATTCAAGTTGCTTCTATCTAGATTTAATTAATTGAAGTTTCAATAACTTATTTATAAAGCTTGATCTTTTTTCCGTTCAATCAAATTAATTAGTTCCAATTCCATAAATTACTCATTTAAGTACTGTTAGTTATTATCATTGCGGTATATTTTCACGCCAGAGCCATGCGATGAATTTTAACTATAAAATAACTAAACACATCGCTAAAAAATAATAATTCTAATAAGAAATAATTGGCTAGATCGCGCGATAATTAACGATAAGAGAAAAAGCCATTGCGCTCGATTTCGTTACTCTCAATCTCTCTCTCTCTCTCTCTCTCTCTCTCTCTCTCTCTCTCTCTCTCTCTCTCTCTCTCTCTCTCTCTCTCTCTATCTCTCTATCTCTTTCCCTTGGTACGAGCACACAATAAAATTCTGACGTATAGCTGGCGCGCGAGACTGTCAAGTGAATGTTTATTGATCGATGGTGAGTGAGCGAACTGCTTTTCTCTCGTCTTGTACTCGCGCGCGCATCCCCTCATATAGCGATACAGTACAAGGGGAAAGTTCGAGGTAGGGAGACAGGAGGACGGGAAGCATGAATGAGGATGCCGGGATAGAAAAAGGAGAGTTCGCGGGCTATAAAGGAGAAGATGCAGGAATGGGAAAATAACTTAGGATATTAGGCAAATCTGTACTGCTTGACATGCTTCATTACACTATTAGATTTGTCCGCGTATTCTTAGAATGTCATTTTTTTGTTAATCGCACGTCGAAATCGATCGATAGATATATCAATCGGCACAGGGTAAGCACACTACTGTTGCCCTTTCAATAAATAAATAAATAAATATTGTAATTTTTACATCGGCAGCTGGAGTACGACTTCAATTCGAATAGCTTATCGGTGACGGTGCACAAGGCAGAGGATCTTCCGGCCCTTGATATGGGCGGTACATCCGACCCTTACGTCAAGGTCTACCTTTTGCCCGACAAGAAGAAGAAGTTCGAGACGAAGGTTCACAGGAAGACGTTGAATCCCGAGTTTAACGAAACTTTCGTGTTCAAGGTACATTAGGCGTCGACTGATCGTGGCTTCAATTGAAGCATTAATTATTAACGAGCAAAGTACACGAACCACGCGTTAATTGACGATCGATTGGATGCAGGGTGTGCCGTACGCAGATGCCATGAACAAGACTCTGGTGTTCGCAATCTTCGACTTTGACAGATTTTCGAAGCACGACCAAATCGGCGAGGTGAAGGTGCCGCTCTGCCAGATCGACCTGGCGCAAACGATCGAGGAGTGGCGAGAGCTGCAGAGCGTCGAGGGCGAAGGAGGACCGGTAATCAAGGATGCTCAGTCCTCTCGGCCGCGTCGCCGACAATTGCGTTGCTCACGAGCTGCCTTTTCAGGACAATAAACTCGGCGACATCTGCTTCTCGCTGCGATACGTGCCGACTGCCGGCAAACTGACGGTGGTTATTCTGGAGGCGAAGAACCTGAAGAAAATGGACGTCGGCGGTCTGTCCGATCCATACGTGAAGATCGCCCTGATGCAGAACGGCAAACGGCTGAAGAAGAAGAAGACGTCCATCAAAAAGTGCACTCTTAATCCATACTACAACGAATCATTCACCTTCGAAGTACCGTTCGAGCAGATTCAGGTAATTCGTTTGATTATTCTCGCGCCTCGTCAACTTTTCATAATATTGCCTTACTTGCGGCATCTCTGCACTTTCAAGAAGGTTACTGCGCATGAAATAACCATTGCTTTTGGCAAGATGTCAATGAAGCACGCATATTTGGTGGTTGCTTTGCGTTTCGAAAGTCGCACGCAGTTGGCGTGCCAAGAGAAACGAAATAAAAATGTTCGTGTGCGCTTGTATCGTTTACAGAAAGTGAATCTGCAAGTGACCGTGGTGGACTACGATCGTATCGGCACATCCGAGCCCATCGGCAAAGTCTTGCTGGGTTACAATGCAAGTGGTACTGAGTTGCGGCATTGGTCGGACATGCTGGCGTCGCCGAGGCGTCCGATTGCCCAATGGCATACGCTCAAAGACCCCGAAGATGGGGACAAGAAGGACTAAGATGGTTCTAAATCCAACTAAAGGTCCATATTAACATTTACAAATGATCGCAATAACCGTTTGCAAATAGATAGAGCCTCATCATTATTCGTTCATTGCGAGAAACTGTCTTGGCTAACGCTCAATGCTGTCTTCCTTTCTTGCAGGAAGAAGAAAAAGATGCATGCTAACGAAGAAGAAATACCGAAGAGTGAGTTTAAAGAGCAAGTAAAATACTTGATATAGGCATTAACTAAACGATCATATATAAGAATAATCGAAGAAAAAATGAATGGATAAACCAGACAAAACAAAAAAGTATAACAATAAGAAAATATTCCACCATCACGATAAATAAAAAGAGTTAGCGTTAACGATATGTTCTCATGGAGTGTAGTGTCTTGTATATACACATTACTATTACCAGCTATACTTCTCTATCTGTAGTATGTAACGGTTATGAGTTATATAATATGATTATTTAGGAGAAAAATCAAGATTAAAAGAAAACTAAATGAGAAGTCGTGCAATGCGCGCGCGTTCTTTTTTAACGAAGACACGGGCATGGCAAAACGCATTGCAAATCTACTAGAAGCATTCCAAAGAGTTTTTTCTTTGTCTATCGTACGTCATTCTCACTAATTTGCCGTTTTTATTTATTAGTTCGTTGATCAGTCAAACGAGATGATGTCGACTTTTAAGAAAAACCACGAAAGTTTACGATTGTATTTCACCTGTATTACTTAATGTAAAATATACGGGTTAAGAGTAAGAAACAAGTACAGTTGCTTATCTTTCATTCTTTCCTATCTCTTCCTGTTTTCTTCTCGAACAGCGTCAATGCTTTTGTCTGCTTTGTCTTCGTTGCAACGTGAGCGTGTGGATGTGTGAGACTATCAAACAAATTGATACACGCGATACCATTAACAACAATAAGAAAGAAAAAAAAAGAATAGAAAAGGAACTGGATCGAAAGAAACTAAATGAGAAAAAATAATAAAACAGTAAAAACTTATTGCTACACTCACTCAGAGAGTTTGCGTCTCAAAAGTGGATTCGTCGACAATATATACATATTATACATATTATATAATTATATTTGCTTCTCGTATTAAGCGAAATCTCGTCGCAGCGCTGCGTCGCACGACAAACAATTTTTAATTACATTCGGTATCAATGTCAAGATTATCAAGAGGAAGAACACGAATAAGGCCTATTACAGAATATTGTTTCTGAGATACGGGTCAACTTCTTGGTGTTTTTCCGTCTATGTTTTTTCATTTTTTGACTTCGCAGCGCTGCTGGCGATCGACCGGCCTGTAAATTTCGCGAAGTTCGTGCAAGCAAAGGGAGTGGGGAAAAAAAAACTGAGTTGTCTTCTGTCGAAAAAAGCGTAAAACAGAAACGAATGGCACGTAAGAGGCATGTAAATTCATTTTAAAAAAAAAATCTCTTTAGCAGCTCGCGGAGCATTTTTCTGAAAGAGAACATGTTTTTGAAGTGTCTTTTCCATGTTTCTACGTATCGAGCGTTTCTGCTAGAATTTTTCCAAATAATAATAACATATTCGAGGAAAAATGAGCCATGGCGTTTTACCTAAGTATTTCACGTATTATAGTTATATTCCTCATTGTTACATATGATTATAATTCTGATTGATATCGACAGGGCGTATTCATGCGTATTAGTCATTAATACTTATATAAAAGGAAAAACAACAAAAAATTCTTCTTTGTTATAACCAAGAAAGAAATGCCGCGAAAAATATAAGAGCAAAAATTATATATGTAATTGTAAGGTTGCAAGATTTAAACAAAGCAAAAAGATAAAAAAACAAAAAAGGTGTATACTCAAATGTGTTGCTGGTGTTATTGTAAGTTATATGAATTGAGAAAATCTATTGTATTGAGAAAAAACCCGTGAGAATTATAGTGCGAAAGTGAGTATTATTTGAAAAAAAATTAAATAAACATTCCAGTTGAGAAAAAGAAGAGACCTCAAGTGTCATAAAGTTCACTAGTTCGTTATATTAATATCGATTGTTTTTAAATTCACAATAGCGTTCTCCTCATCTCACGCATCGCTTGGTGCTTGCGACGTGTACATTGTTTTTAGCCTGCCGTAAAAGTTACTCCCCAGGCCCTCATATAGACAAAGTCACGATCAGGAGGCTATATAGCTTTATTGCGATAAGATGCGCATTCTGATCTCTGTGTAAATACTTCCTCCTTAAGGCTTATAAATTGATATAAATATATGATATCGTTTCACCGCCGACCGTTATAAAAAACGCGTTGCAAAGCTATTATGCATATATGCATGAATATTCTTTGAATTTTGTATTTAAAAAATTGTTTGCGAGCGAACCCTTTTTTATTGACTGATTAATGCCATAAAATATATGTGTACGTATAGATGTTTATTTCTCATATGTGTTTCATAAAAAAAAAAAGATGAATGCCGATTCCTCCCGCGAATAATCTACTACAATTACCGAGGGCTTTAAAATCATTGTAATATAACTGAAAACTTACGTAATTTCGATTTTTGACCCTATCATAGTACTAAACTATAGACTAAACTATATGTTACTTGTCGCGATCAATCGACTTTCACACTCAGAATTTATGCCGCTATCACTCTCATTAATCCATTTAAAGATATAAAGAATATTATGGCCTTTCGTATAAAAGCGATATTGATCATATACATACTCACACATCAAGAAAGATTACGAGGCGAAACGATCAATTGCACGAAAAGGCAAGCGAGATGAATATGAGACTGTCCATTGAATGAAGTTGTGTGAGAGAAAGAGCGATTATTCGTTGGTACCTGCATCAAAAGCTTCGTCCGGGATAGATTATTATTAGAGAGGGTCTATTTATTTCTCATTGATTCTGTTGCCATTATACAGCATCACGATTACTTTCGTCGAGTTACTTGTCTTTATATATATATATATATATATATTATGTAAGTTGCCCGAGAGAAATTGCACGCATCAAAGGTAAATAAAGTCAGTATAAAAAATAAATCCAGAGATGATCGTTACACGCTAATATAACGAAAGACACGATGTAACTCGCATAAAAATCCGTTTTCTGCTCGCCCAAAAACTAGTATTATCGCATTTAATAAGCGATGACAAAGCACTCAGGAAAGTTATAGTGGGCGGGAAATGAAACCACAAAATAAAAACGTACGTTCGTAAAGTGGCGCAGAGTAAAATATACAGATTAAAATAAAATAGCGCATTATAATGATAACTACGTAAAGCACGTGCACTTCACATACGAAATCCCGTATAAATCACAATCACACCTTCATGATCACTCAATAACGATCTACAAAGAGATGAATGAACGAAAAAATACAATTCTAGTTGCCAGACACAGATCATTAGTATAATTAGTCTTTTAATCGAAATCGTCTTCACAGAAAACAACAGCAAACGTTTCTTGTGTCGTCTCTCGTTCGACGAGGATCCATAATATTCGCGTAAAAATAGCATCATTCTGCACTTTTTTTTCAGCAGTTTACTCGTTGCCCGGGGGACGACCGAGGAAATAAAAAAACGTCGCCTAATAATAGATCGTGAGAAACATTTTAAACATTTTTCATCATCAGGACCAATTAATCGACTTACAGAAAAAAATAACGACGAGACAGAGACGAGGATGGAAAAAGAATTTGTATTAGTAGCCGAATAAAAAAAATAAATAAATAAAATCAAGTATCTCAACTAAGCTATATAAGAACTCGTGCGTAAGAAATGTGAAAAAATTAATCGCTAAATAAAAAAAACTACTATATTGTATGCGTATATCTACACACGTTATGACAACCTCGATCACTTAAACAATACAAACAAAAAAAGGTTGACACGAATATATAAATATGAAAAAAGAACGTATAGAGGAATCTAATTATTTTTTAACTGTTGTTGAATTATTATCGTAGAGACTAAAGATTTGTTAAAAATTCGTTTGGTGAGATATATGTTAACTATATGGTTTGAGCGTGACGATAAAATAAAAAATGAAAGAAGCTAATCGAGACAGTGCAAAACAGACGAAAGAAAAGCATGGCACATCGCACACATTAGACGTCATATCACCGAGCATTAAATTCTGTATCGACCTTTCATATCCACGTGTATAAGGGACATATACTGCCACAATCTCACACACACACACACACATACATCTAATCACATGCATATAGATTGTAAACCTTCGCGAGAGGAGCTTGATAAACTATTCTATCGGGGGCGCCACGCAGATTATAATAGTTAGAGGAACATTCGCGTATATATAAAGCGTGCAGAAGCAGCAGCAGCAGTAGATAGATTTAAAAATTCTAATTTTATTAATGGAGCATGCTTTGCTTTGTGGTAGTCGCAAGGAGCGTACTCGAAATTCACGGAGAAACGAATGTTGTATAATCGATTTTAACACACCACGTGCCTAAATACTGATAAATACCTCGATACCTGCGTGCACTCAGCTTTGTTCGGCGAGAGACAGCGATTCTTTCCGATTGTTCGTCGTATACTGTATCATTTACATTTCTTCCCGTTTATTGTTAGTAAAGAATAAAATCTTTACGGATTTGCTCTCACAACGCTCTTATTCTTTTCTTCGAGTAACTAATGAACAGCAATGACGAGAACATTGAGACTAAGATTCAGAGAGTTGTAGCGTTTTCAACGGGATCTGGACGGAGAATTAAAAAAAATACAAACAACAATGTGCGCGTAAAAAATAAGCATCGAAATCACATATAACTTGCCTTCATGATACTTCATGCGCGCGCGTGTAGTTGTGAGCAAAACCATACATCGTCAATCGCACTCATCATCGTTGTCACCTACTTAGATGATTCTCCATGAAAGTTTTCGAGTACGCTCCGATAAAAGTGAAAAAATCATCTTCCTGCGTCTTCTTTTGCCTTTGTTTTCGTCGATACGTATTGTAGTCTCGAGCGTCGTAGTTTTAAAAGGAAAAAGAAAATTGAACGAAAGTGCAATAATCCATGCGTCTTGAACGTGCATTTGAAGAGAAATTTTACAATTATGCGGTGAGAAAACCATTTCAAATGCTCGCGCGACTAAGGAACGAGTTCGCGAAATCTCTCTCGACGCACGAAACAATTCACACGTCAGGATTGCGTTTGCTCCTCTGCCAGTTTTAATAATAAGGAAAAACATGATATTAGACATTTTTGCTTGTGACGACTGTGTTTTTTTGCTTCGTACGAGAAGTACCCCGCTAAAATGACCTACCATGAACGTAACGTAATCCAGTCGTAATACACTTTTGCCCGTGAAGCAGTAGAGACACAGGGAGAGAAACGACAAAAGGACAGTTCTAGTGTACTCGACAATTGTCGTTTTGCCGGCGGGACGACACATTTTCCTTCTCGTACATTTTGTTGTGTGTGTGTCATACACACGCATATATTTAGCGCAAGAATTGTGTAAATAGTTAAAGCATTTGTATATCACATTTGTTTTCTTATTTCGTTTATCATAAGAATGGGAAAGGAGGGTTGGCAAAAATGAAAGATGAAGTGAAAAGGGTGGTATATAGGTGACATTCAACGTAAATATTCCTCAAATGTATTTCTGATTTATTTTCTTGTTTCATTATCTCGCTGTATGCAACGGTGCGATGTTTGTCGTTTTATATATCATTCTTTCTTTTTCGTACGAGTTGACAGTTTTCCATTATCCGTCACTTTCTGAAATCAAGTCGTAAATGTTTTATGGGTGTGTGTGTATACTTGCATAAGACTAATATCACTTGCTTAATGGAATGTTCAAATTGAAATATGAAAACTGTCATTTCGGTTACGTGAAAAATAAATTGACAGTAATCCATTGTTTTCTTTTTTCTCGCGTGACTGAAATTCGTATACGTTAATTCGTCTGTTGCAAGAAAATTGCATCTTCGTGCGAGCTACAAAAATGGTTTACAGTTCATTTCTTACAAAAAAGGAAAATTTCCCCGTGTTTAATTCGCTATATCATTTCGATTTGTTCGCTTCCTTACAGAGATTATGAAAAAAAAAGATAAACTGCGACGCCAGACATGAAATCCACCTTCCCTGTGTTTATATGCATCTGCCATGAATGTCTGTACTATAGTCGCTTGACGAAAACGACTTTCACCGTAAAGAAACAAAACTGCAGCCAATGCGAGGAAAAAAGAGAAATGTAAATTAAAAGAAAAATGGAGAAAAATGAGCGACCTGCAGAATTTCGAAACAAATAGCCTAAAAATCACGTTCTCTACATCACGATATGTTGGAAAAGAAAAATAAAAGTCAAACGAATGAAATAAAAAAAACGGTAGCGTCGCATGTTCTTATAGTTGCGCAAACCCATATATAAAACGAGTGTGTACAGAGTTGAATTTGCAGTTATCTTCGTTGTTATAAACCAAGTGTAGAATCGACAAATGCGAATCATCTTCCGAGTTGTATCACAATCTGCGTACGTATTTCGAAATTCGCAGCGATGAAAAGCAGGTTTTCACGGAAAAACCAAAGCGACCCCGCGTGTAATTGTATCGGGCCTCTCGTGATGGGAGTTTGATATTATTTAGCTTTTTCGTTGAGGTATCTTCGGATCACAATTATTTATTTGGTACCAAACTTGTAGAAAGCGATATCGAGATAATTGTTGAGACAGCGAGAGAGAGAGAGAGAGAGAGAGAGAGAGAGAGAGAGAGAGAGAGAGAGAGAAGAATGAAGGAAAAAATAAGATTGTTTTTATTTCTTATCCTCAAACTCGGCGATAAAGATTGGATCAATCTTCTTATATAAACGTGTTGGAACATTATACGGATATTTCTACATATAATTCGGGATTAGAAGTGAAAGATTTAAACAAAAAGAAAGAATAGTGAAGCAGACGAAAGAAGATACATGAAAAAATAATTATAATAACAAGACGTCCCCAAGCTTGCCGAGAGACGAAGGATGTGTATCAACCAATCTTGTAATCATTTCATTACGTACTGTATTTAAGGATTAGTGCGAACGATGTATTGTAAATCCATAGAAGTTATTATTATATCATAATTATTATGTAATAAATATTGTTGTTAACATAATTATTGTGATGTTCTCTTATTTCTTTTCAGCCATATTGACATTTTTAGCTTGAGCTCCGGAGGATTAATTAGCGCTATTGCTCGTGTAAAAATTTATTTCGCAAAGCAAAACACTAACAGCTATTTACATTCAAAGTACACAATTGTTAACAAGTAATTTCATTTCATTAGACTATCGCTAAAAATTTTGAAAACCTTGTTTAACTCAACCGTTGAACCATCCATCACTCATCTACGTACTACAAACTATATCGTAGGAGGAATATCGCTTCATAATTTATTAAATATAAGAGAATATCGAGTATTAAAGAAATTATTCATAAAAATCGTATAGAATAGAGATAATTCAACAGCTATCTTGCATACAAATACAAAATATGATGCCGGTAAAACTATGTATTCATCTCACTGTATATATATATATATATAGAAGCAGTCGGTGAATATATATTCGAGAAAATAAAGAATACCATTTTCGGTATATCGTATATATAAGTGCGAGGCCACGCTTAATATTTTTTTGATTGCAAACTCGATTTGCGCGAGTTACGTATGTAAAACTATGGAAAGTAGTGACGAGAAACAGTATGTATATGTATACAAGTATTTGATTGCTGTCTGGATGACTTTGTCTACTCTATGATAATATTGATGAGCTGCTTGAGGAGACTTAATACTGGCGGGAGGAGGATCGCTTCCGATTTCTCTGTTGCTGTTTTTTTACGGGAAGTCCGAGGGCGTATGGTTTGTGTGCGTTTGTTGAGAGATAAAAGATTCCTCTTGCTCTGAAATTTCAAATAATGTCTCGATCAGCCGTCCCTCGATAGACTGATTTGCTCATTAGTGCTTGAGAAACTTACGTATGAGGGGTATCCTCCCCCATCGGTATGTACTCGTCTTCGGACGGGTTGCACCAGCCGATCAGGTATGAGAACAGATTTGCGCACGGTGCTGCCCAAAAGCCGACTTTGGTCGTTATCGATTCTATGTAGTAAGGCGTCACCTTCGTATGGTCGCAGGACAGTGTTTCTGCGCGACAAGACGAAACGAATAAAACTCTCTGTGAGATGCTGAAAAATCGAGTGCCTGGGACTTACGGAGTATTGACGAGGTTGCGCATCCGGGCTGACTTGATCCACCGTTCACATAGAAATCCGCATGGCCATTTGGGCCCCACTGTCCGAGGATCCCCGCTCCCGTGTGGATCACATCGACAAAATGTGCATCGGTCGTATCCAGATCCCTCGACCGATTGCCATTCATGTAGAAAAATATCGTCGGGTCCAGCCCTGTCGTTTTCAACACCACAAAAAACCATTCCATATGTTCCTTATTACGATTTTTATGAAATCGCTAGCTCCTTATATCGCATCTCGGCACAATCAAGGCTGATTACGCTGAACGAACCGATGGATCATGAAAGATGCTCGTGCTAAAACTTTCGCAACGGCTTTGTCGACGCACAATTATTATTGCACTTGCAAATTTTATTTCGCAACGGCGCGATGACTCTTCGATATAAGCGAAATCAATTAATTACGTTCGGAAATTACAACGATCGAAATCATAACGTGACTAAATCTTGTTAATATATATATGTATCCATCGTTCGCATCCGAAGCAAATAGCATAATTACCGGTGATCCTGCCAATCTTGTCGTCAGGCAAATAATTGGCAACAAGACCAGCGATGTGCGCTCCAACACTGTAACCAAGCATGTGTATGTTCTCCACGGGAGTTCCACGTGGATGATCCCTGATGTAACGTACCAGTTGAGCGATACATCGCGAGCAGAAGTCCGGACCCCAAGAGATTTGCGAGAGACATGGCTCGCGCACCAACGAGCCGTAATCGACGATTATGATGTTGTAATTGCCACGCGTGAAGTAAGCTGTTAACGGTATTGCCAGTTTTTTACAGAATATTTGACATCGCCTCGTTTGGTCTTTTGCGTCAACGACGCGATGTCATTGTCACGCGTTAACTACACGGCGACGCATTATAACCAAGCGCATTTGTAAATCTTGCAAGTCGCATACCTTTTCGCAGATCGGTGCTCGGCGCTAAATTTCTGCCGCCTCCGAATCCGTGAATGATAATTTTCGTCGGGTGAGTCGGATTGAAGCGAGATTTGAACAGGGAGTCTCTGCGGGTCACGTCTATAAAAAACGGACTCTGCTGCGTCTCTCTGTCGGGGAAACAAAAACAAGGCATCGACGAACGTCAATCGCTTATCTTATATTATTGTGTAGAGAGAAGAAAAAAGAAAGAGAAGAGAAACTCGAAATTACAAAACAGCATGCAAGGACCATCACCTCGCTCTCGAGACGCTTATAGTTATGACCATTAGCATAATATTGCAATCCAGTTGCTGCACGCGGTGAAGTGACGTACATATACACGAAAAAAATATAAAATCATTCTAGCGACGATTATTACGAAACTCCCTTGGCATTTGCATCGTGGAAAAAATCAATCTGACGAATCGAGATTTTCATTTGAATAGCGAAAATGTCACTGGAAAGATGGATAATCGATCGACAAAGCAAACAGAGAGAGGTACAGTATGTATAAAAAGTGAATAACGCGATGTGACGCAAACGCTCATTAAATACTAAGAGTATACACATGCACCAGCACACACGTGAGCGTCTTTGATACACTCGAGTTGAGTTGGTTGCGGGCGCCGTCGCCGGGAGAAAGGTAGCTATCAACGTGTCCGCCGCGCGTATTGGGGTCACTTTCAGTCGAGAGCCCATCGCAGATGATCGTGATCTTGAAAGCGAGAGTACATTGCGGCAGCGTGTGTGCTTAACGTAGGTAGGTGACTTGTTCGTGGGGGAGCGGTACCTGTAGTCATGTTTTCGTTGCGTATTGAGCGTGTGTGAACATTGAATTTAAAGGGTTACCGAACCTTCTCTATAATTCTTAGGTAACGACAGTAAAACATTTATGAACTCGATGGGTAACAAATTAAAAACCGCGCGGATTAGTACGATGGTCATTATTTTTAGCGTCATCTCAATTACGAGTAGCTTCGAGCGCGAGCAAGAAACTTTCTTCCTGTTTCGCATTTACAACGCACATGACGCTACGTGATCGGCTTGCTAATCTGCAAAAATTTTTACGCTAGACTGTCATTAATGATCGAAAGCGCCTAATTTCTCTCTCTCTCTCTCTCTCTCTCTCCCTCTTTTGTAGATTAGACTGGATTTTTATATTAATAGACCATATTTGCACATGATGTAAATAGAGTGAATCAAAATAATTGAATAGAAATATGCTTGTGAATGATTTCAATTTAGAAAGAATTATTGTTGAATCTCAAGTACGAATGTGCCGTAAATAATAAAAAAAGTCATTAGAATAAATCTAGCGGCATCTTACCTGGTATACAAGAAAAACTGGATTTGTGGATAGGGACAAGTGAATGGTGGCCTCGCGCAAGAAGTACTGTTGAATAGATCTTGCCAAGATTTGTTTTTGTTTTCCGCTGTCACATCGACTGCAAGAAAACGATAAAACGTTCTGTAAAGATCAGTGAATTTATTTGCCGTAAACGTTCTCGTTTAACGGGAGCACAACACGCGGTAACCGGGTGAAGGTCGTGCAAAGTTTTTTCTTTATCTTCGATTAATACGTTGGCGATTGCGCCTCGGAGAAAGCCGGCACCGGTATTATCGGCGATTACGATAAAACCTTGCGAACTAGATTCAACCGTGTGTTGTAATGGACGATCAAGCGATCAGTTATGTCACCACGCTTGATAACGGATTCATCCTCCTGTTTTTTTTTTTTTTTTCTTTTTTCAAGAGGGATTACAAAGCTTTGCAAAACTATGGTCGAAAATGTGCGATTGTATACGCACATGCGTACCGAAATCATAAACTCGTTGAAGGTAGACTTGAAAGTGAATGCAGGTTTTAGTTTTGCATAAGTCTTCGTTTTAATTCAACGCTACTCGATTTTTCGGTGCGTGTGAGAGCAAAATGTCCGCAACGTTGCAACAGCATGACACAAACGACGCGCCCGCTTTTATTATTATTCGACGGGACCTAACATTATTTTTCTTACCGTGTCGAAACTGCAGTGAAAACAATAATGAAACGACGAAAAACACGAAATACACCAAATTGATACGTTCACAACCTCGCACGCGGTCTAATCGCGTGCGAGGTTGTGAGAAGTGCGTGCGCGCGCGTGGGTAAGAAAAACTGCGATTTTTTTTTTCGCAACGCGTGACTTCGAAGGAGCAAAAACAGAAACAACGTATACGAGCTATTTTAGGAAACTCAAGCTTTTTTTTAAACCTGACGGAACTTGAACTTTTATGGAATTTTTCACGAGTCAGCGAATTGCGAAAGTCAATTCCGAAGATTCTCGACTCTCGCGCGAGAATGAAATGATTCCGACTTGATTAGCAACGATTTGCCGAGGCAATGCGTGTGAAATCGCATTTATTTCGCTTCGAATTGTAATTCGCGAAGTTATGCTTTCGTGCGGAGATTCAGCGAGTTATGTGACTTGCAGAACGATCTGGTTATAAAGCGCCGCTCAATTTACTTCATCTTCGACGATAAACCTTCCTGTGTAGGATGCGCATTTTTAACTGAAATTGCTTTGAAATGTCGCTATGATAAATGGATCGAAACTAGATTACAAAATTCCAAACAGCCTGAAATAATTGTTATGGTAGCTAATGAATCGAAAAAGTACGTTGCATCTTTTTGGATTCGATAACAAAATTACGTAAATGGCACGTTTCTCGATACACACATGCCCAAATTCCGAGCAAGTCCATGCGCATTCGAGTATCCCCAGAGGTTGGCTACATTGATGTAATTGCGATGTTGGCAAAATCGGAAATTTCCATGTGCAATCTTCCTGTCTCGCGGAGAAAGGTACTTCTGTTTTTCATAAACATAAGAATTAAGGACACGCGGAACCTATACCTGCACGCACTTGTGCCGGAAATATTTACCGGCCATGCGATATTGTTTCGCTTAAAAAGCTCGGTGATATTCTCGTAATATAGGGGAAGGAGTGGGTGTGACCATGTGTAATGTAGTAATATCTGTGCCGGATATCCCTGCGTATACGAATACAGCCAATAATTATTGACACGACAAATTCTTTGCTAATCACAGCAGACGCCACAGCTCTATTTGAATACTTCGTGCAATTCCGACGAAAGCTTAGATTTTTCAATATGCCACGTTACGTAAGGTGTTACGCGTACGAAATTTTGAAGAGAAAAAAATGGAAAAATATAATCACCTCCTAACGTGGTGGCACATATGTGTGATTAATGGCTACGTGAAAATTTTCGCACGACTGAATTACATATGCGTAAGAATGAAGGAGAAAAATTCGATTCAACTACCTGGCCTAGTATTCTTTTTTTTAATAACATAAATAATAGGCGTGTGCGTGTGGGTCGTGGTAAAAAAAATTAGTGAAGTTTGACATCGGTTTCACTCGTGCACTCACTCGCCTTTGATTGCTCGTCATGTTTCTGTTGGCAGCACCAACCCTGCCTGCTTATGTTTGGCAAGCGTCATCTTCGGTGATGAGATTTATTATAATTTATCACGTGAGTGAATTTGAATACGCTGTCTGAATAATTTTTATTTTTAAATCGATGTATCAAATTCGTTAACGTACTCGCTACGCGTATCCAATGAATACAGAAATTTGAATATCCGTTAAGAGACGACAGAACTTTCGAAAGGCATTCATCAGTTTTCTGAAAGCGCACTGTTAAATGTGAAAGAAAACAAGACAACTTTGGTAAATCGAAGAAGAAGAAGAAGAAGCAGAAGAAGAAGAAGAAGAAGAAGAGAAGAAGCAGAAGGAAAGAGTTACGCGGAAGTCGAACTTCATCGTGAAGTTTCACGAATAACCGTGACTTTCTCTGTAGGAATATCGTTACGAAGCCGGCAGCTTTGAATTGATCTCGGGGTGAAAAACGTAGTAGAAGGATCGCGCGAGGGTAACGCTCACGGTAAAGCGGGCAGGTCACTTGTGAAAATGGAAGAAGTACTCACCGGCAGCAAGGCGCAGTAGCAGCAGAGCGGAGAGCGCGAGGCTGAGCAGGGCCATCTCCCGCTGGCTGACATCGGTGACTGGTGCGCGCGACGACGACGACGACGACGACGACGATGCGCTTATGCACACACGCGTCCGTGTACTTAATGGCAGCGAGCGATCGGCCGCGACCGGCGAGTCCGTCCGCCGCGCTGGCCGCGCCGAGCGCGAGAGCAGGGGGAATTTTAGAAAGTAAAACGCCGCTCGCGCTCGCGCTCTTCTCCTTCGTATGTACGCGCGTTACACGGAGATATACGCGCAGGCGCGCGAGTGAGAGCAGCGCGATCGCGTTTTTACTTTCTTCCGAGAGTGGGCCTCCTCTCTCGCCGCTCACCGCGCGCGGGAAGCTGCATTGTGCGCCTCGCTCGGCCGTTCCAGCCGTGCGTGCAACCCGCATTGTTTGCATTCGGGGACGCGCGTGCGACGGGGTGGCACTTTCGCGAGCCGCCCGCTGCCTCGAATATATATCGCGAAAATCGACTCGGCGACTGTTTCATCTTCCTTTCCGGGACTGTCGCGCGCTCAACCGCCACGCGATTGGATAATACGATTTTAGTGCATTGCTCTTGGCGCTATTTTGCCACGCTTCCGTGCACCCGACGAGTCCGCAATGAGGAAGCTTCTCAAGGCGCTGCAAAAATTCCTTGTCTACTGTCAAGGCTATCCAGTTTTGGATGATTCTTCGATCTTTTTGCAAGAGCACTAAGTTAGGCTGAACGTTTCTCGATGATCCCAGTTGGACATGTTTTTTTGAAGAAGTTAGGATACTTGGCGCGAGAGGGGAGCAGCGCCACAAATATTCGATGGATTTATTTTATCAATTATCTGACGGGTGGGGAAATTTATACAAAAAATACTGCCTTGACTAGATTCTTAAGCACAATGATAATATGGTTTAGAAGATAGACAATTGAGCTATATAGTGCTCCATTACTAGTTCCTTTTTCTCTTCGCATATTACATATTGAATAATGAAAAATCAATCGCGATGTTTTTTTGAGACTCAGTAGCTGTTTCCTGTATGCTCGTAGATCACAATATATGTTTCACAATATGCTCATGACATTTTACTTTATGATATTATCACTTGACGTGATAATATCATAAATAAGTGTTAACTTTTAATTCACATACTTCTGCTGAATCCCGTGCTGAATTCATTAAATAAGAAAGCCTCGAAGATAGCACCAATTACGCATGAGGGAAGAATTAAATTGAAAGAATCATTGTAAGAATAAAGCAAATGACAAATCGTGCGAAAAAAAACAAATTTTTTTTTTGTTTGTCACAACTTCCTTTTTGTGATCAGCGATTTTAAAAACACATAAAAACATGAGAATTTTGCATTTAAATATTTTTACTATTATAAAGTTTCCCCGAAGTGGAAAAATACAAAGTGAACCGCGATCTTCGGTACACGAATGTCGCGCCCTAGGTTTCATTTTCATTCATCTTTTCATCGAATTTGGTAGAATAACATGCATTATAAACGAGATCATCTTTCGGACAGAAACTATTCGAGTTTTAATTCATAAAAATTCGTCGAATCCAGTCACATGCACATTGCCGTTATAAGAACGCAAGATAAGGTGACCGCGAGCCAAGTACGTGTAGTGCGCTTTTTTGTCGATTTGTTAACTTGTCGGATATTTCTTATTCGGACCGTATTACGTCATATCGTCTGAAAAATTTAGAGCACAAAACAAGTTTCACGTGCTATTTTCGAGTTTCGGTTATCTCTCATAATGTAAAACATGTAATTCATGTTGTACAAAATCATTAATTTTTAGCAGCTACATTGACATTAACAAATACCATCCAAATTCCCTTATGCATTAAGACAAAATACTCTTTGTTCTTATCTATTTCAACCCATTGAATCCATATCCACAATTAATTTTTCAAAAAAATTGTACATCATTGTTTAAAACGTAATTTTTTAAATAATTTTTTCTACGGGGACAAAATATTTTCAATAAAATGATCTATTTTAAGATAAAAAGATCTTTTATAATTTTTTTGCACAATGCACAAGTTAAAAGTCATAAATGTTGAAAGATCGGAACGTTTTTCACTAACTTCCGATGTCAATTATTTTTTATTTATTCAATATTTTTTTTTAAATGAATGATCTATAAATTAATATAGTTCAATGCTCGAGTAGATCTGTTAAAGACGCACTCATTGCGATTGACGATAAGTCTTGTAATTTCTATAAACATAAATATAATATACGCTTGATAATGCTTGCATACCAGTAAACCTAATTGTATTGAAGTTTCTTAATAACTTCGATTTCATTCAATTAGTACAGATAAATATTTTTGTATTGATAATACTTTATTAATACATTTATTTTTTAAATTTATTTCTACAGTTTTTATCTTTCGCACACGTGCAAAATGAATAACATTTAATTTTATATTTAACACAACAGCACGATTTTTTGATTATGCAAACTGTGCAACTATCACTTGCAACAAAAATTGTCTGGTGGTGGTGACAAAACGTACATATTTTAGGTTCTAATTATTTATCTTTTATGTCTTATCTAAATAATACTGGATCCAAATTATCTGACTTTTCATTCAAACAATTCACTTGCTGATAAGTGACAGAAAATGCTCGACTTATGCAAAATTTAATCGATGCAGGCTGTACATGCTAGTTTATTGAAATCTTTTGTTGTGATGATATTGCATGTAGTGAAACTCATCAAGTTTATCATAAGAACTATATTTTTCAAGAATATTGATTAAGTACTGTTTAGCTTGCTCTATATACACTGTTCTATCAATACTTCTGGTGAGCCTGAATTTGACAAATACATTTGTTCAAATAAATTTTTTCTACTTTCTTACTGTCAAATTTATGTAAAATTGGCATTGGATCTAGGAACGGCGCGACGCGTGATATCACGATAGTCAAGCAAGGACAAATTATGAGTTACGATTTTAAATCACTGATTCAAAATTTTTTTTTTTAATAAAAGCTACTCTTGCTACATTTATTAATAAAATTACTTAAAAATATAATTACTTTCCTACTACTATAACGATTGAAATTATAAATATCGAATAACTATATAAGAATAATTTTAGTAAATAAAAGAATAATTAAAGACAATATTCAATAAGTATTATAAGTATGGAAAATTATTATTATTATATTATTATAAAAAATATCGCTATAATTAACCAAACGTGGTACCTAAACGAGATCCAAACTATGTCAAGCGATAAACAAACTTATTGTCAATAACAATAAGTGCATATTCAAGAGACCTACACGAACATTAAACTGTATTAATTTATAGATGACTAATTTAAAAAAATATTGAGTAGGTCAAAAATTATTGATATTGAAAGTCAGTGAAAAACGTCAAATTTCCGATCTTTCGCATTTTATAACCTTTAAACTATGCATTTTCAAAAGAAACGACAAGATACTCGTATCTTTTCATCTTTAAATGAATCACTTTATCTAAAAAATGTATATCTCAATCCAAAAAATTATTTTTACACGTATTGCTTAAACAATTGCGTTATAAACAATGATGTACTACTTTTTTGAAAAGTCTAGTTGTGGATTCTGACTAAAAGGGTAAAAATACATAAGAATAAAGAGTTTGTAGTCTTGGCACTCTTAATGTATACTGGAAGGTACCCAGTCCCCAAATCGATTTGGAATAAGGTAAAATTTGAATATAATAGATAAAAAATATCGAGTATTTCAAAAAAAGTCGCTGACACTTTATTGTCAATAGCCATTGTTATTTTGTTCACTATAACATAATACACTCAAGTTCATAATATACATACATATTTTACATGATCCGTGATATAATAATTTTTAACAAACCAGACATTACCAGTGAGTAACAGTGTAACTTGATAATCATTTTTTTATTTTATTTTTTAAAGCTTCTGTCCTCTACTACTTCAGTAATACATTTTCGCTTGACTTAATGATTATGAGACAAGCATCAGTTTCAGAACAACTTCAAATCAAGTATTTGACATTCTCCTACTTTTCCCGTCTTTCCAACGCCAACGAGGCCACATTCCATTTATTATTTTTACAGTTCATCGATTGAATATTCTTAAGGATCATTATGATTATATTATCTATTAAGAAGAAAGATCAAAATCGACATTCGATTTTCTCGTCATTAAGGTTTTTATCTTAATTTCAGTGAACTATGTTTTATGGAGTTAAGATTACACACACACATTCAACACAAATTGAAATTCAGTTTTAAAAAGGTCAAAATATAAATACACGAATTTACGGCTTCCGTTAATAATACAGTGATAATCATATTATTTTGATCTTTAATTACAAGAGTGTTCAACTAAAACTCGCATCATTAATTGTCAATGAGTAGACAATAATGATGATAAATACAACAATGTCCTGTTTATATATATGTATATATGTGTATGTGTATGCTAGTGTGAATGTATGTACATATATAATGATCATTTACTGCATTCAAAATTGTATATTTTTTGAGCGAACAAGATTTTAATTTACGAACTTTTCATTGAACTAATATTAATCAAGTGATTATTTTTAATGATAATCCACTAATTTGATTTAGATAACATGGAACGTTATTGTAATAAAATTTTGAAATTGTATTTATTTACTGTATGTTACTGCATTGAAATAAAAATACGAACTATAAGTGCGAAATCAATTAAGAATATACATGAAATAATTAGTTTGTTGAACATTTATATTTTTTTTACTATATTAAGCTTTCGATTGTTTTTACTTTCATTATTGTCGATAAATTCATCGATACATTTTATTAAATATAGAACTTTTACATTCGCTGGCATCAAACGTTATAAATTCATTTCAATGTTATATCACACTGGAAAAATGTGTAAGATTCAACATCTAAAAATATTTGTCATAACACTTAACATAACATATATACATGTAATAATATAATGTACATACAACAAATATTATAAATTATATGTTACTCAACCTATTTTTATTTTCATATGCTGATTACTCAAAGACTCGCAATATACAATATTATTAAATTACATTCCAAACAAAAACGAGCAATATTTAAAAACTACAAAAAATATTTTCATATAATCGTAATGTATTTACCACACTCAATATCGTATGCGCATTTACAAATAATCATCTATTGTAGATGTACTTATTATTTTATTATCATTCTTAAATTGAATTTCTGTAATTCTTTGATAAATAATCATCTGATGTACAATTAAGATATCGAAATAAAAATTTATTATTTGCTTGTAGTATTACTCAAATAAATAAATTCAGCTTGCCTTTGAGTTGATTTATTAAGCACACTTGTGTTTTTAATGTCCGTATCATATTTTTTATATAATGCAATATGTTTATATACAAAGTATAATTAGTATCAGCTCTGTACAAATCATATAAATAATTAGAATACATATAATAAATTATATTCTCTCGTGTCTATATATTATTGTACTTGCACTTTCGTAAGATAAATAGTATGATTAAAGCAACCGTTTTTACCTGCAAAATTTGCCACTTCAATAGAATAATACCAAAACTAAATACATTATTCCATTTTCCGTAAAATAATTGAAAAATACTTTCACTTCGCCCACTTTGCTAATGATAAAATAATAAAACGATTATATTCTATTATTAGTCATTTCACTGGGAATATCATAATAATTTTGTTTTATCTTCCATTTTGCTAATAAGACTATATATAGATGACGTTACTTGATAGTACAAACGGTGGTTTGAATCATATTTTTTAATACATCCAAAATGTGAAAATGTATTAATTAAAATATTTGTATCATACTAATAGGCAAAACAACTGATTGAAATATGTTAATATTTATCAATATTAGAGATCCAAACTACAGTATTTAAATACTTTTACAATCCAAAGGAACAAAAATCAGGGCACACGCGGTTCATTATAAGCACGCAACTATTGTTGGCTCCTACAAACTCGAGTTTTTTATGCTTTGTCATCGAAAGTTGAAAAAAAACTCAAAAACGTATGCTGACAAATATGTATATATATAACGTTTCACAGCGCCCGATAATTGTTTTATTCATTTATTGTCATAAATTATTATTCATGTTTATATTATAAGTATTTTTGTATGTATATTTTTATAGTTTAATATAGAAATATCTCAGAATTATTGTTCGAACAGCATTAGATATTAGCCTAGGTATTTCTTATTTTTAGTTTGCTATAGCAATTAATTATTAGGAAAATCACTTACGTAAAGACACTTTTCAAAAATTTATCTATTCGAGTATTTTATTTTCGAATGTTTCGCTTCTTGAATACCTTGAATTGTGATTTTATTGTTATTGTCCATAAGTCGATTGAACGGGTTAAATGAGTAGATGTAAAATTCAATATCGTAATATCGAGTAATCGAAAAATGTCTAAAGAAAGTGACGTTAAAATATAATGGTTCAAATTGAAAGCTTCTATTATTTATCCTTTCTTCTATATCACGCATCGCAACTTTATACTTATTATTAGGCCAGTCACTACTTTAATGCATGGGTAAGTGCATACTTTTATAACAAACATTTAAGGGATCTAAAGAAGAACCATTTTAGTTAAAAAATGATTAGTTTTGTAAAACGATCGAAACTTATGAAATTAATATTTCAATGAATTTGATTTTATTTTGGAAACATTCCTTTTTCTATAGTGACTGATTTTTTTCATCATTGTTTTTACACCTATCTCTCGCTTATAAACTTAAAATGCTATCCCTTAAATGCTCTTTGTTAATAACTGAATGTGGCTTTTTACTAATGCAGGATGAAAATAAATTATATGTACTTACATAGCGGTCAAGGAACTTTGGATAAATATATGCACCAAGCAAAAATGATTTAGCTCTTATGGTGAAGCAAATACCTCTACAAGTATTCTAAGAACACATTCCCTATTTCCGGATCATTATATATGTATACCATCATTCGTATTTACAATAAATATATCGCTCTCAAGCTATCAAGGACATTGTAGAAATAGTAGATCTGCAATAAGTAAAGAAATTATTGTCGATTCCGCAAAATTTGTCGCGTAAAAGAAAAAATATCAAAACCTTCTTTTTACGTAATTGAATTCATCTTCCTTCTATATTATTTTCAAATTTTCTTCGATTAAAATATGCAAATCTGAGTAAATACAAGTATTATATAAAAGACTTTTCACCGCTATACCGCATGTTTATTGTTATTCATTATACCCTTTTCTCTCAAGTAATACTTGATAAATCTCTTAATAAGAATGAATTGTAAGAAAAAACATATTTGAATAAGATTGGAGAGACTACACCACTGAATATATTGTAAGTAAGATGACGAGACGCGCGTTTCTTTTATGTATAAATATAAGGTATTGCGAGCATTGACATTGATTTTAGCACAACACAATAACGGATTGGTCTAAAAGCCAAACCTGATTCATCTTCAGCTACTCCATCAATATAGTAGAACTAGAATCGCCCATATGTAACTTTATTTATTCAATCAATGAATTCTTTACTTTTGTTTATAGAGTATATGTATATATAATCAATTCAGTAATAAATATTCGATCTTCTCTCACGTATTCTTTAAAAAGGTCTCGCGTAAATTGACTAATTTCGTAAATATTACAATTTTTTATATAATCGATCTAACCTCCTTAGATATCCATTCAAACAACAGAATCTACGCAGGGTTGTTCGAATTATTTTCGTCACTTCGACTATGATCTATTAACTTTCACGTGGATATTATACTTTCATCCGTTTACTTTCATCATAATTTTTCAACATCGCCACTTCTATTATAAAGTGACGGAGTTACTTTCTTTAAAATACTTTCATTTTTATTTATGTCTCATGTTTTTTTTTTCCTTTTAAATATCTTATTTGAATAACTTAATTTAAATCTTCTCAATCCCCGGTGAATCCCTGTCAAGAAAATACTTGCCAAAAATGCGCTTAAAAAATGTCTACAAAAATGCCAACAGCATTTTTATTACTAGTCGTAAATATTTTCATCGGTATCATATAGTACGTATTTCGTACTTTCAATTTTTATTTCAATTCCACGTACCAGACGTTCGCTTTGAAAGAACATTTTCATTCAAGTTTCATGATAGGGTTCCCGTGTAACACCAAGATCGTCCAGTGGGATAATTTACGTATATCGATACGTCTTTTAAACATTCTTTTCTTATTTGATAACAATACTTTAAAGTCGTCATTAAAACGTAAAATGACGTTTATAGTCTATGTCATACAATACATATGATTTGACTTTTTGTGAACTTCCATTAAAACTTAATAGCTTGGGAAAATCTTCATTAATTTCTTTTTCCATTTGATTTTCATTTTGCTTTCTGTGGTCTTATTGCTACATTTTCATACTTTTCTCTTTGTTTCTGTTATCCTGTACTGCATTTGAGTACCTAAAAGTTGCAGCTAACGGCGCTGTTTTTCAATGTATTTATAGTCTGTTTCATTCATTTTTTATTGTTCGTTATAGTGTTGTTGTATTTTATTGGATTAGGTCAACTTTGCATTCAATTGTTTAATGTGACGCATAATAAATCCATCTTCATTGTGCAAATGATTAATAAGTGCAAGTTATTGTCCATACATACACACGATTAAGGTAAAATCTATATCATGTCAAAATATCATTTCCCGTTATTATACTATTTAGTTCTATGTATATTTATTGTTTTTAATTATATCTTTTGATTTATCGAATTTCCTTCTGAATTATTGTCATTTTTCTGAATTCTTCTTATTGTCGCATTGTGCAATTTTAAAAAGTGCAATTTTTACGCGTATTTTTAAATTTTGTTTATAAAATTCGACGATTTTGTTGTTATTGTATGTTTTATTTTGAACTGTGTGTAAAAATATTTATAAATCGTATATTAAATGTGGAATTTAGTTTGATTTATTATTCAATCTAACTGGTTCAAGTTTCTGCTGTTCTAATATTGTTTTTAAGTGATAAGAAATACACTTTCATTTTACTCTTGTACTTTAAAATAATACTTGTTGCTGTAACGGCATATTATCACTTACAGCCAACCAAAGTTACTTTTTATACTTTCATTTGTTTCATACTTTCGTCGTATAGTATTGTCATTGTATTCTACGTCGAATTTGCACAAATACTTTGCAAATATTAAACTTGAACTTATAAGAATCGGTTATTTGCATTGTCATAGTAGCCCTGCTATCTGCCCTCATAGGTATCACATTAAAAAAAATACGTCAATTTGTAATCGCCAAGTTTCGTGTAGGCAACTCACTAATTTTTACGATTGGCGTGAGGATTTTATGTTCATCGATACATCAACACCGATGAGAAATTCTTTTGCTAGTTAGTAATCTGGACAAAGATGAAGTATGAATAAAATTTCTCTTGTAATTGATAAAAATAGATCTCTACTAACATACTTTTATAATTTTCGTCCTCTAGGGTCAATCGATATGTTAGAACCACTCATCCAACGCCTCATTTAGTTTTAATATTGTAATCAACAGACTATGTATTTTACAAAAAATCAGCTTTTTTAATGAAATCAATTGCAATGATATCGTAAATTGCAAGAACATTCGATATTAAATAATTTGTTAAAAAAGAACACGAGCGGTCAAATCAAATTTCAATTAAAATTCAAGTAGCTTGTTAGTATTTTATAGGTGATCGTCAAAAAATACGACGATCTGCTGATATGTTAAAGCGTGATATCGCGCAAAAAAAATATTACTACGAGTTCCCGCAAAACCCATTGGATTCCAGGATACTAATGCAGTCGACAAGAAGAAAACTCAATCAAGTGAATAAAAATAAAAAAATCGAAAGGCTTGGTCCAGATTACCAAACTAAAGCAGAAGTGCATTTAGCTTTACTGCCACTGTTGCTGTGAATTCTGTATAACATCGTGGCCATAGTCATCTTTTGCCGGTGGCTGCACGTAACTCGCACTTACCGCACCCGTAGCGAATGGATTTGTCGATGCGAATGGATTGCTGCCGGTATTTTGAGTTGCTCCGTAACTTACCGCCTGACCACCACCTATAGGTTCTTGCTGCTGCTGGTACTCGTTCGTTGGCGCTTGATACTGGTAGGTTGATTGTTGATAGCCTGGCGGTTGTTGATACGGTGCTGGAGTCTGCTGGTATGGCGGTTCCTGGTACGGTGGTGCTGGTTGCTGATACATAGGCTGCGGTTGTGCTTCGTATTTCCAGCTCTCTCCAGATGGTTGTCTCTGTGACAGATTTCAAAAGGTGATTACGTAAATGATTTTTCAGTTTGAAACAGTTAAAAATACATTTTCAAAGGAATTATTGCTTGTATCGCCTAAAGATATAATGAACAAAGATTTCAGTACAACGAACTTTATGACTTTTATGAATAATCAATCTCCTTTTTGTCTCATCAGATCGATCTGTAAGCGTTAATACATCAACCGAAAAAGCATTCTGCTGTGAGAACTATTGAATTCTTTAAAAAATATATGACATTCAATCGAATTCTATTATTTATGTGTTTGCGTTTTAATTTATAAAGTAATTGACAGGAATTCCTTAGAACATTCTTTGATGAAATATACGTTTTCAAGTATATTAATAAGAGTAAAATAAGATTAATATAAGACAGCCTACTCACAATGAACTGGGTCTGCGCGACCTGAGGTGGTGGTGGTACCGGTGGTCTAGTCTGTCCCAAATCATCCAAAGGATTCCAGGTCTTCTTCTCATCAGCAGCTGGATCAGCCCACGGCTGGAGCTCGCCGGAACAGAATATTCCGTAGAAAGTGACACCGACGAAGTGCACACAAGCTGCCATGATGAAAACGTTTCTCCAGCTATTGGCGTCCTTATTTTTGGTGATGTTGTCAACAAAAATCGGTACGATGAGGCCGGCGATAGTGCCGATGCCGTTGGACATTCCCATGAGGATACTGGCATATCGTGGCGCTATGTCCAGATGATTAACGTTGTAGCCGGAAATAGCAAAGCCACTGCAAGCTACACCGATAGTTAGTGCGACGGTCGCTCCGCCACTGTTCTGCGTATGAGCACAACGCGCCACCACCAAAAAGAAAAGTGCTTCCATCCCAAAGCCTCCGCAATTGAAGACTTTGCGCACAGTCGTCGTGGTCATTATGCCAGTTTTGCGCAGGTAATCAGCCAGCAGACCTCCGCACGGGACAATGCACGTCATTAGCAAGTGAGGCAAGGCGCCCAGAAAACCCGTCTGTCAAATCAATCGGTCCGTTAGTTACATTTCGTAGAGATCGCGAAAAATTAGCCCAATTCGCTAACCTCGACCACCGTCATCCTGAAAGCTTCGTGCATGAAGCGAGCCTGAAAGAGCACCAGCAGATAGAAGTTCCAGGACCGACAGAAGTTTGCTACGATGATAGCGTGCACCGGCATCGAAGTGAGAAACTTGCGCCATGGCGTTGTCGCGAAAGTCGGCATCGGCTGATTCATTTGCGATTGCCCTAGCGAGTCCTCGATGTAGCGTAACTCTCTCGCCGAGATGCATGGATGCTTCGAGGGTTTCTCGAATGCCAACCACAGCCAGAAACAATACCAAACGATACCGCAAACGCCTAAATTCCGTCCAATTTTTATAAACGATCCTTCAGATTAGTTGATATGCCGTTGATCTTACCGTAAAAGTAAAACGAAGCCGTCCAACCGAAGAGACTTGTCAACACGCCGGACAACGGCATCCCAATGACCACAGCGGCATACGAGCCGCAGAATGCAAGAGTGGCAAGACGTGATCTTTCGAGTGGCGGTGCCCAAAATTTCCAAATACCGTGGCAGGCCGGATACGTGACACCCTGGAACGAAGCCAGCTCATTTTATTGCGATCCAACGAGCTTTGGTACACAGCCAGAAGGACTCACCTCGACTAAACCCTTGCAAACTTGGACCAACATGTAGACGACGGGACTGGCGCTGATAGCTCCCGGCACGAGAAGATTCAGGAATGAGGAGATGACAATCGCACCGCCAAATATCTTGTTGGCCGGATAAAGAGAGGCGAAAAAGCCACCCGGCACCTGAGTGATTAGGTAGCCCCAAAAGAATGACGAGTCGACGGCACTTTGCGTTGCCACCGACCAGTTGAACACACGGGCTGCCTCCAGCATCGACTCGGTCAAATTTGTTTCGTTGTTCGGTTTCAGCTTGGCCATGCCCATATTACATCTCATACCGAACGAGATTACGAAACCTGTCGAGTTCACAATTGGGCTTGAAATTTCAGTACATTGGCAGTTTTTTACGTTTGTTGAGGATATTGAATGATTCTTTGCCACAGTTATTCTGCAATAGCAATCATAAAATCCGGAGTGAAATGTTCGATCATACTGATATAATAACGCGCTAATGTCATTCAAAATAAGCATTTGAAATTCTTTTTGCTGGTTTGATGTTTCAAAAATTGTCTTATTGTCCTATTTAAACTTGCCACTGTAACTTCAACTAATCAAACTAATCCACGTTCATTCGAGTAGTCCAGTCTATGCTGACTTGAGTATTATATAGACAATAAAGAAATGAAATGCATTTACCAAGACAGGCGAGCACGGCGATGGTGTATCTCTTGGACAAGCACGGGCATTCAGGTTTGCAGTAAGTATCAATGTGTCGTAACGGTGGTCTCTCCGGTTCCGGTAGGGAATCAAGCGAATGCTGCTTACCAAATCCTCTTTCATCTTCGAAACCTCTGTTGTCTTTCACGTGCTCGCTCGATATTTCAAATTCCTCGTAGCCGTCATGGCCGGCTTGTCCTCTTCTCTTTATTCTGTCGAGCGATGCAAATAAAACTTACGCTGTCGAACATTGTTCTTGTTTTTTTCTTTTTTGATGCCGTTATTTCATTATTGAACGCTTGCCGCAGCTTGCGGCTTTGTTTTGTGACGATAACGAGTAACAAGATGTAAAATCATCTTACCCAGAAAGCTTCTCAGACGCTCTGCTCTTGAGAGAATCGAAGGCCGCGAGACCCGCCGTCGCGAATCCGGACATTTTCCAATTATTGGGGTTGCTCTTGCTCTTGAGATGATTGTGTTGTTGTTACACAGCCCCTGGAATCGATATGAGCACTCGTGTCAGATTTATATCGTTAATGCTTGACGAGCTAATGCTGACAAATGTAATTCGCAAGCTCCGATGTTGTGATAATGGTAAAATTAGTGCAGTTCACACATACAACCGTCAACGGTAGATAATTACATTGCTTTGATGCACTCGTATCATTTTACTGTGGCTAATTAGGTAACAGTGGTTTATTTGTGAAACTTATCATGCTATTATTTAAATTCGATCATTTAAATCCTTACTTGGTCCCATATCGTACATCCGCACTCTAATCAACTTCCATATCAATTACAAAACAGCAAATGAATCACACATTAATCTATTACCTAAGAAAACAGTGAAACGAATACAAAAGCATATGATTACAAATCTCCTGCAACTGCCTTCAGTTTCATTCCAGACTATGATAAAGTATAAATACCCTTAGTCCCTCAATCATCAGTCCCATAAAGTGAACTTTAAATGTCCAATCCTCTATTTTAGTCAATCGATCGACCGTAGAATAAAATAAAATAAGGAGGAAAAAGAATTGCGTGACAAGGCCATTCCCTAAGCGGATCGAAGTTCGCACCGGCATTCCTAATGGTCCAATATGGCACGTACATGTACATCTCAGTTCGGCCCCATCCATAAGAGCGGGTTATCCCCCCGAATCTTGGACGATGACAGAGAAGACTGAGGGGAGACGGGAGCTACTAGCATTCTGTTTATTTGCCTCTTCGGCACCGTAATCCGTAAGTCTGTCGAGGGGAAAAGACGAAAGCTTTTTTCGTGGCTCACCGACGTAGCGCACTCTCTAGCTTTTGTTCGCGAGCGCGCGTATACACGAGCTTTTGTTGCCGATGGGGCCATTATTTCAATGACTCCTCGATGCGACCGATAATCTTGAATTACAGTATTTGGCGACCGATCGAATTCGCACGGCGCAAGGCGTCGTGACACTTCTCTTTCGCAAACTCGTTCGTTAAAATTTTCGTTTTTCTCTTCCACTTCGATACAGTTGCGAGAGCAAATTTTTTTCCTCGAAGTCCGTGCTCATATCTCTACAAGAACTCCAGCGACTGCAATAAAGAGTCCGGAGATAGGAGGGGTAAAGAAAGGTCGTACCTCTGAGAGCTCATAACCGTGGCGGCGACGGCGCCAAAAGGTCTCACTGAAATTCCAGTGTCGCGTGCGGCGGGCAGGCGAGTCCAACCCGATAAGTGTATGCGGAGTCGATGTACGCAACGAAAAAAGAAGAAAAGAGAAAAATAAAGCAAGCCGTGCACACGCTGTACGCGGATCGAAGATCGAGTCGATTAAATGCACGGACGCGCATGATACAGCCGCGCATACACATACACGTTATACTAATGAGTCTATATCGGATAAGGGGCGCTAAATGCGCGCGGCACGTGCCCGACAAATAGAAATGGAGCGAAAAGGGACATCGTGCAATGCCAGCGACAGGCGATATGTGCACACTAACGCGTAACGTTGCGACACGCCGTACACGACTGCTGACGAGACGATCGATTTTTATTGCCGTATTAATGTTACGCGCTGCGTTTACGCGATTCTTGTCGCACGAAAAGTAAAAAAAAAGCATAGATGCCTGCCAGAGAAGGATGTACCAGATTTTTTACTTATAGTACCTAACCAGGGATATAGCTTTTCGGTTCGGTTACACATTCAAATTTATTGCACGATCGATTTTCACGAAGTGTAAAACTTGTGATAGATTGAAAATTTTATCGTGTGAAATACGGACGTAAATCAGTTTGTTTCACATTGAATTTTCCAATTGCTCGACGTTCAGTGTTTTAATCTGTAAGCGTTTCAATCCTACCGAATTAGATTGTAATCTTGCGATGCTGGCTAGTCGATAGAAAACTCATGATGTTTATTTTCTGTGCGCTTTTAAAAAAAGTTGATAGCACACTAGTAATGTTACTCGTTTCCGCATTTCAACGATTTTATTTCTCGTGTTTCTTTCTTCCTTCAACAACGTCACTTCTCGAAAATTTTTTAATCACATTATTGTACAAGGCCAGGCAAACGTAACAATAGTATGACATTTTCAAATGACTTTTGAAATTTATTTTCCAGTTATCGATCTAAGACTTGTCCGATGAAACCTTCATGTCTATTTTTCACCTCGAGACTTGATGCGAGCTTTAACCAAAAGGTTTAAAACGTCACTGAAAGTCACGTTAGATCACTCGCGGTAATTCTTGCCTTCAGTTTCGCGAAGCGAAGTTTGAAAAACTTTGCGCTTTACTTGATTCGAATTGAGGATGATATAAATTCTCATCTCTTACTTTGTATTAACGTCATTCGCTACGTAAAATTTCTGTAGTCGGCCTTGTAAAACAATGTTAAAAAGTCTATCAATGTTACAGAGTTGATGCTGCTTAAAAAGTCAAATCGCGAGCAACAAAATCATTACAAGGTCGCAATAAGAGAGCACTTTAAATTCCAGTAATGGCGCTCGACATTTAGCCTGCCAAAAAATTAGCTTAAAACCTTGCGGATAAGGCGATTGAAACTCCCTGAAGATTTGCTTCACATTTCACCACAAACTTGATTTATTCTTTTTTTAGTCACATGTAAAAAACGATCAGCCTCTCCGCAATCTTTCCATTGGCACTCACTGTGTTATCGAGAGATACACTTCTGATAACGTTATTTTACGAATTTGTGAGACGACATTACCCTAAGACGATAATTAAGCACAAGACAAACATATGCAAATAAACAACAAATTAAATCAAAACAAGAGATGATCCCAAGGACTGGGTAGCGCACTAGCACTAGCAGCGAAAATCAGACGAAATCGATGCTCCAGTTTCGACTGCGTAATCCGAAACTCTCCAGCATCCTCGCCTGACAATCGATGGCCCCGGTGGGCTTATTTTCCCGTACACTTCTTTTTTTTTTGCTATTTGGCCCCCTCGTCATTATTGAAATTTCATCGAATCACTGCTCTTTTACTTTTGCCCCTTCGTCGGAGAATGCAATCTCTGACCCACATCTTTAAAAAAAAATGAGTGAGCCTTGGACGCATGCACTCACACATACGCACCACACACACACACACACACACACACACACACATACACACACACACACCTCGTGAACGCAAATGATTGTCGCATCGTTTTTCGCAAAGACAAAAAACTCACCAATAATCAAGTCCAGGACTGGCTGGGGTTCGGCTGGCGGCGTGCAAAAAAAAAGCGCGCGCGCGGCTCGCGGGCTCGTCGCTCTCTCAGTCGCGTTATAGCTGGATCTCTCGTTATGGGTAAAGTCGAGCGAGAGGGCTAGAGAGAGATAGAAAGCGCGCGCAGCTATAGACAGGGTTCTCTCTCTCTCTCACTGTGTCCGCGTTTGGGGGGTGGCGCGTGCGCGCGCGCATCGACGTCGAGGGGGCCAATGGAGGCCGAGCCCGGACGAGCGCGGATCGACCCCGGGCGGAGCTTGCCTTGCCATCCTCTTGCTTTCAACCCGCGACCAGGACCACGGCGCCGTCGGCTCCGCGATCCGCGCTTCTGAATTTCATTCTTGCGGTTATCTCTGCCATGCAAACTCCCAGCTGGCGCGCCACTGGCCGTCCAAATTATGTCCTTTTTACTTGTTACTTTTCCACTTTTACTTTTAGACCGCCAAATTCACCGTTTGTAACTGCCGATAGCCCCATGATGGTGTTGGATTTTTTTCAATATTTTCATAGTTTGACAATATCTCATTTAACTTTAATGCAGTCTCTAAATTTTTTTATACGAAATCGTACAGCATCTTAATTTCCAAACAGAAACTAGTGCTTGAATAAACTATTCATAATGATCCTAGTGAGCTAATTTTTATAAAAGAAATATAAAAATACTTTTTATTTCACGAACTCCTAATCGAGTTTGTGCAACATACTCAAACAATACCGCGTTTTATTAGATTTCATTTTCATGCATTTTAATGAAAACACATTCTTTTACGATTTTACGAAAATATACTTCAAATTCAATAGATGTTCTGACTACACATGTCTTGGATAGAGATGAATCCAAGTGACACCTAAAAATATAAAGCTTGCAAGGTTCACACCATATGCTAAGCGGATATGAAACCATTGATTTGTCTGTCAATCGACGCTTCCAGCTTTCACACACACGCAAAGCAAAACAAGAAATTACCCCACGTTATTATAATTTCGAATTTGTTTTGCTAAAGTAATCGTCCCATCAATGATAACGTAGAGCGCAAATTCCATTAGAGCGTCAAGTTCCTCTCATCCGCAGCCGGTGGCGCGCGCCGATCGTATGACAAGAGTCCTCGCGAAGCGAGGCAAAGAAAGGGCGAGCGCGAAGTTGTTGAATGCGCGATCGCCTTTTCCGCGATCGCCGGAAGCTCGGAGGCAGTGAGCGGACGGTACAATGAGGACGGAAATGATTTTTGCTCCCAAGCAAACCGCTCCCTATTCGCTCATCCCCTTTAACTCAACGAAAGAGAGAGAGAGAGAGAGAGAGAGAGTGAGTGTATCGCGCGTCGTTCACACGTGAGTCACTCTCGCCCTTTATTCTTCTACATCGCCGGAACGCCGATTCCAAAAATCAATCATGAGCTGAAAGCCTACTTCGCTCGTCTAATTATCATAATGCTCGCGTGCGTGCCAATTGTCTGCGACTTGTGACTCGGAATTTCCATCTCTTTTAAGAAAATCATTGAGCATATTGCAGCACTCGGATAAAAAAGCCACGAGAACTCACGTGTGTAAATAGTCGGCCTAATAACATTCAATTTTCTCCACAAATGCAGGCAAAGTTTAACAGGTCTTAATGAGAACGCTGACTTTTTTTTCGTAAGTTTTTCGTAACTGCGACATTAATTGTATTTCCTACAGAACACACTTGTTGACAGTTGGAAGCAATTTCTGTGACTTATCATAATGAAGCAAGCAGCTGCCCAAAAGTTGTGACCTAATTTGTTCTCTCGGCATTCAATCGCCGCTCCGTCTACGCTAAACTTTGCTGCGTGCTCGCATTCAGATATCGAGAAAGAAGCGAGTGCGCGCAAGAGCATTTCATTGACACACATAAAAAAAAGATGAGAAAAGTAACGTATCTCTGCCGTCGGAGCGTCACGCGACTCGGGGCACGAAACTACATAGATAGCGTAGCGGTGGTGGTAGCATTGTTGCAAACACGGCGAGGGGCGGGCAGTGTATAGTATGCCGAAGCTCTCTCAGCTACCGGAGAATATCGATCCGCTGCCCCCGCGCGCGTATCACGGGCGCGGCTGTGCGATGATGCTGCCTCGCGCCTTATCTGCCGAGACCGAACTGCCGCACTCGTTCATCTTTCACTTTCCCTCTTCGCCGCGCGAAATTTGCTCGCATTTGTGACCACGGACACCCTGGGAAAAATTACGAGCCTCATTTTTTTTCTTGCTCTCTCTCTCTCTCTTTCTCTCTCTTTCTCTGCAAATATAACGTATAGGGATGATTTTTTCTTTCTTTCTTCTTTGGGGTTGTCATTGTAGGGGAGATAATGTAGTTGATTGAGAGGAAATTTTCATTAAGTCTTTTTTTCAATCGTAGTATGAAGGATACTGTAAAATCTAGAGGATGCTTTCTTGTTGCGAGATATTATTTTAGAGTTGAAGAAACTGAAGTAAATAAGGGCGTTCAATGAATTTCGATACAGGCCATTTGGATTCATTGAAAAATTGGCGAACATTTTATTAAAGTGCTGTTTAATTTTTTAGTAGAAACGCGTAAATATATTAGTCGCTGGATTTCAGTAAATATCTTCATTTTATCGAATGTCACGCGCGAAAAGTACAGTTAATTAGAATAAATAAGATAATCATAAATAAGATATCCAGCCTAAACGTGAAAAAGGTTGTTACAGCCCGATCGAAATACCGTCCGTTGAAATGTCACACATATAGATACACACACACACACACACGCGTCGTTCGCATTTATCATCATTCATCTGCTGTATACGTCGCTCAATCTAATACCATCCAACCACTCGTTTACAACCAAAGTTGAATCTCGTCGAACTGCCTTCCGCGATGCTTCTTTAGTCCAACAAAAAAGCACAGTCCATTAGGTGTCGCTTAAAAAAGAAAGAAAAAGGTTCTCTGCCTTCTGGTCGGCATCTCGGACATCATTAATAATCTAGTAGAAAAAGAAAGAGAAAGAGAGAGAGAGAGAGAAGGAGAGAGAGAGAGAGCTGAGCTATTGGTGTACAGTGAAATTGATTTCTCGCCACGTGCCGCCTCGGGCGATGATCACTCGAGGGAGCTGTTAAGCTTCTCCCGAAGCACAGAGCGAAAACAATGAGAGACATTGAACGAACGGGCTTGAAGGGCTGACCGATTTTCCACTCGAGATATCGTTAGCCTGGATTATTGGCGACTGCATATAACGTCGCGCCTCACCTATCGAGCTTACTCTCGAGATAATTTAATTGTTTGCGCAAACATGAAAACTGCGTTTTTACTTTGTGCTGATTTAAGCAGTGTCGAAAATTAATCATTGTTTGTTTACGTGTACATCTTGCAATTTCGTCTTTCGTTTTATGAACATTTCCTTTTACTGTCTGATCAGTTCAATGTTATACTACTTGACGTAGCCGTCTATTTTTTTTGTATCACTATCATCACCCAATCATTGCACCCAGTTACAGAAATAAATGGAAGGGATCCCTTATCTAAAAAAAGAAGTCGAAGAGTGCTTTGAAATCTGTCCTTTGAATAGAGATATACAGCCAATTTATATAAGAAACCTTTTCATTCATTCGTCGTTCTTTATCTTCGCTTTCTCCCCCTCGATTTCGATTTCTCAATACTATAGCATTCAAAAGATCTGAAAGCTCAGTAAGCAGAATGCATATATAGAGGATCGAAGGCAGTAGTCCGAAGAGAAGAAAAAAAAGGACGGATGTTACGTATGCGGCTCAACGATTTCATCACTGAGGCGGATTTCGAGGGTAAGCATTATATGGATTTATTCATAATATCTGTACATTGAACCGATATGTAGAAGGGAGGAGTATATTTTGATAAAAACATTAATCGCGACAATACTTTCTCAAAAGCGAAGCCAAGAAACAAAATAGTTTTAATGAAAAGCTGTTTTCTGATATTCTCAACGAGTATATAATCAAAATCACAGAGAGCGATGAAAGCGTTTCGCGCAGATTCGATTACGCGAAAACCTGATTACACCGAGCAGACAGAGTGAGCGAGAGAGCGAGCGAGTCGGGAGGGGCGAAAGCTCCCTTTTCAAAAGTCGTTGAGCCTGGCACGTATATATCGAACGGATATTCCATAATCGATCGACGGGAAAACCACTCGCAAATGGACAGCACACATACACCCGCACAGAGAGAACTTTGAAGGGGAAAAGAGCACTTTAATGGCAATTAGGACTTTGGCCCAAAGCCTGCGGGGTGGCTGTCCTCCCACCTGTCGATCGAAGATAACGTCGTTTTGCCGGTTATGAATGCTGGTTTCGCCTGCGGCGTGCGGTAGCGTTCATGCGTGCGCTAATGAATTTGTTGTGTGTCAATCGCAGCTGCCGCTGCCGCTGCCGCTCTTGTTCGTGCGCGATCAGCTTTAGTAGATTATGCAATTAGCTCGAATCGCTTGCGAGGTATTAAGGACGAGGGATTCTTGAGATATTCGTTGATTTTACGAATGAAAAAGGCTGTGTTTATGGCGATGTAATCATTAAAATTATTTTATTGATAAAGAGCAGTTTACACGATCTAACAAATGTAAGAAATGCGATACTTGAAAATTTTCACGAGGTCGTGAGGCCTGAAAACTGTTATTCCATTAAGCGATCACACGTTTTTATCTTCTAACGAACATAACAATACTTCCATGAATTGGTGAACACTGGACAATCTCGATAACCGGCGCAAGAATTTGCACGAGCCGGGGTAAAAATTTCAGTCCGACAACGTTTCAAACCATTGCCATTCTCGACATCGTCTCGACATCTCTCGGTGGGCTTTCTTCGCGATCGTCTTCTTCTGTATCTTCGTTGAACTTTCGTCTCAGTCGTACAATCGAGATCCCGACAAGTAAGCGCGCTCCTTGTAAGTTTGACTAGCTTGCGCTTCCTTGAATCATCGCACGAGGCAGTCACGTCGCTACCGCCGCCAGACAGACGCGACGCTGCCGAGTTTTTCTCGCTACTGCGCGTCTCGTCGCTGCGGCATTCCTCGTAGCTTTCGTCTCTGCAGCAATAGCAACGACATTTGGATCTCATTCCCGACTTTCGCAGGGCGTTCAGTTCCTTTGCTTTCTCCAGTAGCTTCTTCAGAATTAACCGTAAGATTCTTTTGAATTTTTCATAGGTCTCCCTTGTCAGGTAATCCAATAGAAAATTGAGAAAATTACTTTTCTTCGAGCATCGACAAGTACGTTGAGCATCGCTCTTATTGTAATAGTCGTTCTCACTGTAAACGAAATATTTCTCGATACTAGATGTGTCGCTACAGAAATAGCTGTTGGACAGAGACGATGATTTCGACATTTTTACACACTGGTAGATGATGTCGGTTTTCAATCTTTGCAGTATCGGATGTTCTAGCGACGCCGTGACTTCGGTGAGAATAGACTTTTTCAAAGGAGAATTGTCGCCTACTGTGTCATTTAATCCAAGCACAGGATTTTCACAAACTTCCAAGTTTCCATTGGCACTCGGTTTGGTTACGCACGTATTACCACTTGCTTTCGATTTGAAAGATATGACTGACGCTTTTACTTGTATTTTCGTGGTTACGCTGTCGCGCGATATTTGCTTTATCAAAGTTTGAACCAACACCGAGCGAGCGTCTTTGTTATCTTTAATCTTATTAACTTTTTTACGAATCTTTTCGTTGAGATCAACAATTTCATTGATTTTCAACTTCATTATTTCGGTAAACTCCGAGCTTTTACACGGGGATTCGGCGAGTTTCCAAATAATCTCATCGAAAGGTGTTTCTTTGATGTTTTGTTCAGCCACTCTATTATTTATTCCGATCAATTTGATTTTTTCATCAATGGCCATTTCATTCTCAAACTGGCAATTGAAATCTACCCCTTGATTTTCAAATTTAAGATTTTTAATCTCTAACTCTTCATCAACATTCTTGTAGCAAGTACAAAATTGTATTTCTTTGAAAAATACTTGCGTAGACATTTCTTTAAGTCTACATTTTTCTGTATTCGTACTAGCCTCTACACTACCGTTCGAATGTTTGAGAATAGATTCCGTATTGACACCAACATTTTCTAGTGCGTTGCATCCCTGACAGCAACAACAAATAGAGATTTCATTCACGTAAATATTTGTAAGCTCTACAGGTTCGTCTACTTCGTCGGTCATAATGGCAGCACATTTTAGCTCAATTGCAGTCCTATCGTAATCTTTTTCTTCGATATCATCGGTCATCATTTCAAAATGACAACGTTTTGTCTCTTCTATACTCGGCGACTTTATTTCGCATTCGTCAGATGTATTCTCGTGAACACATAAACAGTATTCCTTGCTTGTCATATTTTTCTGACTTTCACATTCGCGATGCGATGCGTTGTTGTAGCTTTCGCGACTTTCATTGCCCTCATAACAATTCTTTTCGTCGTCACTCAATTCATCTTCAACCGAAGATGTTGCAAAACAATGACGACTGGGATTCCACAAGAATCTACATCAAGCGAGATAAAGAAAATCATTGAATGCCAATAAGAACGCGAGAGAAAAGAAGAAACCCAACACATCACCAACCTTATCGCACATCCAATTTCACTGTTGTCCGAAGTGGTAGATTTATCGCACAAGTCGTCAGAACTTCCATTTCCGCAATCTTTCTGAGAAACTGAGCAATTTCCATTCCAACAATATCGCGGTTGCGACGATGCATCGTCTTCTCGCAAGTTATCCCTTCTGCGCTGCTGTTGCTGCTGCAGCTGGCATCCGAATGCCACCCTCATGGCGAACATACATAGTTTTGACTTGATTCTGCTCAACTTGAATCTCACGTAATTCCTACGAAGTTCGCAAAAAAGCGCGGCGTCATTCAACGTTTCATCGTCCATCCTCTCCATCACGTTGTTCAGACAGCTGCAAACATTCTTCAGACGCTGATCAAACTTGCCTGGAAAGCGACCCCCTAATTTCCCGTTTGACTTCTTTCTTTCCTCAACGAAAGAAATGAAGGCCAACAAAGAAGGCTTCGCCGTTACCGGAGTTCTTTGGCGCCTCTTGGTGCTTGAAAAGTTTTTGCTTGAGTGCCCGACTGTCGCAAGGTAGCCTCAAGTAATCGGTTCGACGATGGCTGCTGCTACAGCATCCCCTCTCCGAAGACGGAAGCTCCGTGACGACAAGACGGAGCTTACTGCGCTTTGTTCCCTCTGTTTGATCCTCTATTGAAATGTTGGCTGCTGTCGGGATCTCCTCCTCGTAGGTTGCCTTTCGTTTGCGTGATTGCCGTCCTCCCTCGGCTCCGTTGTTTGCTGCGTCATGCTTTGGACATCGACTACAAGATCGATAACGACAATAGTGTATTACTTGACTGACGTCCAACTAAACGTTTGCTAAAGAGAATGCTATGCAGTTACGAATTTTTTACACACGTCGACTGATAACGGTCCGCACAATAATCCACGTATCCCTGGCTTCCGCACGTGTTGTACGTCGAATCTTCGACGCTCAGGCTATCTAATTGCCGGCTAATCCTCGTAATACGATTTCCAAGTAAAATTGAATTCACGAAAATTCGCGCGAGTCCGTCCGGTCTGAGTATTCGGTTGAGTTGGTTCGATGCTTCCAGCCACGACTCCATATCGCCAAGGAAACTTTGGGCTGACTCATTGCAGGACGAATCCACGCCGTTGTCGTTGTATACGAAATGCTCGAGCAGAGTTAAGATACGATGCTCGATCGAGGGGACAAATAGCCAACGAAGAAGTTCCAAAACTGGGATGTATGGCTCCAAATCGACTCGCTCGGTTACTTCTAAGATGTACGTGGATATTTTGCTCTGCGCAATAAATTCGTGCAATTATTGTTAAGTAAAATCTGCCGTTGCAGACAGTTCTATCCTAGCTTATGGTATAGGTTAAATTACGAAAAATATTTCTCTCGAAATTTCTTGTCTTCTGGCATCGGTCATATTGACGTTGATCACAACTAGCTGCAGTTCACGAATACTTTTTCTTTCACGACATTATTTATTCGAATTTGTAAATCTTTAGATGATTTGACTATTACTCTGATTCGCGCGCAACCATAAATAATTTTCTCGTTAATAAGGAGCGAACTTCATGTGTATACAAACTACCAAAAGCAAATTAGACACCGAATTAATATATCAACGCCGAAGAAATGAAAATGTATCTGCCTACAACAGATACTAATTGAAACACAATTCAACTGGAATTGCGATCGCATCACGGGCCGAGTGCTTGCCAATTCTTGAATAATTCATCGGCGCGAGATATTTTCGCAGCAACAGCAGCAGCCGTGGAAAAATGTGATTTCATACAATTCACTCATGCGCGAGCGCAATGTACGAGCCTATGAGAGCAAAGAAAAAAAAGTTTTTCTATGCACGGGTGTGAAAAAATACGCGACCACCAAATAAATTTAGGTAGTAAGAGAAAAAGAAAAGCAGTGGAAGAGCTTCGGAAGAAGCACATAAGCTGTTTGAACGACGATCCAATCGACCGGGCCTGTACGTACGAGAGAGCGAGGCAATAAAATGTCGAAACTTGATCTTTTCCTAGGATTGCGCTTTGCGAGAAATTTTTCTTCTTGCCTAGAGATTTTCCGCAGACGCCAGTACGCTACATTCAGCTTTTTCTTTTTATTTTCCTGAAGTTAAAAATAGAGGTCCTTCAATTTAAGGCTGCGGCGAGTGAAAAACAAATCACTCCCCTTCATATTCGTAAAACGGGGATGCCTTTTAATGGTATGGAATTTATTCCGTAGGCGCAGGCGGCCAGATGCGCGAAAAGTTGAGGAAAAAGCTATTGTCAAGCTGAATTGCCGGCCCACGCAATTACGTCAGTGGAATTGGGAGCGAGTCTGGGCGTATTTGTAATTTACTGACCACTTGCGAAATTGCAAAAATGCCCGGTGCATTGAAACAGCAGACGAACGAAATGGAACGGCATTAATACCCAAAACAACGGGCGTCCAGTAGCAGCCGAGTGAGAAAAGAAAAATCTCGAGACGAAAGTAGCGGGGCAAGAAAAGAATAAGTCGGCCGCGTCTTTATCACTCCATTTGCGAGATTAAATAAAGGGAAGCTGCTGCTGCTGCTGCGCGGTCCATTGAGATAACAGCGGCTGCGTACGGCAGTGCCTGCACTATACTCTTCTCCCCGAGAGCGAGCGCACCAGAGTGGGGGATCAATACTTGTGACGCCGAGACAGAGACAACGCGTAAACGTACGCTCTCTCTCTCTCTCTCTCTCTCTCTCTCTCTCTCTCTCTCGCTCTCTTTCTCTTGATTTTCAAGCGACTCACTCATTTACTCGCTCTGTCGTCCGGTGCTCTCTTTGGCTCGAAAATGTTGCGTACGTATGTAGCGGCATGCATGCGACGATCAATTGTTTCCTAATGGGTTTTCACTATACAAGATCGATCTTACCCCCGTACTAGTTTTTTCCAAAAGCTTATATCGTGAAATTGATTGGAAATAAGTTATCAGTTCGCAAAAGGATCAGTGTTTATCAAACGTTATAGAATTTTTATTGTCTGTGCGATAGAAAGTAATGCGATTATTATGTTTTTATCTTGATATATCGATTTCTTTTTTGACAGTGCACGCACATTGATTTGAAAAATAATTGAAACGTTTGATTATGTTTCTGTCGATCCACAAGACAAAATGAGAAACAAGACAATCGGGATAAGAGATAAGACGCTTACATTGCCAAGTCTTGATCCGATTAGAATTGACAGAATACAATGACAATGCAGAGTAATTTGTCTGGAAAACTGAATTATTTCATATTTACTGTGATAAATTCTCAAACCTCTTGAAAAAATAATCATTGATATATACCAACATAATAAGCAAAGTATACTCAAGTACTAATTGCAGTTTAATAAATTCGTCTTCACAATCGTAAATTCAAATGACAAAATAATTAATTCGGCGTGTTCATAAAGGTATCACCGATAAAATCCTGTTAATGAAATACGTAAAACTTCATTATCTCGCGCTCCGATTCAGATGAAACTTAAATATTCGACAGGGCACAGCGACGTGTTCTCTTCCCCTGTCTCTCCGCGAAGTGGTAAGTCAATAAAAAACTCAGCATCCCGACAACAGACGACCGCCACAAATCCTAACGAAATACGCATTAAGTAGTGACTATGAAAAACGCCAGCAGAGTGGAGCGACCCTTCTTAAAAATTCTCGAAGCGCATAGGCTTTAAAAGTCTCTCCCTACAGAGTGAAAGCCGTACAAAAAAAATGAGAGAAAACGTTCTAGCATGCCTGTCACGCTCTTAGCGTTATATCCGAGTGAGGAGGGCGCGAAATCGTACGTGCTTGTACGACGATTGCAACTTCTCTAGCTTGCCTGTTTTTACCCCATGCTATATCAATCGCGGACCGACACTTTTTATGTACCCCGACCCGCAAATTGGCAGTCGATCGTATTTGCGCGAGTTTTACGATATTTCTTGCCCCAGCAATTGAATCAAAGCCCCTAACGTAAATTACTTTCTTTTCTTCCTCTCGGTCATAATTATTTTGTACAAACTAAATTAACGTGTAAATTTTGCATTAATATTGGGTTTTCTACCGAGCTTTCATGTTCAAAGTGTATTTTGAGTTTTAGTACGCCTAATAATTACAAAATCTCGAACATATGAATCACATTAAACATTATTCTATAAAGCAGGCGTATAAAAGCTGATTCATGCTCAGAACAAAGGCTTAAAATTTCACACATATTTCATCGATCGTGTACATCATAGCGCGTGTCTGATTCAACGACATTCTATTGCATTATCGTGTGCATTGCAGAGATTTTCAAAAATAGCAAATATTATTCATTTTTTCCCTAAAATTAATGTTTACACAGTTATACCATCAAACTGTAATCATACTCAAACACAGTCATGTGCACTACATAATAAAAGAGTTATATTACGTATGCAGCAGATATGAGAAGTTTTGTATTTTTCATTTTTTTTCATACTTAATTATAATTACAGGGATCCACTCTTTTTATTGGACGCTTATCGACCTAAGTTATAAGACCTGTGTATTTTTAAATTAAATTATGCACCTTAGTAGCAAAAAAATCAAATTCTTAAATTTGTTCCATACGTATTTTTAAGAAAAAAAATCTTTTTAAGATTTCTTTTTCTAGTGTAATATCAAAACATTGTATGCACGCGGACAATCTGTATCCTCACGCTTAGTTAGATTATAAGTAATAAGATTCTTTGCCGATGAAAAATAAAAAATCATTAGCGAGGTTGAAAATTACGACGTGTAGCACGTGTACGACTGGGTGAGTGAGAGCGAGAGAGAAAGAGAGAGAACGAAGCAGAACGCAGATTCCCTTTAACGACAAGTGCTTTAGCTGAATCGGTCCGTGGTGTCCTTGGCCCTAGAGTGCCGATGCGAGCGCTGCTCCACCTGCTGTTGCTAATGCTGCTGCATCCACGTACTCGATTATATAAATTTTAATAACGGATTTCAGCTCGCATCTACTAAGCGCTGTTGGCTTCCTGTGAAAAAATATAGTTTTTTTCATTGTTATTTAATATTTTACATTTGGACGTTTGTTCAATCATCTTGCGTCATTTGCAATATAAATAAATACAAAATCAATTACTTAACCCATTTCGGCTGAAAACGCCACTCTCGATAAATTAGTCTTTAAGCGCTCATAACGTAGGCGTAAAAAAATTGCGAGGGCCATATTATAAAAATTTAAAAGATGCTTTTTCCGATGGTGCCCACAACATTTTAGCAACGAATTGTATATCCGGGTAAAATGCAGTTAAAAAAACTCGAATTTTTTACATTTTTTATCTAGTTTTTAGGTTTCCTATGTGTAATCATAATTGAATCTCACTAACCGGTGGAATAAATGTTTAAATTTGATGTATACATGATTCCCGGATCGATTTTTTATCTGAAGGTGTCCAAAGTGATACCTTGAATGCATCATTTTTTCTGTTATGTTTATGAATTTTTCACTTAACAGTTATTACTTATAAAAAAAGTATTAAGAGAGAAAAAGTTCTTAAAATCATATAAGGAATACACTAAAATTTTTTCAGAGTTTCAAGAAATTCTTTTATTTGCTATTGGTCAATTTTTGCAAAATCAAAAAATTGCTCAAAAAAATCCGAAAGAATTTTCATACATTTTATAGATAATTATAAGAACATTTTATTCTTAACATTTTTTTCCAATATGTGCATTGCTTCCAAGGAAAAATAATGACACATATCAAAGTAGTATCGTGTATAAAAATTTCTTATTCAAAAACTATACAGTTTCAGCAGAATTATCTAAAAATTAAATATTTTTATAATTACCCAAAGAATACATAAGAATTTTTTCGGATCTTTTCAAACAATTTTGATTTTGCAAAAATTAATAAATTACAAAAACAAAAAATTTTCTTGAAACCTTTCGAAAAAATTTCAGTGTATTTCTTATATGATTTTAAAAATTTTTTCTCTTGGTACTTTTTTCATAAGCTCATAGTGTTTTAGTAAAAAATTCATGAACTTAATAGATGAAATTACCCATTCGATGCACCATTTTGGACACCCTAGGTGAAAAATTGATCCATTGGAAGAAGCATCTCTTAAATTGTAAGAATATGGTCCTCACAATTTTTTTAACACCTGTAACTTTAGTTATAAACGCTCAAAGACCGGTTGTATTCAGAATGGCATTTTCGGCCGAAACGGGTTAATTAAGAAACCTATGAGTTAGTGCATCTTACGGATACAAGTGATAAATATTCAATTTTTAAGATACTACTGTATAAGCTTGTATAGAGGAATATCTATTGATTTTGCTTATTAACTTGTAGATTAATAGCGAAAGTATAAAAGTAATCCAACACTGAAAATAGAGTTTAAAAGAGCTGTGGCAAAAGGAGGATGGGAAAGCAAAATACTAAGTAATTAAAATGAGAGTGAAATAACGGAAAACAGTGAGACGCCATCGACACCACCATCACGGAAAAAATGTCGGGGGGAAGGGAAAGCGAAAATGAAATATCTCTAATTTGCGTTGAGCGAATAAACCAGCCGTCTAAATTGAAATTTCTCTTTCCCTTGAGTCTCTGCATCCACTTTGCTCTCTCCGCGCTCTCGGAGTTCTCCCAGTTAACTACTCCAAGTCAGTGCCAAGGCTTCTCACTTTCAAAGCAATGTGATTCAAGGAGGCAGAGAGGAAAGAAAAAATAAAATAAAGCAAACCTCTACGACTTCTCGCGCGCGTATTGCTCTGACAACTCGTCATTGATGTAAAATTCCGTGCTCTCATACTAAATTATATTTCTCTCTTTTTTGTACTACCATAACGAGTTTCCGAATTGCTTTGTGAAATTGAACCTAGTGCTTTGAAGAATTTTGTTACATGCGTTTGTACGGGCTCTTTAGAGTTGGCCCGCACGGCATTGACAACCATTGTTCATTTGAATTAAAAATAATCAATAATTGATTTCGAGATTAATTGTTTGATACTAGATGATAGACTCTACTCGGATTTTATTAGAAATTAATTTATGTTAATTTATATTCATTGATATACTTACACTTAATATCAAGGATGCATTAATTGTGTTATAGTTGATTTTATTTGATCGTATTGTAAGATAAAAAATATCGTACATGTTGATACACATCAAAATATTTCAGCAAGTTGCAATGCCATTAGTTATAATGATACTAATAAACATCAAACATCTGTAGAGTCGACTTTTTTGGATTAAAGAAAAAGCAGAGCACATTTTTAAAAACGACACTTAATCAACTGTACATAAAAAAGCAATATATTTTTTTTAGGGTACACTTATAAAAATCTAAGAAGTCTAAAAAAAAATTGATTAAGATGGCGATGAAAACGACGCTTACACTTAAGATCACGCTACATTAAGCAGCTCCATTATAACGAGCATCGTCAATCTCTCTCCATAAAACCTGAGCTTTCTTTTCTCTCTCTTCCGATTAACACAGCAAGCTTGAAACTGCATCTTGCTAATGAATACAACAACGTGTCATTAGTCAGCAACTAATTCACTCCCCTTCTCAATGGCCCACAGCATTAAATAAGCTATCATAGGCTCTCGCTCGCCGTCGGAGAATGTGATTTGCCGATAGGTATAATTAATTCAATCTTCAGTCGCTGACTATCAGCTACTCGAGCACTAAATAATTAGTTTTATATGCAGTAACAGGCAGTAACCACTTTGTTATGCACGCGTCTGTGCGGCTGAAATCACGTTGTCAGGAGGCGTGCGTTGTAGGAGGGAGAGAGGGGGAGGAGAGGCGACCGTGGTGGTTGCTTTGATCATGGCGAAAACTGGATGCGAAAGCTTGCAAGTTTTCTCCGGGTGTACGCATCTTTACGAGTGAACGATTTGACAATTGCTCGCTAAATTAGTTATTTAACAACAAATAGATTCTTACGTTTATTACCGTACTATTTGTAAAGTACTAATCGTGCAATGATGATTTTTGAAGCTATTTGTACATACTTTGGTATATTACATTCGCTTATTAATATACGACTGAACGAAATGAATGGATTGCTCGAAATTTTGATTGAATGGGATCACCTATTGACATGGTAAGAATCGTTAAAACTGAACTGTCCATTGATTGTGCACTCAGGTGTGTGCTTGACGAGAATCATCTATACGAGAATAGTTGGTGTCTCCGTTATTTTAACGAAACGAATAATGATGCAGTTAATGCTACCGATGAAAGTGACTTTTATTCGAAGACGAACTACTGCAAAGTCGATTATTTCTCTTTCTCGTAACGAAGTTATTTCTTTTTCTCGGAAATGAGCATCCATTAACCGTTGATTGCTGTCAATGGAAACATGCGTGTCATGTAATACAGCGCAAAAAGAACATCCCCATTAACAATGGCGAGAAAAGATATCTCAATGAAGTTTCATGACGCGTATCGTCGATTTCACTCAAAATTTGCCTAGGCATGCGGCTATCAGACGTCATATAGTGAAAAAAAAGCCGAAGAGCATTCTCGTAATTTCGATTGTTTTTCTTCCACGAGATGAAAAGCGAGACAGTTTGAAGCGCTCTGGGTTCGCAGACGAGCCACATGTATATCCCGTCAGTTCGCGCTTCCGATCAATACCCACGACTAGTAGTAGCAAGCGCGCGCAGGCGACGGTTCATGCGCGTGAGGGAGACATAATGCTGACGTGATGACGCGGAGACAGAGAGGCAGAGTGAAAAGGGAGCTGCGCACTTGGATGTGGACTTGCTCCCTTATCGTAAGGCTGCACAACTTTCCTCGTTTACCAAGTAAGTGCAATGTTTCGTGGCATTCATCGTTCTAAGTCCGTCTATGCGTGTGTGTGATTTTCGTTGAGAGGGCTTTCCGCTTTTGGATTACGTACTGAATACGCGCGTCTGAGTACGCCGAAGATTCGAGTCTGCCTGTGCGACGTTTAGTGAAACATATGGGGGAGGCAAAGGTCTTATGAATGCTGCTATCGCGGAAGTAACTTATTCAACAAGGCTCGTGATTCTCGCTCGGTTTGGCAATGCAGATTTAGTGGGCGTTTGTTGTAGGTAACACGTTCGCTTGAAAAATATAAAAAACAAAGCAACTGCGTTTGAAGCAATGAACCCTCGCGTATGATTAACAACGCAATAAATAGCAGAATGCTTTATTCGAATTTAATCAGCATTTTAATTCAGAGTTTGTTTACAGCAGCAGCTTCTAATCATCCAAGATGTACGCATTCATCCTTATTATCGGTTCGGTCGTCTGCACGCACGCAACATTTTATCCTGACTTCAAAGTAAGTTTGTTATTAAAATATATTTTGATAATATGAAAAGAGATGTAATTACACCTGTACGTATATCGCATAAAGTAGAAATATTTTTATAGCGACTTGCCACCACTTAGTTCAAATATTATGCGCATAGCAAGTGAATAAAGTTATACCTAATTTCACTTATAATTTTATACTTATTAAATATTCAAATGCAGATTGTCTCGAAAAATTATCATCCAAATATAGTGTGTGTTCAAAAAATATACGGAATTTTCGTTTTTTGAAAAAATCATTTATTTATTCATCTAAATCGATGTTGTCCCCTTAAAGTAGTCCCCATTAGATAATATGCACTTATGCCAGCACCTTCCAATCCTTAAAACACTTCTGGAACTCGATCCTTAGGATAGCTTTCAACTCTTTCAGCGATGCACTTTTAATGTCATCTATGCTTGTGAAACGACGACCCTTTAAGGTTTTTTTTTTATTTTTGGAAATAAGAAAGTCACAAGAGTCCATGTCTGGCGAATAAAGAGGTTGGGGTATCATTACAGTGTTATTTTTTGCAAAAATTTCACGAACAAGCAACAATGTATGAGCAGGTGCATTATCACGATACAAAAACCATGAATTGTTTTACTACAAATTCGGGCGTTTTCTTCGTACTGCTTTACGCAAACGGCATTGAACTTGTAGGTAGTAACTCTTTATTAATCGTTTGACTTTGTGGCAAGAATTCATGATGTACGATGCCATTAAAATCAAAGAACACAGTAAGCATAACCGTAACGTTCGAGCACATTTGCCGAGCTTTTTTCGGTCTTGGAGCCAGAATGCCTCCACTGGGATAATTGAGCCTTAGGTTCGACGTCATATCCGTAAACCCATGTTTCGTCATCTGTTATAATCCTTTTAAGCAAATCTGAGTCGATGCTGACTTCATTTAGTAATGTCTGAGCAACTTCCTTTCGACGCTATTTTTATTACAAATTCAACAATTTCGGAACAAATTCTGCTGCCATACGTTTCATACCCAAAATGTTCGCAAAAATGTCATGGCATGAGCCAATCGATATGCCATCTTCATCAGCGACTTCTCTAATTGTGATTCGGTAATCGTTCATAACTATTTCTCTCATTTTTTCTACGTTTTCATCATTTACTGATGTGTTTTCAACGTTTTTACGGACTATTTTGGAAACGCTTATACCACTCGTATACACTTGTTTTTTTTTATAGCAGACTCACCATAGACCTTCATTAAAATTTCGCACACTTTGTTACACTTTATTTCATTTTGTACGCCAAACTTAATACAAATTCTTTGATCCATTTTTCTTAACGATCGAAAATCGCCGAGTTTATAAAAACACGTCAAATCTTAGCGGCTGCTACAGACCATGTAAACAATGAATATAGCTATAAGTTTTATTCTACTTTAGGAGCACGTATTCCAACATAATAAAAATAAATTTTGACAATCGGACTCTCCAAACCCGCGAAATTTAAACATTTCAGGTATTTTTTGAACACACCTCGTAAGTGAACTCTTTTGAACAGAAAACAATTTTGTCTACTTCTAAATCTAATCAAGCTAGACATATTGTTTAAATTATGACAAGTATATATCCACATCATGGCCAATAAAAATGAACTTTTAGCAGTATACATTCGACGAAGCATAAAATAGCACAGGTCATAGATGCCGTTACATCGTTATATTAGAAACATTTATGAAAAAGTATTAATTATATATATAATTAATGTGTTCGACCGGTTTCGACTTGTATTACTGAATTTATTATTTTTTATTTAGGGCGACCATTTCATGAGCAATATGCTTTTGCAAAACTTAATTGAGCGTATGAGTAACGAGCTCGCTGACGAAGACTCTTACATCGACAATCGTGATGTTGGTCGAGGATTACCAGACAAAGAGATTCCCATTGAATTACCCATCGATTACGATGGCATCGACGCACTCAATCCTAAGACTAGCATCCGCGACCAGGAATACTTGCAGCACAGCACCCTATGGTCACATCAACAACTCAATAATTACAAGAGCAATGACAGACACAAAATCAAACCAGGAAATGCTGCAGCCGTATCTGCTGTTGCTACTGCTACTGGAAAAACTAAAGATGGAAAAAGTGAGACGCAATTGCCTGCTTATTGCACACCACCTAATCCTTGCCCTGTTGGATATACTAGTAAGTTTTTTCAAAATTAACCTTTTTTGGAATCATAAGTGATGGTTAATTTTTCATTGTAGGCGAGAACCAGTGTATCGAGAATTTCGAGAACACAGCGGCTTTCAGTCGTGACTACCAGAGCGCACAAGAATGTATGTGCGATTCCGAGCACATGATCGAATGTCCAAATAGCGTTGATGAAGATAGCAATGTTGTACCTGGAATGCCCATTACTAATGCCGATTTTGATCAGATCGTTGAGCGATTTGAGGTATGATAATATCGTATATTCATGAAATGTGGGCAGATATTAAATACTATTTCACTTTACAGGAAGACAACCCATACTTCCGAGGTGAAAAATTGCCCATTGCTGCGAAAAAAGGATTCAATATCGCCATTTAAAGATCATATCAAATATAAAATTGATCGCATCAATGCGATTTCAAGAAAATTTTTTCAATATTCGTATACTTAATATAAATCAGACAGAATAATAAGCTGTTGAAAACAGTCATGAGCGTTCCTTGAAAATTGTACAAACGCACTTGTGAGATATTTCAATTTTAAAATATCGAGACCAATTTATGAAAAGTGAACTTATAAGATTGTATTTATTAATGTTGACGAAATGATAAATGATTCACATTTTTTTTGCAATGTGATATTTCTCTGGGTCCAGAGTACTTAAATTATATTGCAAACTTTCGTTTTCTATATTTGTTGTACCGATTGAAAGATATATCAATGGTATTTAGTTAAAAATATATGATTAGCTGTTTTATGTAGAGTTTATCAAACAAACTCATTATCTATAGCTTATAAATGGATTTGAGAACAAATATATTTTTAAATTTAAGCAAACTGCAGAAATTTTTCTAACAAAATTATATTTGTTCAACAAGTTAAAGTTAAAAATGTCATATAAATCTCATAATAAATACAAATAAATTAATTATTAAAACTTATAGCATTGTAGTTTAAATGTTGAAAGAGTTACTGCTTTCTATAGCTTTTAATAACTGGATATATCACACGCATTGCGTCTTTTAGGTCTTGTCGATTCTTTGCACCTATAACATGAAAATGTATGTATAGTAACTTAAAACGCAAACTTTCTCTTCTCAAGTATCCATTCCTCTATACCTGTCAGTACAACTTTTCCATTCACAAAAACTAGTAATACTACTCTTGGGAGTACCATTCTGTATATTAAACCTGGATACAACTCAGGTTCATAACTAGCGAATTGATGATGTCCTTGACACATATCTTCTAATTTGATTGGAAACTTAAAGTCAGCAGTAGCCACAATATTTTGAATTTTGAAGTCTTTAAACTTGACCTAAATAATTATTGGACATGAATAAATATTGTCATGACTCCTCATACATTGCATTATCCATTTTTGAATAATCTACTTACTGGAAAATTAAGTTTCTGAATGATTCTTGCAAATTTCTTGGATGCTAGAAATGAATCTTCTTCACATCTTGCTCCAGTACATACTAATTTACCTGAACGAAAAATCAGAGCAGTTGCTTTAGGATTTCGTATCCTCATCACTAAACCAGTAAATCTAGCAGGATTGTACTCTGAATTTCTCGTCCTCACATTAATATAAGTTAGATTCAATTCTGTACTCAAATTCACCGTCGACACAACATTTCTAAAAGTATTACAGAAAAATGAAAAAAACTAATACAACAAACACGCATGTGGAGCGCAAAAAAGTGATACTCACTGTAAAATAGGTTCGTCGTGTTCCTTGGTACCACCGCTGACTGGTACCATTGGTATCATCCCTATTTGTGGATTTACCTGTGAGGTGTTCGGTCTTGGTACGTTGGTCTGCAAGATGTAAACAAATTTTGTATTTGCAGAAGATGCTATGGAGAACATAACCTCATAAGAAGTTTTTATCCTTACCGTGAGTGGCGGTGCCATAAAACTTTGTTTCCCAACATTTTTTACCGGAGTCGCGAGAAGCCGCTTAATCTCGTGATCACTTTGTAATGCCATAGCCATCGTCAAAGATACATTTATTTTTTATGTAAAATTGCTATCCGTACAAACAACCCCATTAACGCTTGACCCTTCTCACATCTGCTTACATATGGACTATCATGGATAACAAAACCGGCCATATTGGAATTTCCAGCAGCCGACTATTATATTTTTGAAACCATCTCAGCCGTCTGCAATTGCATTGGCGGGATGCCGCCATATCGGTGTTGCAGATTTGGTTCGCAAAAAGATTTTTATTTTTGCAATTAAACATTTGATTGTATTATAAAAGTATATATTTATGATGTTAAAGAAATGTTTTGATTTCCACTGTTGAAATTTGTTTTGTGTAAATCTTGCAATAGTGGCGTTGTAAAAGACTCGAGATCATTTGAAAAAATCTGACATCATTGGCTTTTCGTATTTATTAAAATGCTATGCAAACACATTTTAATGTATATGAAAAAAGAAAAATCATTTTCATTGGTTTGATTTACATAAATTTGATTGGCAAAAACTGGACGAATGGTAAAGTAAGTTTTGATATGAAACGGTTGCTAGTAGCAACAACGTCGCTTGCTTCTTTAGTTCGATGTTATTTTCTACTGCTAGCATGAGTTGACAGATTTGATTAACACAATAAAACCACAAAAGAAGATGACTAACAGTACGATACCTGTTGTTACAGACAGCAGCTCCAATACTGTAATTTATGACATATCAAAGAATGAAAAAAAGCTAAACGAAGAGTACAAAGTTTTGCAACGAAAGTTAAAATCCAAATGGAAATTCATCGAGTGAGTAGTAATGAGATAACTCTAATTTATTTGAACTAAAATTCATATACCGTAAAATAGAAATACAGAAGTATTGACGACGGAGCATCTATCGATAGGCAAAATACTCATGTTAGCAGGGCCAAAAAGTAAATTTACGGAATTGGAAGTGAACTCGATAAGATCGTTCATAACTTCGGGTGGAAATGTCTTGGTTACGCTTGGAGAAGGCGGTGAAAAAAGATACAATACTAATATAAATTTTTTACTAGAAGAGTTTGGTATTATGATAAATAATGGTAAGTAAAAATTGATCGTTTTATTTAGAGTAAAGTAAATTGATTCATTACATGCAAAATAATAATAATAATAACAGACTGCGTTGCGAGGATGACTTATGATAGAACATTACACCCGAAAGAAAGTATTATTGTCAAAGGATTGTCAAATAAATCAGTGTTTTCAAAAAACCACGAAGGTAGACAGTAAGTAGCATTTAAACTTGTTTTCATTTCTAGTGTTTGGCAATTGTAACTCGAAATTACTTTTAGATTCAAGCTTCTATATCCGTACGGAGCTACGTTAAACGTAGTAAAACCATCTACGGTTGCAGTATCAAGTGGCTCTATTACTGTTCCAACGAATCGACCAATTTGCGCTTATTACTCATCACAATCAACCGGCAAACTTATAGTTTTAGGTTCATCAAAACTTTTATCTGACGCCTATATTGACAAAGAAAACAACGATGTTTTTAGAGAGATGATTTTTGAATTTTTTGACTCCGAAGCTATAGATACTTCGGATTTACAAAGCGACGACGGAGATGTAAGCATTAAAATTGACCAGTATATTAATATTTTCGTTATGATTTTTCGTAAAAAGAAATTTTATGAATTTTCAGTTTTGGGAGTATAGTTTCGTTCCTGACATTACGCAACAAGCCGATAAACCGAAAGTCTGCACGCAAGATTTGGACAGTGTCGATATTCCAAGAGAGTATACAAAATTATTCAGACACGATTTATATTCGATAAATCTAGACTTGGTTCCTGCAAGCTTGAAAGCTTACGAAGATTTGGATGTGAAGCACGAGCCACTGAGTTTAATTGCTCCGAACTTTGAGACACCGTTGCCGCCGACACAAGCATCTGTAAACTTTTGCTATTAATTTCGAAGTTATGCTGTCGATAATAAGTATTAAATTTTCAAATGAGGCAAAAAATTTCTTGTTCTAGGTTTTCCCACCGACGTTTCAAGACCTTCCACCACCTGCTTTAGAATTGTACGATTTGGATGAAGCTTTTAGTTCGAATAATCTGAAACTTTCACAGCTGACCAATAAATATCTGACTGATAGTGACTCGACAAATGAAAAAGAATTAGATTATTATATACGTGAATTTGGCGCGATGATGCGCATCAATAGTGGTGAAACGATAACGGCTAAGAGTATTCTCAATCATGTTATTATGAAAATCAGTAGTTATAAATCAGCTCAACACTAATTTTAATTGGTAATGTATTGTAAAAAGTCGACTGGCTCTTACGAGTGTACATTTGTTCATTTTGTATCTGCTTGTTACATATACATATGAATTATATATTTTCTGTAATAAGAAAAAATACATTTCTTAATACACAGATGTTCTAACTTCAATAAATTTTTCAATAAAAATATTGTCTCCAAATTTCAGTGTTATTATTACAGTTTTTAGAATGTTCATTCAAAAAATAGACAAGCGGTGATGCTCATGCTCTACTCTACTTTATCGATCAACTTAAAGTCGTCATCTGTCGCAAGCAACCTAAAGCACAACATTGTTTGTACATACATAGTTATCTGAAGTAGTATTCGAATTGACATTTTGATCTGTTTTAAGTGAAAACAAGCGTTTTACGTGTTATAATAAGTAACTTTATCGTTAAAATAATGTGATCACTTGATATGTCTAACAATTTAGATACTAATACATAAGAACAAAATGTCCGTTCTTTTCGTGAATACGTAAGTGCTAACGCTTGCCGACTCCAAATTTAGGTTATGTTATTGGCGGTCTACTTTACAAACGCTATATGTGTTTACTTTTATTATTTTCCTCATACTTGGTTTTAAAACGCTTTTATTTTTCAGACTTTAATTTTTTCTTCGAGGAGTCTAAGTTTTATTATGGAGTTCTTTGTTAAATCGTGTGTATTTCGTAGATGTTTTGTTTAACTTATTTTGTTTTTTTTACAACCTTTTTTTATAAGTAATAAACCACTTGCGTGTTTTTGTTTAGAAGTAATGATAGTGAAGTCGAAGGAGACAATGGTGATTTACAAATTGCATCACCAGGAAGCTCAGAAGCTCAACAGGCACTCACACAGTTTTGGCCAAAAGTTAATGAAGAAATCAAAAAGATTACTACTGTATGTAAATGTCAAAGTTTTTACATATTTCATTTAACATTTCTATTAGAAAAAGTGTTGATTTAAATTTTAATTCTAGATGGACTTAAAAACACAATCCTTACCACTTGCAAGGATAAAAAAAATTATGAAATTAGACGGTGATGTTAAGATGATTAGTGCAGAGGCTCCCATGTTATTTTCTAAGGCTGCAGAAATATTTATTCATGAATTAACGTTGAGAGCTTGGGTACACACAGAAGACAATAAAAGACGAACTCTTCAGAGAAATGACATTGCAATGGCTGTAACTAAATATGATCAATTTGATTTTTTGATTGATATTGTTCCAAGAGATGAGTTGAAGCAAAGCAAAGCTCAGTCAGATAGCACTGTTCGAACTTCTATGAACTCTGATCAAGTACAGTACTATTTCCAGTTAGCTCAACAACAGGTGTCAGCTAATCAAGGTGTTCAAGCCAGCACAGCAGCATCTCAACCTATTCAAATAGTTCAACCTTCTACAGGTCAAATCCAAACAATCAATATTGGTAGCCCTGTAGATGTGAGTATAATTTATTTATTTTAATAATAAATTGAATGACTTTTATACTATTGAATCTTGAAATTTGAAAAATACTGATGAAATATAAATTATTCTCTTTTTTCTTAGGACACAACCACTAGTACAGCTCAAACACTGACAGTACAGAATCCTCAACAAGGTGGACAAGTTATACAAATACAACAACCTCAACAAACTGCAACTACGGCAAATGGAGGTATACAAATAGTTCAACAAATTGTCACACCTAGTGGTGAAATTCAACAGATTCCTGTAAGCATCAAGTATTACTAGTAAATTAAAAAAATATTATTTTCAAAAATTTCATAAATAACTTTAAAAACTGTACGATTTTAGATTCAATTGACACCTCAACAGTTACAAATGATTAGGATGCAAGTTCAGAGTGGAAATAATCAACCAATAATTATTCAAGCTACACCCATTCAAACTCAACCACAGCTAATTCAAGTTGCGCAAAGTGGTCAAACCCCAGTATTTCTGCAAACTAGTACAGCTGATAATGAATGATTTCCTTAGATTATTTGATCATCAGTTTTTAAAATAAAATAATATAGATTAACTTTGCATCAGCGTGATCATTGATGTTTCATCAGTTAATATATAAGTAATTGTGAATATCAGTCACTCTCTATCAACAACATCGAAATCTATCAAATAAATATTTTTTTAAATCAAAAGTTATCAACACCCCTTAATACTGTCCACTTGAACGTTAAAAGTTTGCCTAATTTTCTATTTTTAAAAATATAGATTTCTCGGATAGAAGTTCTCTCCCAGATGGAACTCGAGAGCTTTCCTGAAGATGCACAGCAAAAACGTCGTAAGTGTATCTTCTGTGAAATTCCTTAAATATTAATTTCCATCGAGATAACAGAAAGAAGCATCCGAGGAGTGCATATTCTAATAGAATTATTGCCACCAAATTGAGCCGAGCAAAAGCGAGAAAAGAATAAAAACAGCACATGTAGCATCCCCCAATGGAATCAGCTCAGACTCTCGACGTGTTCGTCGATGCGAAATGAAGCGTGATGCATACCAAGAACGAGAGAGGATGAAGGAGAAGAAAAAGGAGAGAGAGATGCGCTGGAATGAAGATAAGCTTGCGAGTGAGAGAGAAAAAGCGTAAGATGTAATCTGATTCGCGCGGCCGTAGTCCGCATGGCTGAGCCTCTCGGGAGGTAGAGAGAGGCTGCGCCGGCTGGTGCAACCTGGATTATGTTTCACCGTTTCGCGCTCGCGCTCTCTGCGGTTCTCCGTCTTATTCACTTTATCTGTCGCATGCATGCCTCTTTATTTATTCCCTACTTCAAGTTCTCTTCGCCTTATATTTGTGTATGTGTGGGTGTGTGTGTGTATGCGTGCGTGCGTGCGTGCGTGCGTGCGTGCGTGCGTGCGTGCGTGCGTGCGTATGTATGTGTTGTGCAGATTGAAAAAGTGTTCTATCTACTATTATGACAAGGAGCAAAGAACTTGCGTGTATACACCAATCAATTGCTTCATTCATTTGTCATGATTACTTTACATACGCATTAGACGAGATCAAATATGCGTCTAGTTGTCGCGCGCAACAAACCACTTGCTGCTTTCGTGTCTTGGCCAATATGCTTCTAAAGCTTGTAAAACGTTCAAGTTTTTAATTTTATCTGCATCGAGCGATTTTAGATTGGAATTTACGAATTTATGCCAGCAATCTATACGAAGTTTCCATGTACAGACGGACAGGTGAAAATAAAGAGGCGAACTTTTCAACAGGGCTAATGCGAAAAAAGCAGAATCGACATAAATAAAGAGAAGAGAAAGAGAGAGAGAGCGTGCTCGGCGATGATAACATCTTTCGCAGCATGCAAACTTCGTATATATATATATATATATATATATATATATATATATATATATCCGCGCGTGTATAGAAGATCCCGAATCCGAGAACCTGTCCGGCATTCTGCAAACTACGTATATTTTTATCTGGCGGATAAGACCGAGAATGAAGAACAAGAGGTGAAAGAACTGCTTTCTTTCTTGGCTTCATTCAGCAAATTATGCGTCGGTATTTTTCGTGGATTCAGTAGCGAAAACTAGGCATTAAAAGCAATTGCAACCCGATTGTTATAACATCGTAAAGAGCGCAATCTCAACTGGAGGGGGATAAAGCTTTTCTTTCTCAAAGCGCAAGAAACAAGCTGGAGAGGGAGCGGAGTCCGGTAAAAAAGATGGGAAGATAGACGCGCGAGAGGGAGTGAGAGATCTCTCGGCGAGCGCCAAGAGACCCTGACATCCTTTTGTTAGGGCGGAACAAAGATGTGCGCGGCGCTCTCCATTTAGCCGTGACGTCACGGGTGCGCTCGCCCGCCGAATGTACAAGCATTCGCGGAGCCCGTTGCCAGGGGTTACGTTGTCGGGCATTCTGTGAACTTTATATTATCTTGTTGGCAGTCTACTTTTAACGTCAATTACAAGTTTTTCCATGAATTCACTCAAATTCTTACCCGACCGCACCTGTTGCAAACTTATCTATTATCGTGCTATTTTCAACGGATGGTTTTGTTGAAAGAGTGGGAAGTCTTAATAGATGAATGCACATGATGATCTCGATAATGATTGATGCGCCATCGTTAACAAACGTCACTCTCATGCTCGCTCCAATTACCGCATCTTTTTTTAATGAAATGTGTATGATCGAATAAATAAATATTATATTTTAATGAAAATCAATGGAAGAATGTGTCCTTGCCGTATTTTTCGTACGAGTACCATAAAGCGATTACTAATAGGTGAATTCGTAGTGCGCGAGTTGGAAGAAAAGATGTAACTCTTAGTATTAACGTTGTTTTCACTTGCGGTAAGTACGAATAACTAAAATATAGCAGAAAAAATAACTTAAAATTATTCTTTAGGTGAGTAGCTGCATTAGGACAGCCATTCCAATATAACAACGACAATGAAGCTGCGATAAAAAATTATGCTTATCTGTTAAGTATCTCTACTGAACACTTTTGCTACGGTTCGATCGTCTCTGACCACTTCGTTTAGACTACAAATACAGGATTTTGTAAAGATTTTATTCTATCCATACAGAGACTGAAAACAATAATATAGCATGCTTTGTACCGCGAAAATGATTTCTCTTTAGGAATTTACCCATAACGAGGAACACACTGCTTTAAGAAATAATCTGGCTTTGATCAAAATTGAAGATCCATTCTAATAAAATTCTTCAAAACGAAATCTACGCAGCTAAAAAAAAAACGAAGAGGATTTCAAATCTGTCAATTGGGGTAGTTTCTTTTACATCGATGATCATATTACTGGTATCTTTTTTCATTTTGGATGATACTCTCATTATTTTTTCCAATGTTACTTACAATAGACACTGGATAATTGAGCAACCTCAACCGAATCGAATTGCCATTCGAAATATTGAAATGCTGCAGAATATGTGAATGATCCTGACCAATCATTTTAAATGAGTGTTCATGAAATGACTTGAATAAATTATTTAAGTAAAAAGTAAAGCCACTGTTTATCAACTTCATCCAGAAATTTATATTTATAATGACGCAATCAATGCAGTTTTGTTTGCCATGGAAATGATTCATGTTATGTTGGAAATTAAATATGAAAGATAAATGGAAGAGAGAGAGAGAGAATGAGAGAAAGGGAGGATGGCATATTCTAAGCAAGTAAGTTGCGCGTCCAAAGTATGTACACATGGAGTGCACCGTATGGAAAAGCTAGTTGTCGGGCGGGCGGCAGTAGCGAAAGTGCTCGAGGGGGTCCTAGGGGTAAAAGCCACTGTGTACTCGCGGCGAAAGAGCTCACGGGGACTGACTACGCCACTGGCTCACGGAATACTCGGATTTCACGACATGTTTACAAAGATCCTAGAGATAAGTTGAGAATGGTCGGGCCCTCTCTCTGTCTCTCACTCTGTCTCTCTCTCTCTCTCGCTCTCTAGCTAGATGCATAGGTGTAAGGTGACAGCTACCGCGTGCGCGAGTGTGGGTGAGAGTTGCACTTACGCGCATTTCAACAGTCGATGAGAGGGTTGTGAACAAAGTTACGCTTTTCACTGTCTATCGTCATTTCTCTCGTTGCGGTTATGGTGCTTCACGCCTGCTTCTCTCGCGGGACCCTTGAGTTTTTGCGAAATAATTGTTCCGACGCTTGATTTTTATTTTTCATCTATATCTCTCATTGAATTTCATCGACGAATGGAGTTTTCATTCAACAAGTCATCTTTATGGCTCTTATTAGTACGATGCTTGCGAAATAATTTTTAAAACTTTATATTTCAAAAGTATATTTTGATAATCTCTCAAAAACCTAAAACTAATAGAAATTCATAACGTGGCGCCAATCTCATTCTTCTATGCTTTCGAAAGTGTCAATTGAATTTAAAAACAACAGTGGCTCTCAACTATACTTTAATCATTCATTTGGCAATTATATACATTTTCAAACAATTGTTTTAAGCCACTTTTGGAGCAATCTTTTCAATAAGTAATATTAATTATAAATTTTAATAAGTAATTTTAGAAGAAACTGCAGCGAAATCTTCACTAATATAAATAGCTGCATCACCAGCAAGACAATCATCGATCACAAAGGAGTCCTATTGAAATTCCTAGTGGTCGTACTTAAAATGCTGTCCGTCGTTATAAGCCGTATAAATTTCATTTTGAAGAATCACGATGTTTCGTAAATTCATCATTGTGCGATTTATCGCAGTATACTTGGTGGTTCATAATTATTTTCAGAGGAAACTATTGTTCGCTGTAAGTATCGCAATCCATCAATGGGTTAATCGTTAGTCTTTTGTTATAGTTACGTAAGCTTACCGTATGTGAGAATAACGATATTAATAAAAGAAAGTTTCATCTTTTCGTTCAACGCACCAATTAAAAATCCAGAAAATTTTAAAAGTCTTTATTAAGTAAAGATATCGCTTCCCAATACCTAAAAAACTAATGATATAACGGTACCTTCTTATAGCTGAATAAGCATTTTTCAAGTAAATGAAAATAAGCAACTATTGTACATATTTAATCAATGAGAAAAGTGGTAGTCATTTTAACTGACGTGTATTATGCGTACATCAATTCTAATGTACTTTCAATTTTCAAAATTTCCTACTGGCAATAGCAATAAAGATAAAAAAACAGCAAGCATAAAAATTTTCATAAAGTTTTCGAACAATCAGACGGAAATTTGTAAAAACTCTATTGAAAGTCTAACGTATTTAGTTACAATTTTGCATACTTTACAAAGAGTTTGAGAATGAGTCATAGTCGTTTCTTAGCACAGTACACAAGGAAAACAAAAATTTGAAGCACTCTCCAGCAAAAGAAAACAACCCTCATGCGCACACAAAAAGATAGACAATGATGGTGCCGAGGATGCAGGCATTCGGCCATCATGCGCGTGTAAATATGACAACAACCGTGGTACAATAGCTACATCCTCGAATCGCATCGGAGTCTGAAGCCCGCACAAGTCATAGCTGCGAGTTTGTGTTATACACGTGGGTGGTCGTGTGCGGGCGGCGCACACACGCGCCGAACGTACGTTTTCGCCTGCCGTTCTCTTCTCGGCTTTCCTTTATCTCCGTCTTTTTCTTTACTCGCGCGCATATCCACCTGATTAAGCGCTTTATTTTACGAGCCACGTCCGAGCTTTAATCTTCGCCAGCGATCGTCTTTAATTATCTGACAAATTATATGCAAGTTGCATGAGGCGAAGACTTGATTTTGGTAAAGCGTAAATTCTCCGAGCTTCGTTGCCTTTTACAACGGTGCCCTGATAAATGTATCTTTACCGCGCGCATGCCGCATACTTTTCCTTGTTTACGTTCAACGATTTGTCATGTTGATCACTATGTGTTCGCACTGATTCCCGTATCAGAGAAAAGTTGTTTTGAGCGATAATGCCTGTAGGGATTGGAGCGTAATGTTTATTTGTGTTACTATAGGTTTACGGTCGTTGCTTTCAATTGTGTTGTTATTGTTCATCAATTTCAAGTTGAAACAGATTTTTCGTTGCGCGTGTCATTTGGAGTATAAGAAAGTGACAAACCTACGAAAACGAAAAAACCACACGTTCTTATGGAGCTCCAATACATAAAAAATCGCCATTTAAAAACAAATCCACGATGGCCGCCTAAGCCGCGAGGAAACAAGCCTTGATGAACACGGTTGTACGACGAATCGTCGCGACGAATAATGCTCTTTTGGCAAAGCAAAAAGTACCGAGCAGCGACAGGCCCGTATAACGTTGGCAGCAGTCAAACGATAACTCAATGCAAGGGACAGGGCAAAGTGGCGTTGGGACAAAAGTGAGAGACAGATACCTGAAAACGCACTTCATCAGAGCGAAAAGTTGCGAAGCATCGCAGACTTCGCTCTCGTTCGCGTTGGTTCGGTGGTCTTGGGCAGAGTAGAGGGCTAAACGCCATTCTTCCGGGGCCCCCGCGCGTCACTTTGTATCTTCCTCTCGCGTGCTCTCGTATACACACTTGGCCGCGCTCCTCCCTCGCCTCTTCTTCTGCTTCTTCTTCGCCTCCTTTCCTTTTCGCTTTATTTTTATTTTCTGCTCTCCTTTTTTTTCTCTTTCGCTCTCTCGAACGCGCGCGCCTCCCTGCACCTTGTGCCTGTAATGTGTATATACGTGTACTTGGCTCGTCGCATATAATATTCGTTTCGTAGGCTTGTGTGTGTGTGTGTGTGTGTGTGTGTGTGTGTGTGTGTGTGTTTTCTCGGAAACGACGCTTTTTAGGCCTCCTTCGTCTATATGTTGTCCTTTGTTCTTGTACGTTATCAGCACGTTATTATTTGCTTTTTCCACGAGCTTATCGTTCGACAGCTTATTTGGCTTTTTACACCGGATTATACGTATTAATCATTCCATTTTCGAACGTTCATTTTCTATTATTTTTGTATGTAGACCGCAGATTAAGTAATTTCACACATATTTCCAGGAAAAGTACAACCAACCAAATGGTCAATTCAATGACAAACAATGTATTCCATTGAGACACCTATAAACGTGGCACGAGCCCACATGTTACACATCCCCTCGAGATGTATCGTTGAACACTTGCACGCACAATAATTGACAAGTAGAGTCCCGAAAGAACGCCTAGTAGCTACACATATTGTCGGGTAGGTAGGCCTTGTCGAAGGGAAAAATGCGCCTGTAGAAATAATTACAACGTAAACGTGTTGCGCTATGGTCATACATGTGTCGAGAGAGAGAGAGAGAGAGAGAGAGAGAGAGAGAGCGCGGCTCTTCGACAAAAGGCAAGCTAACAATAGAGGATTAGCGGGGCTTTTACGTAACACACGACGGATGCTGCCGCTAGCGCAGTATGGCCCCGGAGGCCTAATCTTTCGATCCCTTACGCGCGCTCACTTTTTTTCACGCTACAATGGACTCTCTTCACATATACTGCACACTAAAGGCCCTTGAAAAGTTACACATCGTCGAGGACTGCTCCTTTTTCTTCCATTTCAAATCTCATTCTATCTTTTGAGGGAAAAAAAAGTGGGTCGCGATGCACGCGGAGATAGATCGAGGTTTTGCTCATGGGAGACTAATGCTGCTGCAAGTGATTTTTCCTTTGGAAGGGGATCGAAATGTGCGCGCATGTGGGAGTTTCTCACGCATTTCCACGGCAAAACTCACCAGCAGACGAGTCCCGTCCGTTCAACGTCGAAAAGTACGCATCGGTCTTCATCAAAACAAAGTTGGAAACAATAATAACCCGAGGAGCGGGCTATTGACAATTCGATTTCGCCTTTGCGTATACTTGCAAAGAAGAATCTTCCCTTTCGTTGCCTGCCGCCGTCAATCTTAGACGCTTTCTCTCTTCCTCGTTACCTTCGCTCTCTTTCTCTCTTTCTCCCAGCGACGACGTAAAACTTTTAGCGAAATACGAGAATCCATCAAAGCGGCCTCTGCGAAGAGAGAGAGAGAGAGAGAGAGAGAGAGAGAGAGAGAGAGAGAGAGAGAGAGAGAGAAAAGAGAGCGAAGGAGAGTCTGGGCGCAAGACTCTCGCGCGCTCTCTCTGCACTTTTCTGCCAAGGGAATTTTCGCCGTCGTATGGTAAACATTACCTCCGACGAAAAAGACAAAAAGGCTCCCCGGTATAATGCGTTTTAAGGCTGATAATGGCACTCGCGAAACACGACACCCGCGCAAGGCTGTGTACGCATTCTCTTCTCTTTCGGACACAAAACTTTAAGTGCTCTCCCTGTCTTGGTGCGTGCTCGCGGCACGCCTTTTATTTCGCGAAGAGATTGACTGTCGACGAGCAAGACGATTCTTTCTCGGGCGCGTTTCCCGTAAAAATGATTGCAGATGAAAGAATCGACTTTCCCGCGCGTCTACACACGGGCAGTGCCAATTTTTAAAAGTCGTGGTAACCGAGGCTGCTTAAAAGTAACACGAGCATCGCGACAGATTGAATGACCATGGCGATTGATTGAGAAATCAATGACCGCGTTATCTCTGTCCCACTCACTGCTACGGCACAATAAAAAGGCGCGAGAGAGCGACAGATACTCATACGGACCTACAATAAAAACAACCATGTCGATGTGGCAACTCACGCGAAAATCCGCTCTATACCTGCAACGGCAGCAGCAACAGCAGCTCGAAAAAAAGGAGGAGGAGGAGGAGGAGGTGGAACAAGTTGTAAAGCGAGACGACAGTTATTATTATTCGAAAGAAACCAGTTTGGTCGCGCCGAAAGGTGCCGAGAAAGAGAGAGAGAGAGATTTGGTGTCGCCGACGTCGCGACAGGTGGTGGTGGTGCAGGCATATTACACGAGAAAAAACGCAAAGATTGTCTAATCTGCGCGGACGTCGTTGTTGCAACGAAAAGTATTTCGTTTTGAGTAGCAAAGTACGAGGATGTCAATGGGCTTGCTTATCGCTTTTTTTTCCAGATCTTTATCGTCGAGCAATAGATTAAATTTCCATCCGAGGATATAGACAAATTGGTACTTCCAAAATTATTAGTCAATGTATAGATTCTGATCTGAAATGGCTTACATGCTTGTACGAAGATAAACTAACGTCCATTATGGAAGATAAGTTATATAATTCTGGAGAGAAGTGTATAAAACAAGAAAAAAGAGACACATTAGTAATCCTTCGCTATTGCGAAATCCTTGATGAAATGCGATTGTAACTACAAGAATCCGTTGATAGAATAATTAGGAATAATTAAGGCATCGTGTTATCCGCTTAAGCCTAGAATTCAGTTTTTCAGAAGCTATATCGTACGATCGAGGGAAACTTGAAAATCGTCGGTCAAAGTGTGGTCCAGCCAGTAAAGCTGCCGGCAGGAGGGAAGTAACCCAATAGTGCGTTCAAATGTTGGATTCGCTATTAATTGCGGTTACGTCTATTTGTGTGTATACGCCCGCGCGTGTATGTGCGTATGTGTGCTGCAACAACGAGGCGCGATTATTAAAGGGCTCGGAATGCAGTCTCGTTTCCGACTGATTCAACTCTCTCGACGCATCATACAATTATTCGAATGAATGTGTGTGTATGTATGTGTATCTAGTCGTCTGTTTCATTTTTTCTCTTTCACGTGTCTGCCGTCTTAATCGCCCACGATCAAGCATTTTTCCTTTTTTCTTCAAAAAGTCGGAAGGGTTAAATGATGCAATCAGTGGGACGTGGTTTATTCTGTTGAGGGGAGATTGAGAATAGCTGTCAACGGAATTAATCAGTGTGTAGTCGTCGAATTAAATATTATGTTACTTTGCGTTGGGGTCCGTAATATACGGATATATACATGTGCCAGTCTTTTTTCCATTTCATTCGCTTGATCAGACAGGACATTTTTTATGTTATAGATAACGCACATAAAAAATTTGAGAAGCTGTCGCTATACATACTCAATTGATTAATCAACCATCGGATTCCCTAAAATGTCTTGTTAGTTGGAAATTCATCGCGAAATATAGCATCACGCATCTCAAGATACAATAAGCTAATTAAAACAACGCATAAAAATATAGGTAATAAATTTAATTAAAGTTATGGTGCGATGTATTTGACAAAAATAAGCATCATAGTATGTATAATCCCAAGTGTGAAGATAAGGCATCGGAAAAAATAATGGATAAAAATCACAGCACCAGATGGAGAGATAGAAAGAGAACCTCGGTGTATGTACACGCACATTTGGCACCCCAACTCAACTCACTGCCGTGCAGTTTCTCTCTTTCTCTATTTCTATTTCTCTCTCTCTCTCTCTCTCTCTCTCTCTCTCTCTCTCTCTCTCTCTCTCTCTCTCTCTCTTGGTGTGTCTATCATTCCACCCTGCCATTAATATCGTCCATCCCTTGCAGCCTGGCATCTCTCTCTAATTAAGCGGCCCCTCGCAAACATACACACTCACACAAACACAATTGCAGAGCACATCTATATATACGCAGTCGTGCGCGCGCGAACCGGCCGGCGGCGGCTGAGAGCTGGCAGCAGCAGCGGCATTGTCCCACGTGATCCCGGGGCGGGGGTGCGCGCAGGCAGCAGCAGTCGAGAGCTCCACAGCCAGCAGCCAGTATCACACGGCAGCCGAGCGCCGAACAGAGCAGTCCTTTTCCTTCCCTCTCTCTCTCTCTCTTTCTCTCTCTTTCTGTTTCTCTCTCTTTCTCTCCCGTGTGTACACACGCAGCACACACGGCGTAGCCTTGTTTTTTCTCGGTTTAGCCTTTGTGTCGTGTTGCAACATACGTACATATCGTCGTCCTACGCGGCGTGCAAAAGCATCATGTGAGAAGGTGTGAGAGCTGCAGCAAGGAAGAGAAGCCTTGTCGTGGCGTGTGATAAGAAACCCGGCGAGTGTGTGTTTGCCTGCGGGAGGATGCGCGACCGGCGGCCGCGCATGTGCGAACCTGGTTTTTAGTATATATAAAGTGCCAAAAAAGAGGAATAACGCACACGACGAACGAATTTTCCTTCGTTGTGCGTGCGAATGTGCGTGTTTCCTTGTGTGAGTAGTGTTTATTGCGTACGGTGACGTGTTTTTTTTCAACAAAACAACACGAGAAGCTTTCTTTCGTCAGTTCGCGCTTTTTTTCTTTTGATGTGGGAATTGCCGACGACTACGACGTTGGATTCGAGATTTGGCTGATTGATGAGGTATATTACACATGCAGAACGAACCAAAATTAGGTTTCAATAATGGACGATCGAATGTATGCAGTTCTGCCCTGTCGTATTCTTATTGAATGGAGTGCAGAAGTTCGCGAAGTCTTGCCTTACAACGCCAGTGCGATTCGCGACTTGTTTGTTGATACATTCCGAGAATCGATTTTCTTTCATTCATTAAACGTGGTCATATGAAGAACCATTGATATATCGTCGAGTCAGTCACAGCTTAAATTTCAGGTGATTTTTTTGTTCTTATCAAAGATTGAAATCGAAATGACGTCCGACAATAACGCTCTCATTCAGGCAACACCCCATCTGTATATAGTATGGGTAGGCATTTTTTTTCTTTTTTTTTCAGTAGAAACGACCGCAGGTCAATTATTATGCGAAGAAGCCCTCGGGGCGCAACAAGAGTGACAGAGAGAAAGAGAAATGTAAGAGACAGGCAGGACATCGGGCAGAGGGTTGCACGCTACATCTGCTTGGCATGCGTAAACCATGCACGCGCGCGCCAGAAAGTTTTGCCAAGGTCGAGAAAAACACGCGCGTCGTTACGGGAAACATGTTCCGCCTGGTCGTCCTTTTCTTTTGCTCGCGGCGACAATCGTGCCTGAGTCCCGGTAGTTATTTGTACTGTCAACGGTAAATTTAACTATAACTGCTAGGAGACAATCAAATGTACGTACAATTAATAAAAATGTTATTGGTGATACATTAAAATAAATAAAATCCGAGTCGTTTTACTAAATAACCTTGCCATTCAAAAGGAAGAACTAATAATAATAATAAAATGATAAAAGAAATGCGTGGTTTTGCATACGAAAGAGCTCGCGATCTTGGGAAATCCATTTGTTGCCGCCGCGCGGCACCTTGAACCAGCTAACGAATGTTGCGCTCGTCCAATTAAAATACATTAACCGCTAACAAGCCGAATTAGATGCAAGCGGCACACGTCCGAACGAGTTAAACACTCAAGGTGCGTGCACTCTTTGCCTTCTGAATAAAAACAACACTTATTGTTTTTATTTTCTCGTGGTTTTCTTCGAATCCTATTATTCCTTTTATGAAAGAGCTTGAGCTTAATTTCTAGGTATTCTTATTCATGGATACACAGTTTTATCTCAATGTAATTGAAGTAATTGATAATATTTTATTTGTAAACATAATGACTTAAATGAGACTCGTCTTTCCCGCAGTTTTGCGTCGTCCCAGGCCTCGATTCTATATTTTATACATAACTAGTGATGTTTAGCGCGCTTTGCGCGCTCCTCTTTTACGTCTTTCTTTGTATTCATTTTAATGCGAATATAAATCAAATCTTTTATTAGAGAAATTCAAAATTCAAAAATTCAATATGCATTGAACATTCCCTTAATTTGATATTAAATATAGCCAATGATATTATTTATTGGTAAATAAATATACAGTTACGTTGACACTCATAATTTAAAAATGTTATCCATAAAGTTTTAAGTTTCTATCATCCCAAGTTCTGTGCTGAAACACATCATTTAAAATTTTTAAAAACCCGATGAAATATGTATTATAAGTTCTAAAAATATTATACTTTTCTATAACATATTCTTCACGATGTAAATTACATACTTTGGTACAGAATTTTCACGGCTATAATTAAAGCCTTTTTAAAAGAAATTTCTAGTATTTGACGTAATTGAGTAAAGCCAAAATCACTGTACAATATTTTATCGTAATAATTTATCTATCTATATCTTTTATTGCCTACTTTAAAAATTGTTTATTAAAAGCTACATTTTCCCATAAAGCAATGTTCAATTAATATTTCTATCAAGGTATCAGTCGGTCATTATTTTGATGTTATATGATTAAATCATTCACTTCATATTAAATTCGTACCAACTATACTTATACACTTTTCGTACATTTAATCGTTTACGAAAATTTGCAGTAATCTTTCATTAGCGTACATAACGTATACTATCGGATAACAACTGATCACGTGACTATCTTTCAGCCAATCAGATCACGAATAAACTGACTTCACTTTGTCAGGTTCTTTTTTTATAAGAGAAAGAAGATAAAAGAGAGAAATAAGAGAGAAAAGTTGAACTTTGCAACCACGCGTATAAAACTGAAAATTCAATAAAAGAACAGAATTCAATTGAAAAAATCGTAGAGAGATCAAATAACTGATGAAACTAGGATTTTATTTGATTTTTTATGTTATCGAACGTGATATTTTTCAGTTTGCAGATAAACAAAGTCTAATATTTTGTTAGAATTATGTGCCGAATCGTTTGGTGAAATTCGTGGGAAAAAAAATTTTGATCTCGAAACAATGTAGCAACTCGAAACTGTATCGTTGCAAAAAAGCAACTACGCTTTCTCGGAATGGAACATGTCCGTTCTTCATTTAAAAATACGCACTTACTTTGTTTATTTGTGATTGATGAATGGCTGGTTAAGTGACTCTTACTACTGAACCTAAACTGAATAGTAGATCAATTCGACACAATACACTCTTAAATCTCCGTTGCAAAGACCTATTTCCATTTAAATTTTTTTAAGAGGGTAATTATTTTACGAATGGAAAATATTTCTTTCAATGCTAGTAATACGAATGCAGCCATCATTATAATTTCACTGCGAATGTTTTAGTAATGTTTTACAATATTTTGTCATATTTTGTAATATTTTTCACAGTGAATATTGAATTAATTGCATAACATCATGCAAAAAGCGCTGTGCATTTATGTATTCATAGAAGAATCTACTTAGAACTATATAAGTAACATTAAGTGAAATTCCAAAATTGAAAAATTAAAATAAGGTTTTGTAATAGTCTCAGATCTTGTTTGCTTTATTCTAGACTGAACGACCATTTGACGTCGAAATAAAATTATAGTACGATTCTTTCATCTGTTGAAACGAAAATAAGATAATAAATGTGCAATATCCGTTGAACCTAGCAGATATAAAAGCGCCTCTCGGAAGTTGGTCAATTATTGACGTTAACATTCGTAGAAAATATTATCGTTTTGTTCATACAAAATTCCTGGAGACCAACATCTTTTCTCAGTTTTTATCTGCCATAAAATTTCGCTTACATCGTGACGCTTATTCGGACGCAGACAACTTTTCTGCATAGTTCTCGCGTGAGCGTAAGTCTGATGGCGAGAGAAAAAGCTCATTGTTTGGGTTACGTCTGCTAATTGTTATCTCATAGTCGTTGCATTCCTTTTACGCATTGTGTCGTTTTTTCTTTTAAAACCGCTGCTGTCGTTTAATTTAGTTTAGATTTAGAATATTATGGTGCTTCTTTACAATCCATAAAGTAATCTTCGAGATAGTCAAGTTTCTATTTTTCTTTGAGAAAAGTTAAAAATATTGAACGCTAAGAAAATTTGAAGCCATTACGACGAGAAAAATCCGACACACTCGTTAGAAATAATAATAATTTTTGAATGTATTCCACAACGTTTGTTTATAGGAAGGATCAATTTTGCGCCTTTACTATCCAACAACTGCACTGTTTCCTCTTACGACTTAGGTACGCTTCGATAAAAGATAATTTATATGAGGTGGTACTTTTATTGAATGTTACGAGGTTTTAAGCAGAGTGAAATTTAATGACGACAAGAAAATGTACACAACTGAGGCTGAACAGCACTCGTAGCGTGACCGCGACTCTCCAAGTGCGAGAACTGAAAAAAGGAGATACTTGGAATGGGTTGTAAAATTCAGGAAAACATAATAAAATGCTTGAGTTGCTATTATCATGTTGATATTTGTTATAATTTGCATTTTCTGAGTCGTACAAAGCAGATGAAGTCGTGAGAAAAAAATACATAAAATTATTTATAAAAATAGGGATCATAAACATAGCATAGCGTAGAGTTTGACTGATAAAGTGATGGAAAATTTACTGAATCGTACATGCTCTCCTTCAACTACATTTCGTTCATGAAATTTTATTATTTTCAAGTACGTTTCAAATGGTATTATTCTATTTTAAACCGCATATATATTATTCGTAATCATCTTTGAACTAAACTTGACTGTCGATAAAATACAATAGTTATACATTATTCTATACGTCCACGCGTTTTCACTGCTAATTATTTGTAATTCGATTAATCAGTTAGAATTCGAATATACAGTAAATCAAAATTCACTCTTCTTATTTATAGATACAATACGAGCCGAGAGTTCATTGACAATCGCACATATAAAATTGAAAAATTCGGCGTATTTATTGGGCAGTTATTTCGTGCGTTTATACCTTGTGCGTTGTTGGTTTGCCGAAAGGGCGGAGTCGTCCTCGCGTGTACGCCGACAAGATAGCAACTTGGGGCCCTCCGCCGCATTGGCTGGGGCCGCGCAACGCCCCCTCCTCTCTCTCCACCTACCCGAGAGATTTAATCGCGCACCAATTGACAGCCAATCTCTAATTATCCCTAAATTTACGTGAAACTTTGCATTGGATATCGTTGTCGTTTCGAAAACGTTTTTCTCGTATGTAAACATTGCTTCGACAGTTTAGCTCAATAAATAATTATTGCTCAGTGAGCTGGTCATCGTAGAGTGCGCTTTCGATACTGCTGTGGGTACTGATATTTTGATACATATATATATTTTTAATCGACTGACAATTCATGCATGTTCCTGATTCAGAGGTGATTTTATAATTTCAATACATGTTTGACCGAATGTATATTGATTTTCAAAATTTGATGGAGTTGACTAAAATTCATGTAAAATCTCATTGTGTACGTAGTGAAAGATTTTCTCCATTTCGAAAGTAGTAAACTCGGAAAAAAGTACACTTGTCGGTAATTAAAAAAAAATCTTACTCGTTTTATGAATACAATGTCAGGATGTGTTTTTATTGTAATCAATTATGTGCGCAATTTTCAATATTCCATGGTATGATACCAAATTTGTATACGTATAATCATTGATCATTACACTAACACGATATTCGTATAGGAATTATCGGTATCTATAATCTTTGTCAAAGATATTCAGTTACAGGTCATTAATAGCTGTTGATTTGGCTGTGCTTATTATTATATAAATTACATTTTGTAAATTTTTGAACGAGCGTTGCATATATATAACACGAATTATAAAAGAAATGCATGAAAAGAAAAATAAAGTATCGTGATTGTGGTGTGATTTTAGGAAGAGTGATATGTTAACCGAAGACAATGACCCGACGAAACCAGCAGGGGTTTTAGACAATGCTGGCAACGTGTCTTCGTCAACGGAGGCTTCGATACAGCACCCTCGCAATGCAAACAATGGTAGATAACGCCATTGGCGTAACCTAACTTCCTGCTCCTTAATTTTTTTATACTCGTATTCGCTGTATGACCAGGCAACTTTCAAAACTCCGTCTGGTCAATATTTTCCAAACATTTTTTTTATTATTGCTTTAAGCTCTTTCGTTTATAAAATTTCATTATCGGTTTTTTTCTTATTATGCTTAAAACTATGTGGACATTTGCGCAGAATTTATAATTCAAAGGCTCTCTAACTTTTTGTTATTTAATAGTTATTGCATACGGGTACCAAACAGTTAGCTTGTCTCAACTTTCATAATGAATGACTTACAATCCTAAAATTAGTTTTTAATACAGATAGCCCGAATGTTTTTGTTAACCACCGCGTAAACTAAAGAACTGTCAATTTAATAAAATGCTAATCTATACAATATTCAATTGTAGAAACAGAAGTTAAGAATGAGGTTCAGGACTGCCCAGAGTCAGATAGCGTGCCAGGTGGCGAGTTGTACATCGACGAGAATGCAGAGGAGAAAGACCAAGAGTATCCGGACTCGATGGAGAAAGCCGACTATGGCTCTCTTTACGGTGCCAATCCTTACTACAATAGGTATTTGTCGTCTATTCTTCTTACCTGAATTGCGAAATATTTATAATCAATAATTTGGTGTTTCTTTTTGCAGTTTGTACAGCTCACCGTCTTACGGAAGTACAACCGCCTCGAAAAGTTCATCGTCCTTACAAAGTTCGTACTTAGGTTCCTACACGACGCCGAGCTCGATGACGCAGTATTCCTCGTACGCCAGTTACAACAGTGGTACTACCACCTTCCCTACAGTTCCACAAAATATATCCTCGGCTTCTCAAGTGAGAGCAAAATAATTTTAATTCAATAATTCTGATTTTTGACTAGCGGCTTTTAATATATGGATATTTTATTTTTTCTTCAGAAACTAGATTATACGGCTTACAGTACCTCGCTATATGGAAACGACAGGGTACCTCTACAGTATTCCGGATATTATCCAGTGCCCGGTTACCATACGACGCCCACCTCATTTAATATTAGTAACTTGAATTTTGTCGGTGTGTATTCCATTAACATCTTTTTATTTATTATGTAAGCAATGATTCACATGTGTACTAAAAATGAATCAATATAAGTTTGAAAAAGCATAACATAAAATAGCTTCATTAGTTTAATATTACGTTAATATTAGATTCCGCAACATCCGTAATTGGATATTTTTGGTTGAATTTGAAATTATTAAGAAATACATCGTATGTTCTTTTACAGTAGATGACGACTGCTAAGTAATAAATTATTTAAGTCGACAATCTTTTCAGATTCAACGAAATCAGCGTTGACGTTAGATACGACTTCTCTCGACACAAGTGATCTAACCGCGAGGGAAACCGCAAATGTCGAAGGTAATGCGATTTGAATTTTATTGAAAAAAATATATATATCGCTTGTGGGTAGGGAAGATACAAACTTGAAAAAATAAATCAAGTTTTGTGCGTTTTTCATATTAATACGATACTCGTGTGCTTCAAAACATGAATAAATAAATGAAGAAAACGGAAAATGAGGTTTGGAATCGTAAAAAACCAAATGCATTGGTGTTCAATTTTGGAAGACAATAAAAGTTCATTGGCAATGAAAAGACACGTGTCGGGCGTTCATTCCGATGGAGTGTTTTACGCAACGTCTAAACGAAACTTGCGTGGACATCAGTTATCGCTAGCTTAACAATAATTCGGAACAAGTTGGTGGTCACATAGAGAAAGTCGAAGAGGCTCCGCAGTCGTCTTGGGTAGTAGTGCGCGCGCGGAACACACATCGATTAAGTATCCGATTTCAGCAGGCAGAGAGCGAGCTCAAGCGCGCGCGCGCGCTCGTGTGTGTGTGGTGCGCGTGTCCAAATGTGCCGCGGATCAATCGAGAGTGATGTTGTTGCAGGGAGCAGCGCGAAGCCCTGCAAACGTGGACGTCGCCAAAGCGGAAGCGGAAACAGTATCGGCTCGGCGGACACTACTGAGGCAGGACCTGACCGGATATTCATATGGGACCTCGATGAAACCATAATCGTATTCCAAAGCCTGCTTACCGGACACTTCGCCACTACCCACAATAAGGAGCCCACGATACTCTCTCAGCTCGCTTACCGGATGGAGGAGATTATCTTCTGGCTCGCCGACTCGCACTTCTTCTTCAACGACATCGAGGTGAGCTGCAGGATTGTGAGTTACTGGCTTCTCTTTACTTTTTTCCCTTCTTTCGCCTGGTTAATTCTCTGTCTTTCTTTCTTTTCTGATAAGTCTCAAAACCCTGTAGAAATGCAAGCAAAACGAGTAACAAAGCTTTAATTTTGTCATGAAAATGAACACAGAGTTTGCGCTCGCAGGACTGCGACCAGGCGCACATAGACGACGTTTCGTCGGACGACAACGGCCAGGATCTGTCGGCTTACAACTTCGCCACAGATGGTTTTCATTGCGAAGCTGCAAGTAACGGCATCTGTTTACCCTCGGGTGTACGCGGCGGCGTCGACTGGATGCGAAAGCTGGCCTTTCGCTATCGCAAGATCAAGGAGACTTACTGCAACTATCGTAACAACGTTGGCGGACTTCTCGGGGCGGCAAAACGAGAGCATTGGCTAAATTTGAGGGCTGAAATCGAGCAACAAACCGAAAATTGGTTGACTATCGCTGTCAAATGTTTGTGTTTGATTGGCAAGCGAAATCATTGCGTTAACATACTTGTCACCTCGGACCAACTGATACCCTCGCTCTCCAAGGTTCTGCTGTTCGGCCTCGGTGGACTCTTCCCCATCGAGAACATCTATTCGGCCTCCAAAACCGGTTGGTCTCTTGACCCCCTCTGACTTTTTATTTTTGCCCAAAACTTGGTTCTTTTTGTGTCGAGAAATCTCGTGTTAACCGTAGATTTATAATGGTGCTCTTGAGGTAGTCCCGGCATAAACTCAATTGTCAAATAAATGTCTGATTGAGTGCTGATACGCATCGCTGGGATCTCCAATTCAATAAAAAAAGGACACGGCAAATAACTAATTGATTTAACGACTGATATAATGTTATGGATTTTTTTTTCTCTCAAATGCTTATTTGAAAAAATAATGAGTAAATAAATGAACCTTTTTACTAAGTTACGTATACATTGAAAAAAAGGGAACGTCGAACAAATTTTATTGATCGCATTATTACAAAAAAAATTGTTTTTTACAGTGTTCTAACGTTATAAAATATTTTCAGGTAAAGAAAACTGTTTCGGTAGGATAGTGGCAAGATTCGGGCGCAAGTGCACATACGTGGTTATAGGCGACGGCTCCGATGAGGAGGCAGCTGCGCGCACGCATAACTTTCCTTTTTGGAGGATAAAAAGTCATTCGGATATGCAGGCGCTCTACAACGCCCTGGAAATGGACTTCCTTTAACGTGCCGAATTCAATCGACATGGATTTAGTTGCAATTTCATTACATACGTTTGGATGAAAGCGAAGTACAAAAGTTTATTCCTTCATTCGTTTTTCAGTTTTAGATTTTTTCAGGAAGTTATCGACTTCGAGCCAAGCTAGCGAGTTTGGGTGAAACAGATAAATAGTGTCTCATAGATTAATTTATTTTTTAAAAACTATGTACTGCATTTTTTGTATCGAAAAAGAACTATTACGCAAAATGCTTTTGTTTTTATGAAGCTTTAAATGGAATAATTTTTCTTTTAAGAAATGAATCAGCCTAGTTATCATAAATAAGAAAAAGCGAATGATTATAATTTAAAGATAAATTTATTTATGCACGTATAAGTTTTTAAAATAGTTCAAGAACGTTAGATTCAACGAATTTCATCGACATTTTTTACGAAGAAATTACATGTCCATATAGTATTTTCATTCTCCAAGAAGTTTCGATAATTTAGCAAATAAGATGTTTTTGTTCTTTTAGTAAATAAGTTTTGTACGTGTACGGCAGTGAAGCCAAAAATTAAAAATTTTATAGGTCGTCGTAATGGTCGATCATGAACTGACTTTGAGTCGAAACAAGTGATAAATGAAAAAAATTGAAAGTAAAGTGAAAGTAAAAGATTTATATATTAAGGAAAACTTTCTAAATAAATGTGAAAAAATATTAGCGAGCTTCTATACTTATTTATGTGTATGAAAAATAAGCGAGAGAGTAACAAAGGAGAGTGTAATGCAAAAATAGTACATTACTTAACTGGTACGGGAAAGTAGATTCTTGTGTCGTGTGAAGTTTATGCCTGTGCGAAGCGATGGTAGAAAGACACATGAGATAAGAATTTTTTTTCCGAACATGTTAGATGCTTTCAACATGTTGTTTTGACAACATGTGGAAAGCACGAATTTGAGCGCACGTTTTTCGCCGAGCAATCAGAAAGTCGCACTTTCCGCACGGCATGTTAAAAAATTTTAGCCAAGCAAAATATCTTTGATCAAACATGTAATGTACTTAAAAAATCAAAGTTAACAGCATTTATACCAATTCATTTTTTTGTGAATGCAACTATGCGCTATGTTATTATGTTAATTCCTTTATGATTTTATAAAATATTTTCGTTTGCAATCTTTCTCCTTTGGCGACAAATCATAAAAACTATATAAATTTAAACCGTTTATTTAATTAATTTTTATAATATGGAAATTTTACTTTTTAATTTGTTATGCACAAATCAAACTGAAAAAAACATTTTAAACTATGTGAAGTGCAACATTCCATATAATGTACAATAAAGTTTTAAATCTAACATCAAGTTATTTATTTATTCTCACGCGTAATCTCATTTTTCATTATACGAAATTTATAAAAGTTCTTTGTAACTAAAAAAATAGTAGGCTTACGAAGAAAATCATACAACTAAATATTACAAATTTACTTTATTGTTTTCAAATTTAATGCACAAATTAAGTCTCATAGTTTCTTATATCAATAAATTCTTAGAAAATTAATATTTGAAAGTCTACAATTCGGTAGAATGCATTTTAAATTGTTTTAAAAAAATATAATATTTGTAATGTAAATCTTACAAGTAACGATTGTTTCATTTTAAAAAATTTTTTAGTTTATGCGGCAATAGCATAAGTTGGTGTAGTCAGAACTCCGCAATTATTATCTTTTTGCGCCATGAGTATATAACCATCATTACCCCAGTAGTTCGACCAAGAATTTTTAATTAGCCAATAGCCTTTTCCATTCATTGTTCCGTAGCCGACGGCTAATACAGCGTGATCAAGAGAGTCTTCAGTATTACCTACAAAAGAATTCATACTTTAGTATTTTAGTTTAGTATGAGTTTATTAATGTCTGAGCTAGTCATACTTACCACATGATGGTTCATAATACACGCCATTTGAATAGAATGAGAACGTTCTATGAGATGCATCAATTGCTACGGAAACAGGTCCATTCTTGAACAGAGCAACTTTCATTGCATCGATATCATCTGTTTGTACATTTACAAAGCCTTTAATTTTAGCAACTTTGGTAACATTGTTAATGTGACAATACCCATCCTATAAAACCGAATAGTTCTTAGATTGGAAATGTAAATATACAGAAAAAAATATTTTGTCTTATTGTTTTTGTACCTGGCCTAAGTAACCGCCGTATTCTTCTTCTGTAGGCAAACCACCGTGTTTTATTATCCATTGGTAAGCGCGGAAATCTTCACCACCATCACAACCATTATTACCGAATCCCCATGAACAATCAATAAGAGCCTAGAAAAAGTTATAACTTGTCAAAAGCTTTGTTATGGTTTAAAAACAATGTAACTTGCTGGAAACTCACTTGTTGAGATAGTCTAACTTGTTTCTTGTATTTCATAAAATAAGCTCCTTCAACTGCACCAGTCGTACCAAAACTCCAGCAAGAACCACAAACTGACTGATCTAAATAAAATATAAAGAATAAATAATCGAGTTAAAGTCCGAATAACGAATTGAGAACTAATTATTTTACCTTTAACGGGTGTCACTGCACCATACAATCTCCAGTCGAAAGATTCTGGAAGATTAGCCTTTTCTTTTTCAACGTCATAAATAAAAGGCATACCGCCGTTATAACCATGTTTAGTGTACTGTTTTCCACGCAAAACTTTCAATTCTGCATCGGAATGATCAGCCAAGTGATTTATTGCTAATTGGAATCCGATGTTAGCGCGATTGATAGAATGAATATACCTATGGAAATTTTATCACAAGAAAATCTATTAAATAATTCGACTTCTATGTTTAAGAAATTTTAAATACCTGAGATTGTGCCTAAAATGGTCTTTACGTTTTTTATGATCAAGTTCATTGAGGTAATTTTTCTTGTGTGTAGTTATAAATTTATTAAACGCTATATCAACGTGGTTTTGATAATTGTGAATAAATTCTTGCATTGGATTGAAGAGATAAATATGATGTTCACCTGGTCCAGGGAAACTTATACAACTAGAATCTACACATATTTAATATTAACTATAGTTATAGAAATATATAAATTAATGCTAAATAATATATTAAATATTATTAACTTTGTTCTATTTGAAATACTTCAGAGCTAGGTGTTTCAAATGAGTACCAATCATATTCCAGATAATAATGATCATAATGTGATCCTAAGAGTGAGTTAAAACCTCTCATCTCATATCTTATAGGAATTGGTTCTTTCATTTGTGATTTAGTTGGAGATTTCTATAAATAAGTTCAATTTTAATAAATATAGCAAGGGTTGTTCATATAAAAGTAAAATATTAATTCCAGTATACCTTATAACGAATCCATAATGTATATTTATTAGTTTTTTCTCCGAAAGATTCAACTAGTCGCCATTTTTCACATGCCACACCATTGATCATATCTTGTCCAATGCACTACAAAATATATATATATAATCTGAGATGTGTTATTGTTGATAAAATGTAATATTATAGATTTTGAATAATTGCACCTCCATTCCAGTAGTATCAGGTATGATAGTTTGTGGCTTGATTTTGATTTCGCTTGTTCCATTGACTTGGAGACAAGTATCTTGATTTAATTGAGTTTCAGTTGTTAATGGGGCTATTTTTAAGCTTGATCCATATGGCCCTTGAGTAGAAAGTTGATATGTTTTAACCATACCTAAAACAAATAATAATTTTTAGTGAATTAATTTAAAAAATATTTATTGTCGTATATTTAAAAATATTTAATGTACCTCCATAGTAATCAATTCTGCTATTGCCACTTTTTCCATCGTACCAAGCATAAAATGGCTCTCGAATCTCAGCATAGGGTATATATAGAGTTCCTTTGGCAGTGTATCCGCTGCTAAATACAGGAGATTTTACAGAACGTGCAGAGCAAAGTCCTAATAATTGAAATTGAAAAAACATATTAATTAACTGTTTTTTGTTAAATCAGAATTAAGCCATTAATACTTGCCACATAATAGTAGAAGATAATTAAAAGTAAAGAGGAACATTTTTGTACTGCTTCTGGAAAAAATACAGATATGATTAAAATGGATTTAGTTTGATAAGATTAGAGACCTTAGAATATTTCAGCATTATTATCAGTTATCAATAGAATAAAAAAAAAGAACTTCGATAAGCGATTTTCTCGTAATGTTGTACAATGCACTTAAATATTATAAAGCAAAAAGCTTTCGCCTTAATTCAATAAGAGTTTTAATTTACGAATCATACCTGTTAATTCCTAAGTTGACTATAAAAACCAACTGTTGCGAACGTCGTCGCAATTGTTAACTGAATTCTGATTCCAAAATGATGATCTTTGTTCCTTGGCTCACACGGCTTTACTCATCGGGCATGCGTCACGAACATGCCAAGCTATATAAGAAATGAAATGAGATAAAGACCTCTCGCGTACATATGCATGCTACTCGTATTGGTAATGTCAGTTATATATGCGTATATACCCAGAAGTTTATTTTGATGCTTTTCTTGTAGTTTTTACTGGTCGACTACTCAGTTACTGAATTTTACTCGAAAATCATAAATTTGCAGACGCTGATTTCGCGATACATTTTATCCCGCTGTCAGCGCTAAAAGCGGTAGAATTTTTAACTAAATTTTGTTTGAATTCAATGTTTAATTCGATCGCGTAGTATCCGATGGTTTCTTCGATTGCAATTAATGTGACTTTCTGTAATAACTAAAGCTATGTTTGCAACGTATTGCAAAGAAAAAATTGTAACTTCAAATAATATGTCAATGGCTTATTTATATATCAGTCAACATAAATTGCGCAAACGTTTGATGTTAATTGTCATTTAAGAAATTTAGTTTTTTCGAGTTCTAGAAACATTTTGAGTCGCAATTACAATTTACAAAAAATAAATCTTCAGTACAATATTCCATTCAAAAATTCTTTTAAACTAAGTACATTAAAAATTATTTATTTATATTAAAGGTCATGTATTATTGTTTACCATATGGGTCCTATATAATATATACAACAAATATATAACAAATATACAACAAATTTATCTATTTTTATATTTCTACGTTAACAATTAATGCCAAGAAAAGTGTATTTTTTTAGTTTTTAAGCTGAGTGATTTTAAGTAATATAAGTACATTTTTTATAATTTTTGAATAAATTGGTACATACTTTAATCGTTTATTTGTTTGAATTGAACGCGTCAATATCATGTTCTTACGTGGTTCATGGACTGAAGAAAAGTCTATTCAGTACACTGACGTCTGCATTTGGTGTATATAAGCATCTATCAGTCTATCAGTCATAGAAATAATTAATTGATTGGCAGATAACTAGAGTTAATGATATTGAATAAACGTTAATCATGACCCAAAAAAGTAAAGTTATAAATCTCTATAAAACTGTGAGTACGCTGACATCTTGTTTCGTTGAAAATATATTGAAATACATGCGACTGCTTATATTTTATATGGTTTTAGCATTTTAGATAAAAATTTTGAGCAATAAACTTAATATATTTCTTAATTCTTTGTTATATAACTGCATCTTAAATAAATACAATTTAAAAGATATATCTAAGGTGGAAATTAAATAAATTTTAACATATTTCTAGCTACTGCATTTAGGTAAAGATTATCCAAAAGGTGCAGATTATTTTAGAACTAGGTTGAGAATGGCTTTCGAAAAAAATCGGGGAGAAAGTGATCCTGACAAAATTGATAAAATGATTGCTCATGGAAATTTTGTAGTCAAGGAGCTTGAAGTGTTGTACATGTTAAAAAAATATAGAACATTAAAGAAACGGTATTACGATTAATGACAAGTAATACAATAAACTTAATGATTAAATGTGATACAACTTGGAAATTAATAATGTTATGTATATAAATTTTAATAAATATTTTTATATATTATTCTGCGATGCCTGTTGTTCAAATCGAGAGATTGAATTAATAAATGAATTTTCAAAACGTATACTATTTATGATTCCCTGGTATTTGTATTCTGATCTTATAAATAACTTGTGAAGTAATTAATTATAGTTCTAAACAGGATTGAGGATTATAACTATAGATTATAATCCTCTATATATATAAAACGCTGTGCGAGTAAATAAACTTCAACTCACTCATCTACGGTAATGTCAACAGCTGATTGCTTATTGTATGTGTGTGATAATGATATATATACAGATATAGACATAACCTTAAAAAATAATGGCGTTAAAGTCAGACGTATTCAAGTTTTTTTATTAAAAATATAAAACCTAATTTTTACAAAATTATTTGTAGAATGTAAATAGTTTTATATCAGAAATCTTACAGATTACTAAGAGATTTTCACAATGGCCGTTTGCGTTGCTGTGATTGGAAAAGATGTAAGTTGATAGTATAATTTTATTAAGATTTTTGATATCTAATACAAAATATTATTGAATTTTGTATTATTACTATATCAAATGTCTATTAAGTTAAAACATCTAAATATTATGACACATTGATGTATTACAGATCAATTGTGTAGACTTTCTTAATATTATATAAAATTCATAAAATTTAGATATTCTTAATTTTTTTTATTAAACTTGTAGTATGTATTAATTTGAAAATTTTTGTTCTAGAATTCTCCAAAGTACATTAAATGTACAGACGAAACAAATGCTTTACAATTTCACTATAAAGTTCATACTTCTATTGATATTGTTGAAGAAAAGTTAAATATTGGAAATAAAACTGCTGTAGATGTAAGGGAATTGTTTTTAGGCATGTTATATTCAACAGAAGAATATAAAATGTAAGCATATAGTAGAATTTCTTAAATATTTCACTTTTATATTATGCATTATGATTACAGTTTTTATTAACTTTCAGATTTGGATATGCAACAAATACAAAAGTTAAGTTTATAATAGTCTTACAATCTTCTAATGCTACTTTACGAGATAATGAAGTTAGAATGGTAAGTTTCAATTTCTCAAATAAGTTTCAATTTCCTAAGCTGAAAACTATATTGAAATTTATTTCAGATGTTTAGAAAACTACATGTAGCATATGCAAATGCAGTCAGTGACCCTTTTTACATTCCAGAAGATCAAATTCAATCCAAGTAAGACATTTTTATAAAGATTATATTTATTAGCTATTTTATAAACTGCATGGAAATCAATAAATTGTTTCAGATCATTTGATGCTACGGTCATGGATATTATGGGTTTACTTTCTGATGAACAGAAAGCTTAAAACTATAATAATTGTGTATATTCTGTGTATATAATAAGTACAAGTTTTATTTATTAATTATTCATTTAATTTATGTTACTGAAAATTATTCATTTTTGCATTATTATAGTATAATTTATACTTTCCAAATAATTTTCAAAGACACATGTTATGAGGAAAATGTCAGAATGCACATATTTTGAAACGAAGTTTTCACGAATTGTTTTAGTTAATTCCAATAATAGTACTTTAAGAATTACTGAATAAGTATTAGTATTTAGGTATACTTTATATATGTTTATAAATTCATTTTTTCATATTTAATAAGTTACAAATATTGTAAAATAAATACTTTAGCTACTATGAAATTTTTTATTTTTAATTCATTCAAGACATTTCTAATTATATGCATATATATGTACATACACATATGCGCACACATACACACATAGAGAAATATGTAAATATATGTATACATCAACATTTACTTATAAAAATTTTAGTTGCTTTCAAATAATGCTGCCATAAAAAAATAAAAAATTATCTAAGGTGGCCGGCTTCTAAGGTATACACAGAACACCAATTTATTCATTTTACATAAACTAATATATTTGTGTGTGATAAATTATTTTTCTTGCTTTCTTTTTATCAGAAAAATAATAGAGAATTGAGAAATACTGCATAAAAAGGACGTGTATGACTATAATTCGAATAAACAAGTCAGTGTGGATGTGCTAGTGTAAGCAATAGTAACATAAATTTTAGTTTCGCTCGTGGCTAATTTTAAATACAAATTTTTCTTATTTTAAACGTGTCTGAATACATTTGTGGAATAAATAAAGACTTAAAATTTAACAAATAAAACCAGTTCCGAGTGTGTCTCATTTTAAAAATTGACTGCGTGCAAAATTCAAATATAAACACAACGAGCATTCACTTTTGTATAATCGAGTGCTTATTATCTTTGTGATAAAAAAACAACGTGAACACACTCGCGAACAATGATACTTGACATATTCATAGAATAATGTTATGACGTCATACTTCATCAGTTCATACTTCAAGGAAAGTGATAATTTTTCACGATATTTTCAAGAAATAATTTACAACTTACGGAAATTTTTTTCGTATTGTCTGACTACACTTGAATTTAGACCAATAAAAAAAATCACGATTTTGATTTACATATCCCGGTCGAAAGACCCCGGATAGGATCCCTTATGGGGACTTATATCCCATATGGGATCCCATCCAGGGATTTATTGGGAATTCCCAAGTGGGATTCTAAATGGGAACCCATATGGGACTCCGGTAAATTAAGAATGTATCCGAACTTCCTCATGGTATCCAACATAGGATTTCCAAAAATTAAATCCGCTAGTGAAATCCAAAACAAAATTGTTTTTTTAAATTCTTACAATTTACGTAGAAGAGAAAGTAAGATTTTTTCGTGAACGTAATATTTATTTATAAGAATATTTAAAGAAGTAACAATACATTGTATAATCTGATTCAAATTCCATAAAAATGATATGACTTATTTAAAACTTTGTTATGTAACCGCTGCAAAAAAGTATTCAAATACCGATCTTAAATGTAATATATAAAGGGTAACCGTATTATAGAGCAACAATGGTCCACCACACTCTCTACTATTTTTATTTTATCTTAACCTTCGTGCATCTTGAATAGCGTACCCAATCTCTCTTTTGTATAATTTTTTTCAAGAAGTTGCTAACTTTCCTGTTGCATCTATTGCATTGCAACGTTTCAGTAAGAGAACTGCAATGTTAAAAACGTAGCATATGTATACCTAGCAACAATGATCGTGTTTACATATGATCAATTCTACAAAAAGTTCCGTAATTCGGTACCGTATTCGCGTAATTTAAAATTAAAGACACGCACGTATAGTATTTTCTCACTCTATATGTGACTTGAGGAGTCTAGAAATATACGTGTGCGATGCCGGAAATTCTCGGTGCACCCTATTTTTTCCGGCATTGCACACAAATACTCGTATTTCTGAATTCTTAAAATCACGTAGAATGAGAAAATACCATATGCGCGTGCCTTTAGTTTTAAATTTTGCGAATACGATGCTGAATTGTAAAATTGTTTTTGGAATGTGGTTATATATAATATACGAATTATTCATATTACCTTTGTCCGTTTGGAAGATGCTAACATTTCGGCATCGGATAATTCATTTTCACTTTCTGCATCTACATCCGTAGCTGTAGAACTGGTGGTTGAATTATCCACTAAAGCACTTCTTCTAAAACGACCACCTCTGAAATTTTCTCGGATATCTTCTAGGCTATCTGGTAATGAACAAACAAATTATTGATGAAAAGGGAAATTGATAAAAAGTCAAAAAAATCCCTATTTATACATTGTGAGTGTTAAAAAAAATATTTAGGACATACAAATGTAAGTGTTGAAAAAGCATGGACACACAAATCAATGAAAAATTACTTACTGCCTAATAATAGAATCCTGGCACGACAGTATGTGTAATGAGGCCCATTACGATGTAATTGTTTGCAACCATCCTCACAATGCTTTTTTTCGTAATACAAATGATCAGGATTAAAGTCCTTGTCATCTCTTGATTTTATGTAATATTTGTCATTCTTTTTGAATTTAATGTGATCCGTTGGTTTATTTTGTACGCTTTCTTGTCATACCTGTCCTCAAATACTATTCGTACCCAAAAAATAATACTATTATCAGCAATACTGCTCATTATGAATGATATTTTTTATATACTAAAAAAGATATTATGAATACTTTAGTGTATTTTTTTGTCTTCACTTTCTTTTTTGTTTGTTACATATCATAGAAACCAACTTAAAGACACTTTTGATAACCTGAAATGGCATAAACAATTAAAACTTAACATTTTTTTATAGTAGAGAAATTGAAAACTACAATAACGGTAAGTGTTTCTATTTTATAAGTAATTATATTATATTATTAAATTGATTTTTCAGGCAAATTAAATCACATACAAATCGGAGAAGATTTTCGTATCTGACTGCTTATTTACTCTTTTAACGTAGAAAATAGTTTGTAAGCAATTATGACTGGCAAAATCAAAAGCCCATATCCAAGACACTGTCTATTGTGAAAAAGTTGTTGAAGATCAAAAGTCATTGATGTCGTAAAAACCACTTTTAAGTTTTGAAAGCGAATTTAAAACTAAATTTCTTGCTGTTTTAATGTGATATATAAATATATCATCTCGATTGAAAGTATGTTATATTTCATCCGAGTAAGCTCAGTAATTCAATCGCTCTTGTCTTATATAACTAATGAAAATACTGGAATGTAATAAGTATATAGTAAAACTTTCACACTCTTTCCACTTTCAAGTTTTTTAGCATCGAGTGATTTTGTTAAACAACCTAACTTTATAGGGACTTTCATTCCTTCTAAGATTGAATTTACATAACATATTTACTCTTCAGTGCAGGATTCAACAAAATATTGGTAATTTTTAAGCAAATTTAATAGAATAGGTGCATATAAGACTCAACTTTCATTTTTTAATCTTTGGCAACAATATTATAAAAAAATTCAAGCTTAGATTCATTTCTTCGTTTTTTTTGAAGCTGGCGATATCAAATAAATCATATATTGACTCCAACGTGTAGACCTGAATAAACACATCAGTTATAGGCCCACTATAAACCCGCTGTAGTATATTTTGACAAGTGTGGTGGACCATTATTGCTCTATAATACGGTTACCCTTTATATATTACTTTTAAGATCGGTATTTGAATACTTTTTTGCAGCGGTTACATAACAAAGTTTTAAATAAGTCATATCATTTTTATGGAATTTGAATCAGATTATATCATGTATTGTTATTTCTTTAAATATTCTTATAAATAAATATTACGTTGACGAAAAAATCTTTCCTTCTCTTCTACGTATATTGTAAGAATTTAAAAAAACAATTTTGTTTTGAAAACCACGTGGGATTTAAAGTGGGATTTCACTAGCGGATTTAATTTTTGGAAATCCTATGTTGGATACCATAAGGAAGTTCGGATACATTCTTACTTTACCGGAGTCCCATGTGGGTTCCCATATGGAATCCCACTTAAGAATTTCTATCAAATCCCTGGATGGGATCCCATATGGGATCCCATGTATGATCCCTCATAATATCCCCATCAGGGATCCCATCCGGGGTTTTCCGAGCGGGCTAAGCTAATTTTGTATGAAAATGATTGAATGTTTTTGAAAATTTATCATCAGAATAAATGAATGGCAAGATATGATTACATTTTTACCAAATTAATTTTAATCAAAAGATTTCTATCTCTGTTTCTTCTGTACTACGATATTCAATTTTCTATTGGTTATATAAAGCAGATATAGTTATGTTTAAAAATAAATATGGATTTGTAGATGAGAGAAAAAATAATGAATACACACTTGTTGGAATGTTCATGTATTAAAAAAAAGTATTGATGGTTATATTCTCATGCACATGAATTGTAAAAATAGACTACAAGAAAACTGTTGTATAAGTTTTCTGTAAATTACAAATGTTATAATTATATTGAACATAGCTTTCGAATTATAACGCAAGAAAAAAGTGTTGGTCGATAACTTCATTTGAACCAGAAAGTGATCGGAAAGTGTAGTTATCGTGAGTTGCCTTCTCGTAATTTATTATTATTTTAGACACATATCAAATCATTATTCACATCCGCTATGTAAACAGAGAATTGAGATAGAGATGGTATGCCACACAACCGATTCTGTGGCTTATCAATATTCGAGAAATACGAGTAATGACTCATGTAAACTGATTTCTCGTTCTTCAATACACGCGTAATTTAAAATTCTACGTGTTCAGTACATGTGTATAAGTAGTTGCACAAAAAAAATCGATTAATATTCCGTTTAAGTTTTTAAAAATTTCAAATACGGACACGCTCTTAATACTTTATCATTTTAAGAGATATCTAAAACTAAAAGATTTAGGCTCATCGCTAAGAATGCTTATGACATACCATAGAAGAGCGAAAATTCATACCAAAAAAACCATGATTTTTCATGATTTTTTGAAGTTTATGATCTTTTTAATCCAACTTCAATTTCGAATTTTACATGACTAAATAGAGCCAATATCACTGTTTAATATTTTATCTTAATAATCTATCGATTTACATCTTTTATTGTTTACTTTGTTTATTCAAAGCTAACCTTTCGCACAGAGTGAAGTGCAATTAATTTCTGTATGGGAGGTATCGTCGGGTTTTATTTTGAGGTTCGTATGATTAAATCATACAATTCTTGTCAATTTTATTAATTTCCAACCATTATTCATCTACGGAAATCGCATCGCACTAATCTTTCGTGAGCATACGCAACATCATACATAATAGCTGGTCAATTGTCTATCTTCCAACCAATTAGATTACGAATAAACTGGCTTTACTTTGTCAGATTATTTTTTTTTATAAGAGGCATAATAGATTAGAGGATTTTATAAAAGAATTGTCACGATCGTGTGCGGTGATGACTTAAGTTATTTTTGGGCAAATCATGTTTCCTGGAATGATTATCAAAATATTAAGAACTAGCATTTTTTAAATATTGTGCAATTAAATTTTTTTGTAAAACTGTTTAAATGCTATTATATGAGAGACAAATAGAAAAAAGTATAAGATATTTACTCATTATTATTGAAATTCATGGCTCACTTTATTGGCTAGGTTACATTCATGGATATTAAATTAATTGAAATTCAAACTAGCATTTTAGTTTTTTCTACAAAAAATGAAAAATAATCTATATTGTGTATTTTATAATACAATTATCATTAAATTATTGTGTATTAAAATATTCGGAATGGCTGTGAATTAAACTCTGACATTATAGATTGGCTAATCAAACCAAGTGTCGATAGTAGACTTAGATTTGTAGATAGACGGATAAATTTACAATACAGCAACGTCATTGTTACTGAATGAGTATAATCGCAGAGAAATGCGTTGAAGTGTATATATAAAGAAGTTTTTCAGCAGGTTGAAATCAATACTCACCTAATTACTCGCGCACTCATCATGCCATTCATCCTTGTGATTTTGGCTTTTGTTGCCATTGTCGGGCTTTTATTTCGACTCTACGCGAATCACAAATTAAATTATTGGAAGCGGCGCGGAGTCGAGCAGTTATCAACTTCAAACTTCATTTTCGGCAACTTCAAGGATGCCGTATTATTTCAAACTTCGCCAGGTTGGCATCTCGGTAATATACACAAGGCAGCTCCAAACAAGAATGCACCTTACATCGGGTTTTACATTTTCCACAAACCGTGCCTTATGCTGCGAGATCCCAAGATCATTAAGCAAATTCTTATCCGGGACTTTGATAACTTTTGTGATCGTCACTTTGCGGGCTCGCAGCAGAAGGACAGCATTGGCATGAAGAATTTGTTTGGACTAAAAAACCCGGCGTGGAGATATTTACGGTCGAAAATCACTCCGACGCTGACGACAACTAAACTCAAGCAGATGTTACCACTGATGATACAGACGGGTAAACCGATGATGGAGTATCTTGAGTCGCAAGGCATCGATGACAAGAGTGAGAAAGTGATCGACGCGCAAGAAATGAATTATAAATATACAACGGATTTGATTGCGAATATTGCTCTTGGTACACCAATGGATTCTTTCCATTACCCTAATGAAGAATTCACTAAAGCAGGTAATTATTATTTTTCGCTTTTGCACGCAGCTTTTAAAAGTTCGATTTTGCGTGGATGACTTACAATAAAAAGTTAGTTTTATCATTTTTAAATAAGGAGATTTGGAATAATTTGCAATACGTAACAATTTTCAAACAATTATCATAAATATCAGTATATTTTGATACTTGAGCGAGAAAGAGTGACTTCACTTTCACGTGGCTTCTTTCAGTCGGACACAAACGCACACGCACGGTTCTCGTACCGGTATCCAAATGGTCCATTCTGACACACACACATATTGAGGTTAATAATGCTGATGACAAGTAGTATTATAATTTCTTTACATTATTTTCAGTTCTTTATATTATTTTCAGTTTACCAGTTTTTCCATGGATTCAAGCGAATGGTTGCTTTGGTGACAGTATTCTTCATGCCAGAATTAGTAGAACTGATAGGTCCTTCCATGTTATTCAATTCCCAATTTGTAAGAAAGGTGTTTTGGGAAGCTATGAATAGTCGGGAGAAAAGTGGAGAAAAAAGAGGAGACTACATTGACTCTCTCATTCAGTTAAAGAATGGTGAACAAAATCCTGAATACAGTGAGTAGTTATTTTAAAAATTAACTAATAATAGTACGAGATATTTATTTACTCAGTGGACGTTTAAGAGGATATTTGAATGTACAATACATAACTTCACCTCGTTTATTTTGCTACTGTTATTTATTTCGGAATTTTTATTAATATTTGACCTAACTACCTTTTAAATTTGTTTAAAGGGGTCAAGTGTGGTTAAACAAGGATAATTAAAAAAATCTGATTTATTATCGTACACAAATTGTCAGGAAAAGATATAGACTTGAAGCTTTTTTATCTTAAAGTACTCAGTAAAAACTTTTATTTTCTTTATCGTGCATTTTTAAATCTCGATTGTACGCCCCACAAAGTTACAGATTGCATACATCTTATTTAGCAAAAAAATTAAGTTTGCCACGCTTATCTAAGAATTAAAGTAAATGAAAATCATTGTTCGTTAGGATCTGCGCTTTGTAATGAGTGGAGATCTTTTTCAATATTATATTTTTAATCTTTGAAAATAACATTTAATTATTGGCATCTATAACTAAAAATTTCATGATATTGTTTTTTATAAAATTGAAAAAACGTGCAAATCCTAACGAGAATAATAAATCGTCTTACAATGATTTATTATAATTCATTGATAAGCAAAACAAACTTAATTTTTTTTAATAAATAAAATGTATACAAATTATAATTTGATGGGACATAGATTTAAGATTTGAAGATATATGTCAAAGAAAATCATAGAATTTACTGAGTGCTTTAACATGAAAAAGTTTTAAGTCGATAACTTCATAACGACAATTTTTATAGAGCAATAACTAACATTTCCAAATTAACCTGTTTAACTCTTTGAATCCTCCTTAAATAATTTTGAAGGGTGATTGTGTCAAATATTATATAAAAGTTGAAGATTAAAACAGAATAACAAAATCTATTAGTTCCATTATCCTCTTAGGCCTATTGATATTATTTTAAATTTAACAATTCTATATTTTGGTCTTTAATCAGAATCTTACGCGATAATTTGTTAAATACTGATAAAAATTATCAGACTAATTTTATAACATGAAAATAATATTATAAATAGAAGAATTTTTTCTTCTTGGCAACATTGGTGAATCTAATTACTAAAATATATTTCGATTAATAAACGAAAAAGTAGGCCACATCTATACGTTATTATTCTCATTGTATATAAATGCATTAATATTTTGTAGAATAAATTTGAACTGTCAAACTAAGAATAGAAAATTTTAGTTACATGTTTGTTTCAATATTCACAAAAATTTCAAGATACCTAATACAAAGAATTGTTTTTGAGATTTTAGATGTAATAATTTATCCGATTATATCTATTGATGTAAATCTGAAATGGAAACAAATGTACGAATCTATAATAACTCATTGATATGATTTTTATTGATTAGAATTTGAAGGCGAAAATTTATTGTTTCAATCTGGGACCTTTTTTTCTGGCTTCGAATCGAGTGCAACGGCAACAGCATTCACGTTGATGGAACTTGCGGCAAAACCCGAGGTGCAAGAACGAGCACGTCAAAATATCAACCGCGCAATTGAAAAACATGGAATGACTTATGAGGCTTTCAAAGACATGAAATATGTTGATCAGTGCTTAGCTGAAGGTGTAAGGCTACATCCTCCCGTGTCGACTATAGATAGATATACTAAAGCAGACTATAAGGTATTATATTTTTTTAAATCTGTTAGTGAAATCTGGAATTTCTTAAAAGAAAAATTTGAGTAGTTATTAAGTAAGAAATATCATCAAATTTCTTACATCACTCGCGATGAAGCTACTTAGATATGAGCTCATGTGCCACTCGACTTCGTTATCAAATCTATTAATATAATATAATAATAAATATGTATATTTTTTGATTGATCATAAAGCAGTTAAGTAATCAAGGTCAAATGTTTTGTGTTTTTGAATTAATTACTCTTCATTTTTGTTTAGATTCCTGGCACGGATATTATTATCGAGAAAGGAACTGCGATTTATATATCACTTTATGGAATACAAGAAGATCCAAGATTTTTCGAAAGACCAGAAGAATTCGATCCAGAACGACATTCTGACGATAGCGAAACTTCAGAAGCTTATATTCCGTTTGGTATCGGGCCAAGAATGTGTGTCGGTACGCTTTTCATTTTTTTACATTTCAAATAATACTTTTATCCGTAATCAAATTGATTTTCGTTAGCTTATTCAAATGAAACGTAATTGTTATAATTAATTAATTCTACTATATTCTAACAATACAATGTATAATGCAGGCATGAAGGTTGGACAGCTACATGCTAAAGTTGTACTTGCCATGATTTTACGGGAGTATACTGTGACGCAACACCTGGAAAATAAATTAGTTCTAGATCCAAGGTCTACATTCACTGCAGCAGCCGATGGAATAAATCTTCACTTTAGAAAAGTTGCTAAATAATTTATTAGCAATTTAGTTTAATCGATCATACTGATCAAACATGTACAAAAACGTATCACTTATTAGTGAAACCGAGAAACAAATGTTAATAGTCGGTTTTTTTGTTTAACAGTTTGCGTATTTAATTTTACTATCAATAATTATAACTTCAGGAGTACTCTTTGTTAGTTAGGCCGTACTATCTTTTTTACTTGTCGGATGCCAAACGCATATATAAGGTATAAATAAGATATTTTATAAAACCTGTGTAATAAATAATATAAGAGAGAATTTCACGCAAATATCGACTTTAATACATGTAAATTTAGATATGACTGCATATTAATATTTTGTATAATTGTTTATAGAGAATGCTGTTGTAAATGATTTGAAATGAAAATAAATTGTAATTTATGCATAAATTAATAATTTGTAATATAAAATCTATATATACTAATAGTCACTTTTTAAACAAATCTTTGAAAACTAAATATTAGATTTATAAATTGAAAAATAGAAAAGTGTTAATACCCTGTAAAAAAACATTATTATCAATGCGCTATCTTTTGAATACATACATTTTGAAGTAGCATATATTGACGAAAGAAAATAAAATAATGTTAACTAGAATACGTTTATCGCTTCCATTTTCTGCCGGATATATTTAATCTTTTTGATAAAAATAATCACCCATTTTCGTTACAATATTTTAAAAATATTATTGTAAAAATAATAAATGTTGTAACTTAATACGATCTACGAATAGCTTCATTAATTTATGAAACTATAAGTCGAGTATTAATATCAGTGTCGGTACGTCGCCATCATTATGTGCGTGGTTAGGAGGAATGCCTGTTGAAACTATAAATATATCCTTGGCTTCACTGGCTGAATCCACACAATGACAATATGAAGATCCAATCAAAAAATGATAGTTATTTGCTTAGAAAAGAAAATCGATTTTTTCAAAGTTTCTACACAAGATGTATTAAATTTTTTCACGACCAAGTATGAAAGTGGTGCTAGTTATTACAAAATTAATTCTACCGTTCTGAAACAGCTATCATTGTCGGATCAAATATAGGGGTTGAAGATGTTATCAAACGTTTCTTCAAAGGAATGTCAAATTAACGTCCATTTCATCCTAAATATAACTACGTATATGGATTCATAAAATAATGTTGGATTATTTATGTATACCGTTTCCAAACAATTTAATTTCAATAAAAACATTGTCATTTAAATTAATTATTATATTAGTACTTGTTATTGCTCAACTTATTCAAACTTTATTTCTTATCAAGATAAACAACATTTTTTTCCGTTGAAAGAATCAAAAATCGAAATATCTGAAACGATAAAAACATCTGGAACAGGAAGACAACAACCTCAGTTGATTTTACCGTTTTTTTGACTATCTTCGTTGCTTTAGCTCTGCAATGTTATCTAAATCAAACTGAGATGCTGCGCAGACAAGATGAAAAAATGATGTTTATATCTCACAAGAAACTACACAATGCAAATTGTAAAGAAACGCTCAGCAAATGGGTTAAAAAATCAAGAGAAAGAAAAATTTATATCGTATATTTTCCGCATATAGTACTTATCACGCAACCACTTCAACTACTTTTTCAAAAGGATTAATATTAAAATAATTTGTACTACTGGTAGATCGACTTAACACTCAAATACAGTTATTAATTCCTCTTAGTAAAGAGCAAGATATTTTTGCAAACACTATTCTTAATTCATATCTAAGTTTAACTATATGTTGTTTTGAAAAATTTTAAAAACCATTTAGCTACTATAATTCAACTTTGAACATCAATAACGTGAACTTGAGGTAGAGGTTTAAAATAGAATTGGCCGATTAAAACGAACTAACCTGCATGTGATGTTTAATCGTAATAATATGAAAAGCCTCTTCCCAAGAGATCACTCCCTCCCTTTCGATATTGTCTAATACACAATATCCCGATATGTTATTGCACTTTAAAGAAATAACGTTTGCAGACCACACTATACGTTAAGAAACCACATTACTTTCTCCTATTTTACTTCGAAAAATTATGACATGAAGGTATAAAGTAAGGTACTACAACGTGATCTCTTCGGAAGATAATTAAATCATAATAAGTAACTTCGTTAAACCCATTAAGGTTAACATGACACATTTCTGGAGTACACTTTTCTTCATGATAACTACGAAACCGTGGTGCAAAAAATGTGAAAAGTAAGTACCCAGCTATTTTCGAGGTCGTTCTTCCCGATGAAGTCATTAAAATTTCATTAAAAATTGTCATTTCGCAACTTTTTTCTAAAATAATGTTAAAAAATACGAATTTTCCGGTCCTGTTTTTTTTCAATTTAGATTTTCGTCATCTTATCGTATTGTTATTCAAATATGGACTAGTATAAACGCGTCCTCGATAGCTGTACTTTGGAATTATATGGTTATTTTTTTATATCATGATTTAAACTTATAAAATAACGATATAAACAACAACAAAATTCGGAAATTTTTCGACTTATCAACTTATATGATTAAAAATGACATTTCGTTACAAACGTGTAAGTTCCATGTAGATATTATGGGTTATTGGATCGCTGATCATGAATTCGCTATTATTTTTGCAAATATAATTTGTTTAAACAAATTATAGCATAAAATGAAAATTGTTAAAAACAGTTTTCTGAGTCGTAATCTACAGGAGAAAATACGTTTAAATGATATATGGCAAATTCAAATTGTTTAAACGATAATGTACATTATTAACAAATTACTTTGTATACTTAAAATACTTTGTTACACATGGTTTTTTGAGTTTTTGGGGCCGCTGAAAACGAATTTCATATTAATTTTTTCTGAATTATATTATTCAAACAATGTATGTAATAATGAGGGGATAAATATCATGCCTTCAGATTTGTATATTATAGGAGCAAATATTCTTGTATATTGAGTATTCTATTTCGTACCGACATAGTACATTTCGCAAAATTACTTTGAATGCTGTATTTTTTCGAAAATAACTTTTCTATTGTTAGATTTGGTAGCTAATGCTAAATCGAAAACATTCTGGAGTACAAAACGTTAGGAAGAAAAGGTGAATGTATATTGTATACGGTAAAAAGTACTGAAAAAGACGATCACGTTGCTTCGGTGTTCATTCCCAATCCAGAAGATTTCGGTGAATCGCATCAAAGTAATGATGAATGTTCATCTATCAAAGACGAAAGTGAAACGTTAGCTGATATTAAAATGGATGAAGATATTAAAGTCGATCAATGATTTCAATCCTATCAAAAAGTGTTAGAAAATTATAGTGCGAGTTAACAAAAATTGGTAGGACACATTTATAATTGGATTGATGGAGAAACCATTTATAATGATACTCTATCAAATGATATCTTATTGTCTAAAAAACAAAAAAGTAAAATGCTTGCTAGTTCGCCTACAGAGTTATTTAAAATTTTTTTTCTCTGACAAACTAAACAAATATATTATTGATTCTACTTTAGAATGAGGATATGAGTTGACGCCTCATCGTTTCAAAATATTTTTAGTAATTATTATTTTTACAACATTTAATAAAAGATTATTACAAAGAGATTATTGGTCTTCTATTGCTTTGTTACGAGCTGATGTAGTAGTATCAGCTATGGGGTGTTCAGAATTTGAACGAATAAAATATAAAATGAGATTTTACAAATCAAACGATGAAGACACAAAGGATAAGGCATGGCGAGTACATTTAATTATGAATATTTTCAATAAAAATATCAAGAATTGTATAGTTTTAAAAATAGTGCCGGTACCTACGTATCTACCTGATGCATTAAACTCCTTATATCCTATAGAATAACATATTAGTTTTTCACCAAAATCTTAAAAAAATTGAACTTACAATCGAACGAAATGTACTGCGAAAATGAGTATACCCTATCTAATCTATATTAACTACTCATACTTTAAAGGCGAATATTTCGACTTTGAGTACCGGTATCTACCATCTAGTTTTTTTTCTTTGTATAAATAATAAAAAAAAGCAAGTTATTTGCAAAGTTTGAACAAAATCTAAAGAAAGTTGATTTTCGAGAGAACGTCCTTTATCTTACTGTAGTTGTGCTTTACCTGCTATGTGCATCGCGCGACCTCTATAAATACGAGTGTGGGCAATACCGCCGAAGCAGATCGTTTGCGTACGCTTGCCTGTCAAGACGAAATGTCACTTCGTAACTTTTTCTCCGTATAATCGATAATCTTCATTCAACGTAAGTAAGAATTTCAGAGCGACAAGTTATTTACCCATTATTTAATCTCATTCATTTATATTGCGAGTTTTTCATTGGCCAATAAATAAAAGTTAAATAATATTTCCAAACTTAAAATTTGAGTTATCGTAATGATTCACCTTTGACGAATAGAGCGTGCCATTAAAATCACATTTATATATAATAAGCTGCTAAAAAGGCCTATGTTCTATTGGGCGGATTTGCGTGAAGCGCATTCGCGCCTATCAGGGAGTATACGTACGTATATAAGTACTAGAGTATAAAGGCGTCATTGCGAGCACAAGTGATGGAGCTTTTGAAAAGCGAGTGGAATGCGAATAAGAAAAAACTGGTTGTTGGGATGGATGCGGGGAGCAATCGGGGGGGAGGGAGGGATCGGCGCGTTCGGCCATGAACTTAAACCGTATTTCTTGTATAAAAAGTGACTGTGCTCTGTGGCAATTAGTGTTTAATTTGCCAAACTTAGTTATTTCTTCATCTCCCATATAATATATATAGAATATCTGTTATTTTGAAAACTATATAAATTAATTGAAAAAAAGACTACAGCTTATTTCTGCACTGATTAAAAATTACTGAGATATAAATCTAAACGTTTTATCTTTTACTTTACAGATGCCAATCAAAGGTGACGCTAACCGTACGGACCAGTGCAACCCGACTCATACACCATCGGGTCCAGGTCATAATACTGGATATCATGGAGCAGGCACCAAGGGTGATTT